CGACCTGAAGGCTCGTTGAAGGCACGGGCTTCAGCGCAGAAACGGGAGGAAACGCTTAAAGCACTCGAGGGTAATAGAGAGGATACGAAGAATAAGCGGGATACTTCATCAACGATAAGGGCGCCAAAAAGCACTGATAGGTCACCCTCACCAGTGACACCAACGCCCACTGTCAGTATTGCGCAGTATACTGGGCTTTTATCACTGGTGAAACGTGAGCAGCGTGCACGGCGAAAAGCCGAAGCTCAAATCTCAAATCTCCAGGAGCAAATGGCTTTGGTTCTACATCGACAACTTCTGTCATCAAGTCCGACAGATACGGTTCATTCTTCCAACAGACTCAGATCCGGTTTCGGAAGTATCAGACGCAAAACAAGCAGCGAAGTCCCAACACCAGATCTCACTCCACCACGGACAAGTCCTACCAATTACCATGCAATTCCAGGGAATCTATTTACCGGATTCGATAGTGAAGCTGGAATTGACGAAAGCGACTACGAAAATGATGATGAGAGCTTATTCATTGGCGTTGACGCTGATGATAATGAGATATGGGAGACTCCGGCAGAGGATAGGGAAAGCATGATAGGCGACGACAGCGACAGCGACAGAATCTTCCGGGAAACAATGTCAGCGTTTCCTTCTCCCGGTGGTCAGGGCAATGGTGATACACAAAGAACGATGAGCTTAAGTCAGCTTACTCACAAGTCATCACTTGCTCGTGATCGGTAGCATTTCTGCTACCATGATATCATCCCTCGATATCACCTACAACTACAGTTTCCGACTCACTTGTACAGTATTGTGATACCTATGATTTAGCATTGTTCACTATTGCATTTTTGGATTTTCTTTTTGGGCGGTTACGTTTTTGATTTTTTTTAGCGCCTCTGGCTCGATTTCTTTCGTTAAATAATTTTTTTTGTACATTATTTTTTTATTTGAGAGCCTTGCATATTTCTTTTTGGCTTTTTTGTTACTTATGGGCGATTTTCATAATATTGGGTTTAGTCTGGTTTTATGGGTCACGGGTTTCTTATCTTCTTTCTTTTCTTTTTTTTACAAATTCCTTTTATTTTTTTCTGATTTGGTGTTTTGTTTCATTGCATTACATTGCATGGTGGGCACATATGGCCCACCCCAGGCGTGGTTCGCGCGTTACTCCTTTCCTCGCATCCGAGCAGTTTTATTCGCGAAAAAAATGTTCTACACGACGGTTACAGCGTACATTGTGGAAAAAAAGTGCGCTTAGAGAAAAAGAGAAGCTATCCCATTGGAAAGCTGTTTCGTCTTGGGGGGGGGGGGGGGGCCACTTGCGAAGAGGCTAGAGAAAAGGGAAGGAAAAGAGAGGCGCATGGCATGCACGTTATCGATCGATTGATTGACAGAAAGATACAGGCCATGTTTCGTTTTTCCAGCTGCTGCTGTTTTTTTGGATGGAAAGTTTGACGGCGGCCGGCTTACCCTAGGGCCTTGTTGCACTGTTTCAGCAACTACTTCTTAAACTCTAAGTAGTACGTATGTTGTCTGTACACTTTTTATTTTGTTTATTATTGTTTATTTTTGTTTGATGATGATGATTTGGCATTTGTTTTTTGTTTTTGTTTATTATTTTTGGCCCTTTTAGTAACTTTTCTTTTGTTTCTGTTTCTTTCTTTTGTAGAACCACTTACCTTACGCCCTAGCCTGATATAGGAAGAAGAAGAAGAGCATAGAGGAGAGGGAGGAGGACATATATCAACCCTAAGTATGATAGTCATGTAAACTGATAATGAAGATGATACCTACGAAAATCCAAATCTAATCCGAATCAAAACGGCCCTGCCTCCCCTCTTCCACCCCCCCCCCCCCCAACCAAAAAAAAAAAAAAAAAGACTCTAAAGGCTAGGAACCGAATCCCCTCAACCTATCACAGACACGTACTGTTCTGTACATATTCCTCTCCTGCCTTGGCTGTATCTACATCAGTACTTACCTACATACATCAGTTGTAACATATAAACACCCCTCCCTCCCTCCTCCCCAACGGCCACACCTCCGCTGGATCAAAACGAATAGTAATAATAGGCCTCTTTCCGAGAGTGGGAAAAATAGTAACAGGCTTGCTTGGCACTTGGCCCCCAATATGTGTGCTCGGATTTAGATGGGTTGTTTGTGTGGCACAGCTAGCTAGGGAAAAAAAACAACAAGCTTACTCATTAGGAATGTCTTGACCTGGATGGATATACGTACTGCACTTTAGTTACAATATCGTACTTGTGCCTAAGTAACACGCACGTACGCCTTGTGCTAGTGAGGAACCGACGACCCCCGAGTACATACTAGTATGGAGAAATGAGCGCTCTTGCTATCTATCGTCGTTAGTACTCTACTCTGCCTAGCATACTACGGGGATATGTGCGGAGGGGGGAAGGAAGAAAGGAAGGAAGGGAGCGAGGGAGGGTCAAGCAGAGCGCTCAGGGAGTGAGAGTGCTCTACCGGCCGCGCGAAAAGAATAGACACCTAGTCAGTCCGCAGCCAGTCTTACTGTACTGCGCGGGAGACTGAGTGAACGAGAAAGCTCAAGGTGCAAGATTGTGCCATTGTGCAATTGTGCATAAACAACAAGTATGGTATGTAGTGAACCCTAGAGTACCCACCTTGACCTACATAATACATCATACATCATGCCCGCATCTACTCTACATCCACATCTACATCCATCCAGCATCACAGTACATCACTGTGAGTGAGTACTGGCTAGCTAGCGCGCGGCGGCTATAGCTATAACCAGGGGAGAAGAAAAAAAATATAACAAGGCGTTTTCAGCAAAAAAATTTTTCTCTCCCTCTCTCTCTCCTGCCTAGGTACATATTCTACTGGCATACACCCCCCCCCCCCCTACCCCCTACCCTACGCTCCCCGGCCGGTTGGTACCTGCATATGTAAGTAAGGTTGGTCACCGCGCGCGCGCCGACGAGTGACGACGTGGTTTTTTTCCTCTTTTTTTTTTTCGCGCTGCGCTCTAGCTCTTGCTCTTGCGTGCGGGAGTTGTGTACGGGATGGGACTTCGGGAGCTATAGTACCTACATGTAGCTACTAGCTAGGGCAAGGGGAGAAGGGGGGACGCCGCCGAGCAATTGATGCAGGTAGAAACTCGAGTGACAGGTTGCGTCTAACTGCTTGTGGCCGCGGTGTTTATCCACCCCCCCCCCCCTTCCCTTCCCTTCCCCACCCCAGTAGACTCTAGTTGTTCCTAGCTAGCTTGTAGAGAAGAAGGGAAGGGGAAGGAAGGGAAGAGAAGTGGAGGGATTGAGTGGTGAGGAAGGAAGGAACGAAGGAACGAACACTGAGGTGACTGACAGTACGGTGACTTCAACCGGCGCGGGCCGGTACATATGGATAGGTATGGATATGGATATGGATATGGATATGGATAATGGATGGATGTGGATGATGGGCGAACGGTACCTGATCAGCAGGCAGGCAGGCAGCACAACCAAAACCAAACCAACCAACCAGCGTACCAACCGAGATCCGACCCCGGGGTTGCGTTTCAGAGCTTGTGCAAGGGTTGCTGTATTTAGCGAGCCGTGGGGGGAGGGTTGTACTCTACTCTAGTTGTGAGTGAGGGAAGAGGAAGAGGAAGGAGACGGGGGGGATCTTTCACCGCTCAGGGGGGGAGGTGATGCTGTTTTGATAACGACAAAGGGATATGGGGGGGGGGGGGGTGGATATGCAGGTACCGATTCCCACTTTTTTTCTTTCTTTTCCCCCCCCTCCTTCTTTGGCATGGGGGGCTATAGTGGAGTGTGATTTCTAGTTCATCCTTCATCCTTCGACGGGGAGGAAAGGTATGAGGTGAGGTGAGATGGGGGGGGGGGATCTCTTCTTTTCTTTTGCTTTTCCGTAGATAGGTAGGGCAGGTCAGGCCAGTACTCTATCTAGCCTATCCATCCCACCACCACCCCTTCCCTCATTTTGCCCACGCCCCGCGGCGGTGAGTGGAAAGTCTGGAGACGAGGACCGGGTGGTTGTGGTAGAATTAAACGGTTGTTTTGAGGGGGGTAAAGATCGACAATAACAGTTTACTATTTACTACCCCCCCCCCCCCAGGTTGACTTGTTTATACTATTATATTCTAAATATTACTGCAATTCCCAACTAACTAACCGTAGGCCTGTGCAGCCTCTCAACGTACGAGATGAGATACAGAACATGTAGGGTACGTAGCAGCAGCGGACCTAATCTCCGTCCGTCACAAACATTTAATACTTTGCGGGTGCACGTTAACGTTAGCTGTACATGTTATATAGGGCAGCTGTTGTTGAATGGTTTTTTTTTGGACTCGTTGTTGGTGGCTTGGGGATAGGTACGACATGAAATAAATGAAAATGCTGGATTGGGCACATGTACTCTACCTACATCTCTGCTCTGGCAGCCCTTGCCTCGTGCATTGGGGGATTGAAGCAGTGACGTACAGATCTGGGTACATACATGCACTTGGTACTTAATTTGGCCTATGCAGGGGCGTGATCCAACCTGATCATAGCGATCACGAAGCGTACGTGATGGGCGTTGTTGTTTGTGATGGTGTAGATCGATGCTTGAGCTGTCGTGAGGATGTGATGTTTGTGGTGGTGCTTCATTGTCTTGTCTTGTCTTGTCTGGTCTGGTCTGTCTGTCTGTCTGTCTGATACTCTCCTGTATCTGTAAATATCTACCCACCACTGCTGCATGAATTCGTCAACATTTAAGCTTAACCCCCCCCCCCCCCCCCCGGCCCCCCTTCACTACATGATACTACAACTACATATACGCGGTGATCATGTTAGCTACACGTGCTGATGTTGTTGTTACTGCTTCTACGCTGTTACACTACATATATAGAAACTATTACCGCAATAAGACACAAAAATTTAAAAACCAAACGACAATCAAAAAACACCGGCTCTATCAAAAAAAAATCAAAAAAGCAAAACTCAGACTTGTGCGCGCATAGCAAGCCGCAGAACCGCACACTATAGCCTCGCCCTATCCTGTCCCAACGCCGCCACAATCGGCGGGTCCCCTGGCGGCAGCAACCCCTCCCCCGTCATATCCTCCAGCTCCCTGACGGCGCGCCAAGTCTCGTCAAGCTCCACCTTGATCGTGCGCAGCCCCACCGCTTTGGCCGCCTTCAAGTTCATGCCGATATCGTCGAGGAACACCGCCTTGCCGGCCTGCTCGGGCCCGAGCCCGAGCTTCTTCAGCACCAGCTCGTATATGCCGCGCTCGGGCTTGCGCATGCCGCTCTCGCTCGACGACACATAGACGTCAAACAGCGAGCGCAGCTCGCGGCTGTCGCTGTATGGGTGGTCCTTGGGGAACTGATAGTCGTTTGTGAGCGCCGCGAGCTTGTACCTGCCCGTCTCCTTGAGGCGCTGGATGGCTGTGATGAAGTAGGGGTCGAACGTGCGCGACGTCTTCATCATCTCCCAGAAGAGGTACTCGCCATCGATGGGTGGGGGCGCCGGCGAGGTTGGTTTGAGGTTGCGGGTGGTGTGAAAGTGCGCCCAGATGCTGGGGTTGGTGAGGTCGGAGGTGAAGTGGAGGAAGAAGTTGGTGTCGAGGGGGATCTCACCACGTTCGAGCTTGTGCCAGGCGCCGGTGGGGGAGGTTTGTACGATTGCGTGGTTGATGTAGCCCGAGGGGATGTGGTGCCGTTTCTCATAGGAGCGGATTGCGAGCATGGGGGAGAGAACCTGGAGCTGTGTGTTAGTAGTGTCGGCCCGGGGGAGGGGGGGTTGTAGAGCATGGGGGGATGTTGCTTACGCAGACTCCGCCGACATCGAAGATAATGGCCTTAACGGCGGGGCGGCGGGCGGACATTGTGTTGGTGAGGATTATTGGGATATTCGTGAATCGTGGGAGTTGCTGAAGACTTTTTGCGTTGAAAGGGGGAGATAACTGTTTTTGTCGGCGATAGACAGACACATGTGCTGGGTTTCGCCGGGCGTAACCGAGGTAACGAGACGGCATGCCGCGATATAAACAATAACTTGAAACACCGCGCGCTGCATGCTGGATGAAGCTTTTATCGACAGCGGGTGGTGAATTGAGTAGAGTATCCGGTCGATAGAGTCAGCTTCATATGCAATTATCGAATTTGTAGAAATCAATGGCGATTTGGGTTGGTTAACATACACGAGTGATAGCTTATGATTGCTTTCCACAGGACGACATGCCGATTCAGACAGAGGGGTTTTTTTTTCCGGCTGCATGTCCTCCAGCCAATGAGTGCTCGAGGAATATTCTTCATGGAATCTTATCAAATCTGCAATTCTATTCTGTTCGAAGCAGTGTAAAGCTGTCAGTCGACCGATGATAGCTCAGGCAGAGCTAGATAGAATGCGGCCCAAGTTCTTCAAAGTGCATCATGGATGATTGAGTAGCGAGAGGAAGAGGATGATAATGATGATGGTGATTCTATTCAGGTGATCCAATACTCTCTCACAACAAATACTGATTCCCACGTTCAATAGCGACATACATGTATTTTTTGTGAGTCCTCTGGCCACGTGACCGACAGTTCACAGGGCTAGGGTTTATGCACACACTATCACTCAAGGTGCATATCTGGCTGGTGCCTTACGCCATTACGCACTTTACACCCCACCGGTTCCCATAACGTACGAATACCATCCGTTTACGGTATAACTTAGACCCTCGGAATTTTTGATATCAGCCTTAGCGACAAACGTATTCAAGATACACTTGACCGCACCCCCGACCGACTGTCTCTAGAACATAATGCTTACAGAACTAATCGTAGTCGATAGAAAACGATATGCGGCGGAAGAATCCCCAACGGATACACTATCAGAAGGAGACGATTGGGCGAGCACAATCAGGCATAAACGTCAAGTGGAGATTAAATGGGCAAGAGACGCAGCATACAATGATTGACATGCCGGAGGGACTCGGTTGATATGGTGGGGTATCAATGCTAAACAGGCCGGGCTTCTCGACCCTAGATTCTCGTTGAATGGTTTATCAAAGAGCACAGTGATTGAAAAGCGAACAGATCCCTACTAAGGCCTTGCTTGGTAGTGAATACTTCTGATCGAATCCAGAGTTAGCACCATGCGTATGTGCCAGATTATATGGGGTTTAGTTATTCGCTTCTCACGTTTCTTTCCGCTCTGCAGTTGTTGAATTGAAACCACCGCGGTTCCCATTCACGATGTCATCCGTTGCATCGGAGAATTTCTCGTGCGACGTTAGGCCATCTTCAAATGCTAGTATTTCCAGGTTTTATAAAATGTTTGTAATCGTGATTCAGTGGTGTAGTGGTATCACGGGCGCTTGCCATCCCTTCAGATAGTTTGCGCCCGACCCGGGTTCGATTCCCGGCTGATTCATCAATTCATTGGAGCATCTGCTCCAGGCCTTCTTTTTAATTTCATAATATATATTTTACTACATATGCGGTAAGTATTACTTCCTCAATAGTAAAGTGCTCGTTATGTTTTGTTGCATATCATCACCGAGTACGGACTGTTGTCGACTTCGGGAACAAACTGCGGCCAAGCTGGAAACCTCTTTGATCAATAGGAATTAAACCTTCAGCCAAAACCACACCTTTGTCACGAACAAAGACATTTTTGATACTGTGAAACACAGCTACTAATTGAGAGGCTAATCGAAACTATCCATCCATCCATGAACGAACAATGACCCCCAATGCTTCTTAACAATATGATAGAGAAGCCGCACACACCAATGGATACAAAGACAGCTATATTACCGGCGCATGGGGTAATATCTGGTTTCCTTTCTTCAATTGCAAACTGAGTATCTCAGTTTATTAAGAATATCCCCCCCGCCTCCCCAGCCATAGATACTCTTGATTCTTGACTGGTAATTTTCGCTCCTCCGAGGATTCCCACCACAAAAACAAACCGAGTGAGAGAAAAACCTAGCCCATACTCTATATATCAGATATCCTCTCCCCCCAAAAAATGCCACCCAAAAACGGCGCCCACACCAGCCCCCTCGCCCGCATCCGCAAAGAGTCCAACCCACCATGGTCTCCCGCCTCTAAAAAGCTCATCGAGATGGCGCACGCCTTCTCACGCCTCTGGTGGGAGCTCTGGGAGTACCACGACGAAGCGCGATGGATCCTGGAGGGCGAAGTCGAGGCCGTCTGCGACGAGATCGAACAACTCCGCGCCATAGTCCTCATCGAGGACGAGAGCCTTGACCCCGTGGAGCGCAGCCCTGAGATGAAGCGGGCCCAGGAGCACCTGGTGCTGGACTACCAGGAGGCGATGGTTATGCAGAAGAAGCTGCGCGCCTGGACGGCGAACTGTAGGACGTATATGAGGAAGCTGAGGAGGGAGCGGAAGGCGTTGGTGGCGCAGATTATTAGTGAGGGGCATGGGTTGAGGAGTATTGGGATGGACCGGTGGAGGTACTGGTTTATGGGGTCGTTTGATAAGCTTGGGAGGGAAGAGGTCGTGTTCCATTTGCCGCTTGAGGACTTCATTAGGTGCAAAGGTTCGGCCAAGGAACACGCTAGAATTAGGCTGGAGGAGTATGGTGAAGGCTATGAAAGTGATGATAGCAAAGCTGAATTAGAGAACGATGCGGTGTATTTGGACCAGGGATTGGTACCAATAGCTGTTCATGTGGACGAAATACATTTCGATAGAGGGAGGGAGATCTATCATCTTGTTCTTGAGGGGGATGATTCTATCAGGGGGAAAAAGAAGACCCGGTTGGACCTTGTATAATCGAAGCTCTTGTTTGTCTTTGGTGGGGATGTACGTTGTGCAAGTTTGGTTAATTGCTAGCAGTGTTGGGTGCAGTATTATCGATATCGACTTCATTTATTAAAAACATCAATTGATCAACCTTTTAAATTTAAGAATCAAGTATGATGTATTTATTAGAGTTAGGGGAATGGCTAGTTTATAACACCCAAGTATAAGACGCTGGTTTGCTGGTAGAACAGGCAGTATAGCATTCTCCACAAAGACTATCTCAGCTATGTAGGTAACTTCACGTAACTACATGTATGTACCTCATCTCCTTTGCTCGCGCTGGATGTATTTTTGAGAGAGAAAAAAAAAAGTTCTTTTGTTGATACTATGAGTACATGTGTTCTTGTAAACTCAATACAAGCTCCATGACATCCCACAAAATATGTCCATTCTTACAATGCCCAGGTCTCAGGTAGGATATCCCTATCGCCGAGAACCACCCCCTGGGCTAGATGGAATGTGTAAGTTGGGAACGATTTTAGATAAGATATAGACCAAAGCTTCTATGCTCTAGAATTATTCTCTGTTGATCGTCCCTCAAGTAGAGGTTGTGCTGTTTAGATTAGTGAGTAGAAAGACATCAAAAGAGGATTATTAGATGCATATACCTGGCCACTGTACTCTCTGATTTGATCAAAGCATTCCAAATAAGGGCTATATGATTTGACCTCCAGTGCTAGGCTTGGAATATTCAAGCTTGGGAAGCTGACAGTGATCGTAATAATTCTAGTTGAAATCAGTACAACATAAAGCTCTATTCTAGGAAGAAGGATAGGCATGGAGTCATATTTGTTGCCCAATACTTCAAATCCGTTATATACCAGTAGCATCTCGCTAGGGGGTAATGTGCAATGCTTTCTGATTCTTTTCCAAAAGCAGAGAACTAGGCTTCTCAGATGATAACGAATCTGGAAATGGCTTTGCGGACCTGAGAGGGTGTGATGGATTACATGTAGTTATGGTCTGCAATTAAGTTTGTGCAAGATTATATGTACCTGTGATTACTCTCACTCTTGGCCTATGGATATTGGGGTTACACCGAGTGCAGACCACTACTATTGAAGCGGACATAGCTTAGCTATTCGGAATGAATTGGTTGGATCTGATGTCCCGGGGTTTGATAATAGATGTATTTTTTTTTCTAGCTGTACGGTGTATGTACATGTATATATGTGCCTGGGAATAGCAGAAGTGACAATTGGTTCCTTTTAAACTCGGATTAGTATTTCCCAGCGTGTATACGGTACTGTACCTCTGATAACTGATGTGTAACTGGATATAAACATACCATATCTAGTCTTTCCATCATGTGGACAACAGCCAACCGTCCACGCAGACGAGGGAAGGACAGAGGGCACTCATTACCTATTCTTGCAATGTTGCGTTTGAGGATAGCTACCAGCGGTCCCGAAATGTTTTTCTGCGGCGCGCAAGGCCAAAAAATTCTCGTGGACATTATCTGTCCTTGCAAAGTCGTGTTATGAGGATAGCAATTGGCGGTCCCGAAATACGTTTTACCCGTTCTTGCGAACAGATCTTCGGTCCCGACCGTATCCTTATATCGAGAGACTGTAGTATGCATTTCTAAACTATATAGTCTTCCTCATCGTCACCAGGAACGTCTCCTATTGGTTACAGCGCACTACATGTATTTCTAATATTGATTGCATATCATGATTCGACAAAGAACTACTCCCGAGATGGAAGGGAACTGGCATTAAAGGACGTGTAGCTATTGCAATTGATGGATATAAAAGAACAAACACTGACAGAACTACAGCTATATTTTTATATATGAAGGTCGAATTTCCCTGATCATGAATTAACTACATGTACAGCGCCATGCCATAAGTCATTGGAAGGCGCGAGGTCGCAACGCCTGAACACAAAATCTTTCACCACCACCGATTGCGCCCAGAGACCATGTGCCCTGCCAGATAGCTAAGAGGGAATGACCAGCCTCCCTGCTGTGGCAAAAAACCGCAGTCTTATAGCTCTGGTTGGAGGAGAATAGGGTAGATGTTCTGGAGGACTGGCTTGCCTATTCCATCCCATTGAACATGTTTGGGTACACCTCAAGAAGCTTTACCATCAACAGTACCCCCATTTGGCATATGGTACTAGATCACCTTAAGTATTAAAGCCCCTCGTGGAGGAAGGTCTAATTCATTGCTGGGAACTGTTACCTGATGATTTATTTGGTAGCTAGTTGAGAGCATGCCTAGGAGAATAGAGCTGTTATAAAGGCAAGGGATTGGTACACAAGATATTAAATGTCAAATTATTTTTATTTAGCTACTATTTAACAACTATACAAAAAACCAGCTCTCCAAAGGATCAATTGTGGTTGCTGGGTGGGTAGTCGTGGTGGCCCGGGAGGTTGCTACGCCGCGCCTCCCCATGATTTATGGCCTAGAACTATACATACTAACGCTACTCATTGAATGACTTAGAGTGCATACTAGAGCTAATATATCACGATCACAAATTACATATAAGGAGAGATGGAGATGAGGTTTAGTGCATGCCTGTACGTTTGGATGACCCAATAATCCAGAATGACAGCAATAATCTAAGAAATTACTATTGCAGTACCGCCAGCACCTCATTTCCTCAGTACATTTGGGCGGCCGAAGGCCGCACTCCGCTTGTATAGTCTAGTGTGCCTACATGTAATCGAGACGAGGTTAATTGCTAGTCTCACGCCTAGGCTACTAGGAGGTTGGCTGGAGGTTACGCATAATGTGTTGTTGTGTGCACTGAGCTGAGGGCTAGGGGTGCTGTACCCTAATTGGTAATTAGCGCGAACTAATATCTAACTAGCGTGGAATCCGACGAACCTGCATTGGTATCCCCTAAAGTACATGTAGATTATATTATGATGTATATACAAGTATTTAGGATAGTAGATTTCTATATGTGAAATTTAGATTTGGGTCACCAAAACTCGTTCGTTATACATACTTGTACATACATAGCTTTTTTGGCATTAATTCGGTATGTTCATCCTACCCACCCTTGTCAAGCCTTCCGGTGATTTACTACATATACATACATGTAGCTTCTATTATACATACAAGTATATGTATAAATACATACATGTATTATACATGTCATACTAAATAAGTATATATATACATATATATATGTCTATTGATGTAGAATGTAGTACCGCGGTGGGATTAATCGGACATTGGTCTGGCGAATTCGGTATATATATGTACCATTGGCAAAGCTTGATCGATCCCATTAGAAGTGAGGATGGGAGAGAGAGAGGGTTAGCTTAGGTGTACTTAGTGGTAGACGGATATATATGTATGCAAGTTACATGTACTTTATAATGTGTAGGCCGGATATCTCCCCCCGTGAGTGGGAATGCCGCCGGATATCGAATATTCCGACGGAATTGGATACTTTCCCTTCCATTCCATCGAGTGCAGCTGGCATTGAAGACCGCTTCTACCATTAACAGTTGAAAACCGATGTATCCATTGAATGTACATATATATAAAAGAGTAACTACAATCGAAGCACAGAAGTTTCGGTAATTTTTGGCTGCCGCTGCAACACAAAATTTAAATCACGACCTTAAAGTTGGATCACATAAGCCTGAATAATGGACCTGAAATTCTAGAGTTCTTTGAGATTCGTCCCGCAATAATTTCTAATTGTAACCGAAGAGCTAGGACGTTTTTTCCAATGCTGGGCGGTTGGTTTAAGTTGCAAAAATAAACACGAGTGTCTTGGCTGTAAAAGGTGTAATCTCCCAAAACCCTTTTTTCCCAGTACTATATGTATATGCTATTACATGTTTATATCCTCATTTTCCCGGTATTTATTCTCCAATAGTTCCAACAAATCTTTGTGTCCCTTTTCATCTAGGGCATTAGTAAGTGACCCATTCCTCACAGCTTCGACCAGAGTAGTATTTACGTCCGCTCCTCCCTCTAGTAATAACTTGACAACATCTAGAAACCCATTCTTCACTGCTTGTACCAACGCACATCCGTCCTTCCCATCATCCGCATTCGCATCAGCACCCCATTCTAACAGTAGGCTTACAACTCCTTCAGATCCGTTACCAGCGGCTTGACTTAGCGCGCACTGCAATGATCATCGCTGTAAGCGTTGATGTCGGCCCCGTGCTCGAAGAGAAGCTCTAATAATCCTAGTGAAGGCAACCATTCAACGTCTTCAGAAAACAGAGCAGCTTGAAGAGAACTGCCGTGTTTCTCCCCGGGGGCATTTGCGTCGACACCGTTGTCCAGGAGTATTTGAACAATCTTTTCATTCCCAGCCAGGATCGCCTTTTCTAGAAGCTTTCCACCATTCGCATCTGATAGAGCTGTAATCTTGGGGTGTTTGTGTTTGGTGCTATGAACTCTGTCCTTTTTATCTATAAGTTTACGTTCTAAAAGAACACCTAGCACTTCTTCATGACCTTTTCTAATTGCCATGGAGAGCGGTGTACGCTCACTTTTATCTTGAGTGATGATATCTGCCCCTTTCTGTACCAACATCCGGACAATTATATCCTCACCAGCAGCAGCCGCTAGAAATAATGCGTTTCTATCTCCCTTGTATTTGATGTCGATGTGAAAATTGCGCTTGAGAAGGAGATCTAGGGCCGGCTGATGACCGGCTTCTGAAGCCGCATGTAGTGCCGTTCGACCATCATGATCTTGGAGATCGACGCTCGCATTGGCTTCTAGTAATTGCTTCACAACCTCATGATGTCCTTTACTCGATGCGGTCTGTAATGCAGTTCCGCCATTCGTATCGAGGGAGTCGACAAGCCTTCCTTTGTCTAAAAGATTCTTTACTACAGCCTTATTCCCGGCCCTTGCTGCAATATGGAGATCCTCGTGATTTTTGTTGGAGTTAATTTCGTGAAGTATCAGGGTGTTTTCAATCGCTTTAACGCCGGATTTCCTTGCTATCTGCGCGGCAAATTCGCCGTTTTTGTCCTTAATTGTCGGATCCGCTCCATGATCGAGCAATAATTGTACTATTTTTTCTTTGGATACCAGGGCGGAAAGATGTAGTGCTGTCTGTCCGTATTTATTCTGAATGTGAACATTCGCTCCTTGCCTGAGAAGATGTTGCACTGCTATCTCTTTACTCGCTCGAACTCCAACATGCAGAGCAGTGTCGCCGGAGTTGTTTTTGGATATTCACCAAACCCGGCATCCGAGAAACTAGTAGATCGATTATCTTGAAATGTCCTAACTTAGCTGCTATCTCGAGCGCGGTGCCGCCGTGTTTGGTTTTTGCTGTCAATTTTATATCTTTGGACAATAGAAATTTGATAATATCATATTGTCCTGCTTCTGCCGCTGCGTGAAGAGTTGTGCTGCCATTCTTATCCTCAAGATTTGGGTCTGCTCCTTCCTTGATGAGAAGCTTGACGATATCTTCGTACCCTGCTTTCGCTGCCGATCTGGGAGCATTTGAATCCTTTTTATTTGCGCCCTTGGAGACCAACAAGCCAAAGACCTCCAGGTTTCCCGCGTCGATAGCCACCTTAAGCGCAGTGACGGTTTCGCCCTTCTTGTTGGTGAAATCCATATTTGCTTTATTCTCTATAAACATTTCGATAATTCTTCTTTCGCCAACCTTGATGGCTGTATGTAGTGCAGAGCTAAACCTCGAATTGGGATCAGCTCCCGCATCAAGAAGCAGTTTGACACCGGCAATATCTCTTGTAGCTTCTTGTAGAGCGCTACGGTATTCGTTGGGATTCTTGCTCATATTCGCTCCCTTAACCTTTAGCAAGTTGCGAATAGCAGTGTCATTCGTTACTCGAATAGGAGTTTTTCCATCACGATCCAAAGCCTCAATATCAGCGCCCAAATTCAAAAGGGCCTCTAAAATTTCTTTATGACCACGAAGAGCGGCTATGTGGAGAGCAGTTCTTCCAAGGTCATCGACTGAGTCTATGTTTGTGCCTTTCTGAAGTAGAACGTGGGCAACATCAATAGATCCGCGGTGTGCCGCCCAATGCAATAAGGTTCTGCGAAAATTATCGATGGTTTGAATGTTCGCTCCATTATCAATCAACGCTTCTGCCATAGGAACATTATTACTTCGCACCGCAAAATGTAGCGGTGTAAGTCCTCCTCGGCCCTGTATGTTCACGTCTAGCTTGATTGTCCGGACTGTTTTTAAAATGTTTCGTGACGGTTTCGATCCGGCAGCAAGGTGTAAGGGTGACCACTCTGCTAGATTGAGTACGCCCCATTCCGCACCCATTTAAGTAAACTAGTGATAGCCCGATAGTTCTCTTTCATCACCGCGTAGTGAAGTGGCGTCCAGCCTAACACATCCTTCTCTTTGGCCAGTTTTCGAATCTCCTCCGGATTTTCTCGAAAGTCCTTATCGATATCCGCCTAGGACGAACTTTTAGGATCAGATATAATGGCTAAGTGGATTTTGTTGAACTTTAATGGGGTGCTAGGTTCGTTGGTCTCCTCCATCTCCGTGTTTTCTTGATAATTCCAAATTTCGTTCCCTTCTATTCGATTTTGTATAATATAGATCTCATGGATTTTTTGGCGTGTGTAACTATCGCTGAAACTTCGTAGTGTTTTGGCGAGTGATTCTCTTCCCTTGCGGAACCACTGAATATCCTTCTAGCTGTATTTATGCTCGGCCATTATGTCGGCTACTTCCTTGAGTGACTTGAGATATCCCGTTAATGATGCAATGGCGTAGATTGCGGCTTCTTCATTCCGATCAAATGACTCACAAATTGACAATGCCTAAAGATGGGACTGCGAAGCCCGATCCCATTCTGCGCTTAGCTCATACATTTTTGCCTGCTGACTTGCGTATTCAATTGCCACACCTGTATCTGGCAGACGACGGAATTTTGAAAGTGGTGGAATGATTGTCAAATACACTTCCTCCACACTTGCCAGTCCGGTTCTGCTCACATTTTCGGCAATTTTGCTGAGTATTGAATTCTTGAGGGTGAATGATTGCCATGATATATCACCCCCCCCTGGAAATAACGCGCTCCGATTGCTGAATTGTGGTATCCCTAGCGATCCGCTTGAATTCTGGAGTTTGAGCGTACGCCCACATGAACGCAGAGAATATGTCAAGGGCAAAAAGTCCTTCGAGTGGTATATTGGTCATTGTGGCGAGACTGCGTTAATCTGGCTTTATTAGGTCAGCTCAGGTATTAAGTGGTGTTGAGTGCATGAGGGAATCACCTTGGGCTTAGTCGTAGAAGCCTGGTTGGTTCCTCCAAGATATTCCGGTCGAATGCCTGATTTCATAGAGTCATGTTGCCTACTTGTACCCTGTGTATGTATGCATACGGTTAGATATATGTAGTTATTTGTGATTATATATAGGTGAGATATATGAATGTGAGTTTATACCTCGCTGATTCCGTTGCGTCTTTTCGCGGCTTCGTTCATAGAATTAATTGAAATCTTGAGCCTAGTAAACAACTTTTTCTCATTAAATCTTATAACCAATTTATATCAATAATGATTTGCAGGTAGTACCTCGTTTTCGGGCATATTATTGTTATCATCCGAGACCGTATGGATTTGATATTGACATTTGCAGTCTTTCTTGCGCTCGTCTTTCTTGTCTTCCCCCTTCTTGTAGCCACTATACCCCACAACACGATGGGAGCTCAATTCAATAATTTCCCTGTCGTCAGAAGGGGAAGATACTTCAATGATCCTGTTATTTCCACTTCCAGCCCACCATCTCATATCTCTTCGACTAATGGCGTTGCTCTTGCCCAACAGTCGTATGCTATCCCCTCGTGAGGCTTCCCCGCTCCGCAGCCAGGCATCGACGTCCCTCTTATCATCCATGGCTACTGTTCTTTCTTTCTCGGCCGCTGCAAATAACCAGAGTGATAAAACAGCTTCGATGTCTGCAACGTTGACCTTCCACTGTTTGCCATCATGTCTAATCTCCAGATTTATCGGTTCTATTTTACGCGTGAGGGCATGTAGCCTCCACTTCAAAACTTTGCCAGTCATGTCCATCTTTTCAGTGACGAATATAAACTCGGTATTTTTTAGAACAATTTCTATGGCCTTTGCAACAGAGGTCGCTTTGTCGGCCGCTGGTCCAGACCACCTTGTCAACCTTCCTAAATCCTTGCGGCTATTTATCACCATTTGGGCCCGGTTATTCTCATTCGCTTCCAAGGGAATTTTTCTGGGGTAGGTTGGGGCTGTATGTTTTGGTCCAATGGGGTTGGCGCCCCGGCGTCGGTTGAGTTTTTAGTTCGAGCTGCCTCAAACCCGTGAGCTGTTTTGTGCGTTGAAGAACGAAGTTCCTCAGGGACACTCAATTCTTCGTATCCCGACGAGTTTGCGCCGGTGATGATGTCCCATTGGTAGCAGCCCTGTCCTTCAAACTCTGAATCTTGCGGATTATCTCCCATGTCGTGACTTCGCCACAATTGCCGACCCCGAAGTTTAGAAAGATCTTGGGCTATCCTCGTTGCTAACCAGTCGATCTCGTAATGGGATTGCGTGCGTGGGTACCGAAAGCCCTCCCCGGACCCAGGCACGTATTATTGTAGTAAATATTATTGCTAGAAGTTGCGCAATAGAGACGGTCCAGTGCATCCCCCGGTAGCCAATCATTTGGATAAGAAATCCCAATAGACCCGCAACTACCCCAAATATAGTCAATACACTGAACATGATATCATGACCTGGGCTATTAAACTTTTGATTCCTCCTACTTGTTGTAATCACTTGCCGTGATTCTTCGCCGAGGATCGCATAAGAGTCAAAGGCTTGATCGGAGATGGCAGCTGACCTTTGTAGCCACATAACATGAACACGATCTCCGGGTTTACAAGCATGATATTGTTCTTCCTTGGTGGAATGCTCAATGATAAATGCACAGATGAGCATACCTATCACTACTCCAACGGTACCGATCATTATAAGATGTACAGCCCATGAACTCTCATCATATTCTCCGAGTCTTCCAAAGACCAGTCGTAATGATTGATTATTGGCTGCGAAATGGGCGTAAATTAAAACCGATGCTTGAAATACCGTTGCTACGAGAGCAAAAAATCAGAGCTCCCAGCGGGAGACATGAGCATTAACATTTAGTGATATATTTGGGGCTTCGTCAATCGTTTATTGCGAGAATTGAGTGGGGAAATAGGCTTCCGTCCGTCTTCGAGGTTAGCAAGGGCGGCCTTCTCGTGGTGCCCAACTAGTAGTAACAGAAATGAGGATATGGCTAAACAGTGGGGGTTAGTGATGCCACGCATTAACAGTATCTATAAAGGTTCTCACAATGACCGATCCTTCCATTGAGACGTTGAAATTTGTCGCCCGCTAATTTTTTGTTATATAATTAGCATATGCACATATGTGGGTGAATATAGGTACTTGTATGTATATATATCCCAATCTTAAAACTCACTTTTTTTCCTTAACACAGCATTATCCCCCTCAGTCCTCGCCTCTTTAAGGGTATATAACTTTTCTATTCCCCCATTATGTGTAATACATATGAGTTCTCGTATCGGCGGGGCCCCCATGATCCTGACGATTTGCTGGCCGTTCCACAACTCGCATACCTCATGACTCGTGCTACTCATTAATTCGATCTCGGCAATCGCCCTATTCTCTCTCGCACGACCGATGACTGCCTTCATCCAGTTCGGTCCTCCAATCCGAATTGCGCCGACAGATGCTGTTATAATTCCGATAGGGGCCATGGCAAATAAGATGTTGTCGGAAAATCCTGTGGACTCAGACATGAATTGTTTGGCCACTTGTTCGCCAAAAAGGGCGAGCAGGGGGCCTAAACCCGAAATTATGTTGGTGGAGAGGTTTGAAAGATCAAGAACCATTGCGGCCAAATATTGCTTTGTACGATATATATGAATAATAGTCTTCTACTGTTAGAATATTAGAGCTCATCCTATGTTCCCCGATGCTAATTTAGGGCTTTAGGTGCTTTACTTACCTTTGGGGTGTGTACCTGGGTAGAGCTTTTTGATCGGTGCGCAAGGGGGCCGAAAGTACAGACTCTTCGCATTTCCTAGCAGAGTTCCAATGATGCGGGTGAAAAAGAAGGTTACAGGGTTTGCGGTATATATTGATAGATATCATCGATATCGCCTTCTGGACTGGATCAGGGTGGTAAGAAACGGAGTTATTCTATTTCGTGATCCTGTAATCTCACATATAGCCTGCCGACTGCGCATTTTGACAGACTGTTCAAACGCAGTGTAACTTTGGGTTGTGGGATGATTTAAAGAGCTACTGTAATTGGCGAGTATTATGGAATTAGGGGTCTCTGCGCGCATGCGCTCAGCAGGTGGGACTGCCTTGCATAAGCGAACTTACTAACTTTGCTACCAGAGTTTTCGGTTCTCCAATGGCCAAATCACCGTCCGCCTCATAATTAATGCGGCTCATGAGCTCCACTTTTAAATTTCACATACATGTATTTCTAGATAGTAGATACAGCGAAGGCCACAATACAGGCGTTATAAGTACTGTACACATATCCTCTACACCAGTATATACGTACACGTCTGGTTATACATTTGACTGTTTTCTCTGCAGCTGTGTTCTCCATATTCGAGAGTCCGTGTATCTACGTGCTTAACTACACGTAAGCGGCCATAATGAGCCGGCCCCAAATTCAATTATCATGCATCACGCATGTACAGCGATAGGAATGATCTATGGAAAAAACAGTTATATGGTGCACAGATATTTCGCCATACAATTCCACCCCCCTGTTTTTCCATAGATCATTCCGGTCGCTGTACCTACACACATACATAATTTACTACTACATGGAGCTAGATGCACTTGATACAATGAGAGGTAGAAATCTGGGAAAAGTCCTATTGGCCTAACCCGCCAATCAAACCCTGTTTTTAGACCCCTGGTTCTATAATAATCTTATATCTGTATGGCACCGATTAGAGGGCTGAAGATCAAGTTGCCACACAAACTGATCGATTAAGTTGGTTGGATGAATTATTTAACTATGTACAATACATACAGAAGTACAGAGGTAGAGTACTTCATATATAAGCGTACATAAATGTGCATAAGTAAGTATGTACATACATACGTGTAGTTAATTTCTAGAGCCAGGACTTCCGCTCGACTTTTTTGATGTGACCCCTGGACCTTTAAGATCTTAAAATCGTCCCGGCTGGCCACAGGCACCTACAATATTTGAAATGATCGACTTCACGCACGCTTGGAAAGTCTTTTTTTGAAAGTCTTTTTTCTTTCTTGCGCGTGGATTAAGCTTTAATTGGACGATACTGGGTGATAAGAAAGAGCCACAAACCAATCAAGGCCAATTAATCTTGCTAACGCTGCTCTAATCAGGGTTTTAGGTACATATCAACACGTAGTTAGTGCAGTGGAGTAAGGGGTTTTGAAATTTTGTGCCCTAGATGTATTTATAAAAATCTTAAAAATAAGGTTTGGGCAAATATAAGTATGCCTATCTATATGAGCCTCGACTCATGGGTTTACACCGGTCTCTGAAGGTATGAACGTTTTTGGCTGTACGTCATCTAATCCCCAAGTCGTCGCACGCCAGCCCTATAGTAGACATCACATATTACGTATGATGCTCTTCAACTAGTGTAGCCTCTAAGATCACATCCCTCGCCTGTATATTGTAAAATATGCTTGAACGGAAGGAGTTATACTCATGATTGCATACATACATGTAGCTATAGTTGATCTAGCTGCAGAGAATTAAATGTTTCTCTTATATGCAGATCATATGGTATCACTCGATCATGTATCTCAAGAATCATCATCTCTTTTGTTTTTTTTGTTTTTTGTTTAATTCATTAATATCATCATCTCTTTGATAGTGTGGGTTGGTTGATCAGCTGAAGCGAATATACTTTTAATTGCAATTTTAATGATGTATCCCTCCTCTGATCCCGAGCGGATGACCCTTTGAGTGTTATTAGAGTGTATATACCCAATAAATATCAACCCGTTTAATTCCAGCCCATGAGGTATTCGTCTTAAATTAACGTCCCGAGCCTAAGTTAACGCGTGCACGTGTGGAGAATCTTAATTAATTTCTCTGATAAACTAAATTACAATTTAAGCTCCAATTTTTTTAAGAAAAAGGTCTCTTCTATCCGTCACTATAAAAGAGAAGCCGTACAATTATCAATCAGTACTTGAGCCGCGCCGGCCATGGCCAAGAAGCTCAAACTTGATCCCAATTTCCACAGCCACAGATATCACTACGATGTCTGTATGTACTACCCATCTACTCGGGGCTCATTAATCCCGGTATAAACCCCGGTATATTTGCCACACGCTTCTTTACTGCATATCTATACAGCTCCATACAATCCATCCAGCCATAGTTTTCACCAAGGTCCTCCAGGTTTTTCTGATGCATTAGCGGAAATATCTTCTGATATTCAAATACATAAGCCCTTGACAAGTATATATACTTATTCATAGTGTTTGCTTCAATCATGTTTCTCTCCTCATCTTCGGCGGGCTCCCTCCGGCCGACTGTAGCTCTTGGCAAGGGCTCTATCGGAGAAACCGGCAAGGGGGGAAGATTGTCACCAAGCCCGGGTTTGTATTCCGGACGCAGAGGAAATAACACCATTAGCTTTAGATTGACGATCTGTTCCTCTATTTCTAGCTCGGAGATAACAGTGCCTGTATTTTTAGGAAACGCTGGCTGGAGATCTCCGGCATCTTTAAACATTAAGCAGTTATAAGGTACCTCAGTCTTTGACTCTAATGTGAAGTCATAATACCATGTCAGCAGTTAATCATGAGATTAATGGCACACATGAGATATATTTTAAACAAACGAACCTGTCTTTTCAGCTGCCTCCCTGTCATCTCCAGCCATAGTCATACCAGGCCTATAAGTCGACGTTGTACTGAGTAAATTCTTTTTAGTACCGTCTGAGGTTTTATATGAGCTCTGCCCTTTGTCGACCATATAGGCATTCTTCTTATCGTCCCACTCTGCCCAGACTGGTGCAATATCTTTCGTTCAGCATATAATCGTTGGTTTATGGCTGGAGGGTGGAAAAAAACCAGAGTTATACTGAGAATTCGACCGTGTGGCTGAATCACGGGAACCTAGTCTCGCATCCATACCAGGTTCGTTTAACCACGAAAAACCTTCCATATTACCACCAGGCCACGGCTCCTGGAATTGGAGCCCGGGGGTGTAAAAGCCTTGAATTCGAATGGTTTAATAGCTGTATGATATATAGGACTTTAAGAATTTGCGCCCACGTACCACCAGTTCCAAGCTCTGGAAAAATAAAGCCCTTTTCTTCCATCAATATACGCAATAGGTAGCTGAAATTCGAATGCAACTAGGACGCTCGACGTAGTCACTTCAAGGTGCACAATTCGAAACTTAATAAACCACAGTCTCCCGGTCGTGATTTAAGAATATGGAAAATCTGTTTATTAATACTCTGTGCACCTGCTTGAGGATATCTATATGTAATCTATAAATCATGTGTCATAACTCTCCACCAATTACCGCAACAGCCACATATCAATACTGTTCTCACCACACTTCATGAACCAATCCCTACACCCATAATACACCGCTAAATCCAAACATAACAGCTTAGCACTTAACAACTAACCAGAATCAGTAGCTTTCGCCCCAATGCCTGAACACCACGATTAATCAACCCACCACTGGATCTGGACATAATATTTCGATTCGCCAATCAATTTTCTGTAGTATTTTTTGATTCAAACCTGCCCACAACTCCAGCCAAAGCACGTTTATATGCACGCAGCTTTGTTGGCGGATCTGCAGTTATAGCCAGGCCAGGAGCTAGGGCCTGAGCTCGGCCTCGAGTTGGCATCTGATTTAGAGCCCACATTGGAGTTGGGCTCAGTGCGGTAACCGATTCTTGGGCTGAGATGGGAATCAAAGATGAAGTTGGAGCTGGAGTCACATGGGTCGCGGTATTAGCTGTCGGTTCCAAATTCTCCGCTAATAATTGCTCTCGTCTGATATTTTCCATTTTGCGAGCCTCTCTGATTTCTCTCCGGCGTTTTGTATCGGCTTCTCTTGAAAGTGGAAACGAAGTCCACTCCCGCTGAAGGACTGGGAGAGACATACCAATTTGACTTTCTAGAGATTCCTCATCTCCTGGTGGTGGTGTGATGTCCTTTGAATGCATTGGACCATCTGTTGAATATGGTGATGGGCCGAACCCAACTGGTGACAACAAATCTTTGGATGATGAACTATGTACGGACAACGGGCCATCTCTGGATGGCGGTCGCGTCCCTGTACGAAGCGTATTGGAAAATAGACCGATGTTACCAGTGTTGTTCCCCTGTGTGAGCGGCATTACAGTTCTCTCTGGCCTATTGCGGCCGTATGAGGGCTGATAATATGCATTTCTAACTTGTGGCCTCATATCGGCGCCAGCAATGAAGGTGTTTGAAGCATTTGATATAGCAAGTTTTGGCTTTTGTAGCTGTCTGGTGGACGTCGGGCCAGCGGTATCGGTATACACCGGTGGAGGAATTATTCTTTCCGGCCTATTACGGCCGTAAGAAGGCTGATAATAGGCCGTAGTGACAGTGCTTTGCGTTTGAGTTTGAGCCTTTCTAACTTTTCGGTTTTCCGATGGATTTGGGGTTGCGTTAACATGGTGGGCATTGGGTTCCAAACAGACAGTAATATACCCCGGAGGGGGGATAGTTCTTTGCGGTCTATTTCGACCGTAAGAAGGCTGATAATAGGCTGTAGTGTTGTTGTGTTGTACAACAGCTTTAATACCCTTTGTAGTTTGAGACCGGAGTCTGTTCCTGCCGACTGAGTAGGAATCTATAATGCTGGTTGGCTCAGGAGTTGACGGCGGGGTAGAATAGCTCGGAGTTTGAGCCCTATCAATCATCTCGAATATGAGTAAAGTATGATTTATTCTAAAGAAAGGATTTGTTTCTGATGATTTATGATGGATCTTGATGTTGAGGCGAGGTTGTAAAGAAGTTTGAGGTTTCTACTGACTTATCGTAGTTATGGCTGACACTGAAGTACTAGTATAGTTTGAGAATTTAGGGAAACTATATGTGGAGCTAGTACATTCCAACATGAATAGATAACTTGAGTGTAGTTGACTATATTTTGAACAGGGATAAAATGGGCAAGTTCAATAGATATCAAGTGTTAAGTGCCCCGCCTTGTTGATCTAAATTACAGGGGATGCTTTCTATTCATCTCTCAAAATGATACTCACCATATATTCTAGCGTAAGATCAAGTATTTCTAAAAGCTACCTAGCTCAAAGTCAAAGGATTCCCAAAAATCAGAAGCGGCCAGGTGAGGTTGGTCAGTTTATCAAGACAAGGCGGCTCAAGTAAAGTGGACACTAGAAACGGGATGTTAGTGTAAAATTAAATTCGTAGAGGCTAAAATTGCGTAAGAGCAGATAATATCTCAGTCTACCCTGCTAGTCCCCTCCTTTCATCTTCCAGCGTTCTCTCGTTGTATCGTCTCCATCTTTCAAGGTCACGAGTGTTGCCGTTCCGCTACATATCAGATCCTATTCAGTCAAATATTTCAAGTTTCATCAGTACGGGGTTCTTCCGAAACAAACAAGCGTTGTTAGTAGACAGTTTCAATTGATCAAGAATACTCGATTGCATATATCTCAGGTTGAACAAAACCATCATGACTTCTCAAATCGATCTAATTGATCATCTATCTCTTCCAGCATACCATATACCAATAAAAAATCTCTAATTACCGCATGCGCACCTCTATCACCAGTGCAATCAACATCGCCAAACATCACTACAATCGATAGTTATCATGCCAGGCCAGGCATACCATAAGAAGTCTGCGTGTATAGATGATTCCGAGAAAGAGTCATTAGCACGCTACCGACAAGTGTCGTGCAGTTCTCTATATTCCCTTTATGATGAAAATGACGTCCCGCCTGAAATAAAAAGAATCACCTCAATGCAAAAGGCGGAGCGGTACCCTCCGAGACGTGCCCGCGCTGAGAAGAGAGTAACTGAAAGAGTTACCAAAGAATCGGAAGCTGACAGTGTTGCCTATCAAAAGAAGCTGAGGCCGAAGCTTGAACTCTCAAAGCTTGGGGCGGAAATGGACCTGGGGAGCCCTGTATCTGGCAAAGAAAGTTCCATTTACAAAGAGTTAAAGACGACCCCCCGCCCCATGAACTCCAATAAGTCTGCCCAGAAGCCCGCGGGGAATATCAGTCAACTGTTAATATTGGTGGCACAAAAAGCAGACTTCCCGCTACACAAACCACAGCAATGCCGTTTGGAATCGTTGGACCGTTTGCGGATACAACCCCGACGAATCATGGTACGTACCTCGGGACTGCACAAGCTCTTGAGTTAGCAAAAATTGAGACTGCGTCTGCTCGACCAAGGACCAAACCTCCTCATCTAATCTCGATTACTGCCCAGTCAATCATCAGGTCCCCTGATCAGAACACACCTACAGTTACATCATCCATGAATGCCGACCGTGGATCCCCCGAAATCAGAAGATCGTCTACTAGCTCACCCGTAGGTCTCTTTATGGCTTCCTTTGCTGCATCCCACGACCTAGAGTTCTCAACCCCGGCTCACCTTATCCGGGGAATATCACAGCCCTTTCCTTCTTCGGAGACTCTCGGCAACTACCCCCAGTACCCTTACAGAAAAAACTTTAACTACCTCGCCGATGGTTTCGCTGGTTCGACATACCCAGGATTCAATCTTCAGACCAGGCACTTTGAGAGCTCTACGCCAGGGAGTGACATAGTCACCTATGCAACCAACAATACCCGTGATGGCGAGGGCCGCATGGATAGGGGCCCGTACTTTCATGATGTAGCTAGGGGTATGAGACCGGGAGATATGGATCCAGTCTGGAAGGAAAAGCAGGAAGAGGTGAAGGCGAGGAAGAAGGTGATTTCTAAGAGTATAATTTCGGCGCCTATCGGGCTGGTGGAGAAGGATGAGAGAAGGGTGGTCTCGGAGGTTATCATCCCGAAGGATAGTCCTTCGAAGGGAAAGGTTTGGTCAAAGGTATTGAAGATGATGGTTTAAGGCTTTTTATTCTTGCTTCGTTTCTCCTGAGGTTTCGTAGAGTATCGTTTATTACGTCGGATACCAGCATATATCTGTTACTCGCGTTAACTCAATTTCGTCATATTTGCAACTCATCAGATATCTTTAGATATCTATTTTTCTCAGCTATCGTCAAATATTTGCTTCGCCAGACAGCATTAGCCTTCCGGTTCGTTTGATGAAATATTCATTGCGAGGTTACCGCCTTTATGAGCTCAATTTGCCAACTCACCTATGCTCAGTATGTTTCCTACCTCCTAAGATTTCCGGCTCTCTCATATTCATATCAGTCCCCGTCGATATCGCCACGGACGTCCGTCATTCATTTAACATGGAAGTACGTTTTATTGGAAATCTAAGTTGCCATTAATTTCGTGAATATTAGTAGGCGACGAAGCGAGGCGGGTAGTACACGATGTATGTATGTATATTTGAGGTGTACGTGTACGTGGATGAAGCTAAGTACATGTACATTTATATATATGCTCCGCTAAGCGTCATACAGCTGCCTTCGCCGACGAAGAAATAAAGGATAACCTTTTCAACGCGGAGACCCCAGAAATATAGCACCACATTAATGAATCGATCGATAAACCATTCAATCAGTGTAGCACTAGATCTGGTATGTGCGAGTGATATCCTATGACTCTGAGTGATCGATATCAATCGCGGAGGAATATTGGATATGGAACTTATTGGAATATATAAACACATATGTCACTGGGCTGATGATGTGTCACGGTGGCTGAACGCTATAAGGCCGGGAAGGGACCATATCAACGAAACCGTGAGAGGTGTCGTTGGAGACCTAAACCCCCTGTCTCGTGCCCAGCCCGTTTGTGATTGGCTCTTGATTACATTGCGTGGCTTCTAAACTCTAATAGAAAATCATACATCTCTTCACTAGATCGCAGTTTTTGAATCTATCATACGATATTTTGTGGAGACAACCCTGGGGGTCGGCCTAGTCGAGGCTGTTCCTAGAGGCCCCGCTAAGTCTAGAGGTTTACCTAAACCACCAATCAATTAATAAGTTTCGAATCTAATCAGAAACACTGTGCAGCTGTTTCCTTATGCATGTATATTATATACCCCACGCAGTTATTTGTTCAAATGGGTAGGTGCAATGAAATATTAGGCCCTTTGCGGATTGGCGTCGACCCTCCCATCAACCAATTATACAAGTAGAATTTGGAGCCAGCTCTGTTTGCGCAAATGGCCTAATAATTAGAGAAAAAGCGTCTCAAGCGTCTCAAGCGTCTCAAGCGTTAATTTCGAAGCGAAAAATGCAAAGCCAGATAATATACGTACGTTTTTGGCTTTGCTAATAATAAAAAACCCCTTTGCCACTCAAGCCTTGGTTTCATACATACATGGTACATACCTGTACCCATCAGGGTGTACGAGACGTAAGGCTGAAAGCCATGAGCCAAGTTCCGAGGGCAATGTACCACAGACATGTGCGGAGGGCTATCGACGGGATTGCGTAATTAAATTCGATGAGAAAGACGCCATCGATCCTCTACTAGGGCCCTGCAACTCTCGGCCAATAAAGTTAAAACTGTCGCTAAAATGACTCCACAATAGAGCGTTTAAGCTCAGTCGAACGACCTTTGGTTAAGAAAAGAATATAAGCAGATTAGCTAACGAAACTAGGATTTGAAACCCGGATATATCCTGTTGATCTTATGTCTGATCATAACTTACTTAGCAACCGGTTCTATCATATATATATTCACTTAAATATTCTTCATAAAGGAAACAAGTGAGCTCAAACGGTCCAGACCTAATATGTTCGCCCTAAAATGTTAAAGGTATCAAATAGGAGTGTGCTACCTGGAGTATGTCATGTCCATGTTGGACGATGTGCAGACAGCCTACGCAAATCATGAGCACGAGCGTACGAGTCGGCCTTTGCAGAGATCCAAGAACGTAATGAAACTAGCTCATGCGGCTGCCTGGATAATTGATGTTGCATGATTCAGCTCTAGCTCATGTGGGTTGGCTGTGGAGATCGAATAATAAGAGCCAATTACATGTTATGTATCATAGAATTGATCAGATATGTTTAGGCAAGTAGTGAAGAATACGGCTGATAGGTCTACTTGGGTTTCCCTTCCTAGTGCTAACCGCGGCCCAGCGGCCTATTTAGATAATTCGATATCATGTCGAGTTGCAATTAGCGGCGCTCCTCTAGTCATAGAGGCGCAACTCTAATATTGATCCGATGAAACAATGTATCGATCCTAACTTCATATCCACGACGACAAAAAACTTGTAATAATTGTCAGAGATCTCGAGTTCAATCACACGCGCAGCGGGAACAACCGCATACGGAGATCCTTAGTCTACAATGTCCACGCTATCAGCGACTTCAGACCGATTATAAGCGGTAAATCATCTCGGGGAATGTGCACGTGAGGCTTCAGATATTCTAGATTGGGCTTAATTAATTGTGTAGGTATGTGCCCACGAGGTATTACTCGACTAGTGCCATGGTGTTGCACGTTGGCCAACCAATTAGACCAAAGCTTTCAAGTTTGCCTCAAAACATTAACGTGTCAACAACATACTACATACACACATCATGTAGCTTCACTTGACTCCGGACTGGACGAACATACTCTATGCTAGTAGCTTTATCTCCGACGGCTTTGATCGCGGACTAGAGTATTGAGAACATAACTCACTGGCCCGATAACAAGAGGTAGGTATTCACCCTGCATGTTCGGTCGCGGTTTTCTTCATGGACCATCTAAGGTTGACATTTGCGGCCTTGATTACATGTGAAGTATCTACTTTACTAGCTACTTTACTGCAGCTGACTCGAGAGTCTAGGCGCACCTCGTGATGTTCAGCAGGGGACATCTTGTGGTCTGAGGGTAGGTAAGATGCTGAGGATGCGAATAACAGCGGGATGTGTACGCAGATCATCACGGACAGCACGAAATACATGCCACTAGTGTGTGGCCAATACCCAAAGGGGCTATCTGCGTGTGCACTATCATCTGGCCATGAGATTGACTAAATGAAGGCGTACTCTACAAGGATTATCCAGGAAAGCGGGGAAAGATGTCTGCCTACACCGCCAAGCCCACGCGGGTTCCACGCCAGGCGGCGATCAATTTTGAGGCTCTAGTATTAATTGAAAACAACACAGCGCCGACTGATGCGATCGCGCGAGTGATTAACCATGAATGGCCGAGCGATTCAAGAAATACCGCCCGGTATACTCACCGAATTTCAGAGGCCCAATCATCAATGCGGGAACAAGCACGTTTACCGATTTAGAGAAACAATTATGATTGCCCGTTTGGGGAAGATACAATAAGGCTCGCACGGTGATAAAAGGGACTGCCATGATATTAGTAGGTATTGATATCTTTATTTATAGACCTTTCCCGTAACGTTAATTAGTACATACCGCAAAATCTCAGGAATAACGAATCGAACTGGACTGGAATATTGTGCTTCGGATTGGTCAAATGCTTGTTGAGCCTCAATCCGACAGACCTAAAGAGTAATTTTTGGTCGTCTTGACCAATGGGTAAGTGGTATTCCAGCCCAGTTCGATTCGTTATTCCTGAGATTCTGCGGTATCCAACTTTGTTTATTTGTCTAAGCGCAATAGAGTAGCACGCAATCGAGGGGGATTGATCGGGACGTGACTGCATAAGGATACCTAACCCTTGCAGCTTGCAGTGTGATACATCAAATTTCTCAGGTTTACGCAGTGCAAATATTAGGTCCTGGGTGATTATTGGCCATGCTCATGTTAATTTGAGGTATTTAAAAAGTAGGTACTGTAAGCAAAATGGGTGTTATCAGCTACATGTACATGTAGCTGGTACGCTACATGTAAATACCACTCTATTCTAGGACTCTGAGCAGGTACCCTAGAGTACCTACATGAGTACATGTATGTAGGTACATTACTCTATTTAGTTCTCAGCCAACTCAGCACTCTCAACTCAACCAGCAGCACATGCTGTATCCTGTGCGAATCACAATGCAAGTGATCAGTTATTTCTTTTGGTCTGATCCTTCAAGGCAAGGCCTAAGCGACAACAGCTGAGGACGCCACTGGCACTGTCACTTAGTCTACATACATGTAGATGATAGTCTGCAAGGATTGACATCGCTAGAGTAACTCCGGAACGTTTTAATTTATCCATACGTCCACATCGAGGTCTATGTGTTAAATTAAAAGGATAAGGAGAGCACATACCTGTTTAAAGTTCTTCACAAAATCTGGAGATAGCTGAAGATCAACCTAGTCGCAGACCAGTTCGGTGCTAGGAATGGATTGCTCGAAAGAACTAAGGTCGGATATATGTTCCTTGTAGGGAAGGTCTAGCATAAGACGGCTTCGGATCTGGGCACAATATTAATGTGCGATGGATGGATTTCACACCACATCGTGAATCATTCGAATCCACCTTTACAAAGGCAATAAGTCCGGTTCCTCAATCTTATCTAAGCAGAATAAAATCCCACAGCCAGCCACTGCGGATGGAGAAGCCTAATCATGAGAAGCTGCGCCGGTATGTATACGTATACTATTCAACAGACCTTAGGCTGGACGCTAGATTTGTTACATGTAAATATTCGAAATACTGCTAGTTCATTGTTTACATGTAGTCCGTTTTAGAATCCTTTAAAAGACACTGATTGGACGGCTATTTTAAGGTCTACACTCGCAGGAGATCAGCTTATATAATGCGGTATTGCATTCTTAGATATAAGTACTGCCTCCTCGACCATGAACTCGATGTTAAGTATCCCGGTATTCCCGGGCTCTATCATGAAAATGTCTGATCGTCTGATTTACGAGTGGCCAAAGGGCGAGCGTGGTAGTAAAATAGCAGCGAGTAAAATCACCGCTAAATACATTGAAACTTGTGTCGGCGCTGATGTTGCTGATTTGGCCAAAGTAAGTACTTATTTGTTATCAAATGTCGACCCTCTCTCCCTTTATCAGAATTAGAATCTTACCTCTAGATAGATAGTTTTTAATAATCCTTCATCCCGATTCCATCAGGAATGGACTGCGGCTGTCAAGACCTGTGACCCGCTTGATAAGGGGGAAAGTCGAGATAGAAGATGGACAGAGTTTAGGATCAGGTGCGGGGCTACGCTGATTGACGCGATGATTGCGGATATTAGAAGTGACCCTACACTGTCTATGCAGTTGCACCCCAGCGACTTTGTGGATCACTGGGTTTTTTCTAAGTGGATATATGATTACTGGCTCGCGGCTAGTCGCGGGAATCTTAACTGGGCAGGGAAAGGCAAACAAACATGTAAGTTTGGCTACAGTCACTTAAGGTCGGCATAGCAATCAACTAATCTTATTCTGCAGATACACCAAAATCACCTCAAAAGATAATGGCAGCGCCTCCTCATAGTATATCATCCCGCTCAATAATGAACCTTGAACTTGAGGCTAATATTCATTCTTTAGCGAATGATTCACAATTACAAGAGTCGCCGGATCAGTCACCATCTCCAAGAAAAGTAATGAGTATCGCCGAATTAGCGTCCTAGGAGTCTCTTGGGAGGGTTTCTTAATTATTGTGCCTTTCTTTCTACGTTTTGTCTTTTTCGTATTCCCATTCATCGTTTTTTTCTCTCATGTCTGCTAATTTGGTTTCTGGGGATACATATTTACAAAAAAGCTAAATTAAAAATTTACACAAAATTGCAAATCATTCATCATGGTACCACACACCGGCTGTTGCCGTATGCATCACAAAAAATGATGCAAGATACTAAATCCGACTAAACATTCAAACAAATTCTCTCCTTCGAAATTATTTACTCAGTGGGGGGCTGGATCTTGGCGCGCGCTCAGTACATGGTGGTTACTCACATACTGCGCATGCTGCAAAAGAATATTCCTGGGCTTTGCTTCCATCAGCACAGGAATTGTCTTCTCGCTCTTAACAAGACTGTCTCAAGTGACAACAGTTATGAGACGGGGACCGCAGCTTGTCTTACCCGCTCTTCTCCCGTGGTAAACCGACTGTAGCCCGGACCAGCCCGGGTCAAGTGCCTCGACAGTGACGACGTCGACCGCATGCCCATCGTAGAGTAAGTGCGAACCCCCCCCCCTCCCCCAAAGACAACCTCGCGTAGAAAAGTGACAGCTAGGTAAGATCATCTCTGGAGTGTTTTACTGATCTTGTAAGGTCCAAAACCTCTGACTGACTTAGATCAAGGGGTCCCGAGGCCGTGGCACACTCGTGTCTGGTACGGGGCTTGGCCAAAAGCTAAGCTTTTGCTAAGAGTCAGTCAGAGGTTCAAATTTATGGAACGTGCGGGCACCTTGAATCATGAGGTGTTTTAAGTCTGTCCAAGATATTGGGCCATGTTGTGGTCTCGTTCCCAGACTTGTCGCGCTTGTGGAGATACAAAAAGGTTAAACACGGGTCTGGGCACGAGACCATGGGCCATGCTTAGCTGGATACAAAGTACATGTGTCCATCTGGTCGAAAAATCAGGTGTTTTGGCGTGTGGTGTTTGGTCAGACCAGCTATGTATCTTAGATTGGACTGGAAATAAACCGTAGGTGTATCGCTTTTCTAACATTGAAAATACACACATTCCATACTATTCTTCGGGGCAGAGTACACACCCATTCCTTTCCGTTTTTGTTTACATTCCTCATCCCGCCATACCACCCACTCCAACCTCTCCCAACACTCAGACAGCCATTGAACCTTATCTTCTCCCTATGTTCTGTCTCCCCCGCTTTCCCTTATCTCATTAACACCAGTACGACCACCATCGGCCTCATCCTCTCAACACCACCAAACGCAACGTATACTACAAAGGCTTCATAACGCCCGTCTGTCATTGGAAACCACAGACCCAAACTTCCCGACTCAAGCCTACATCTCAAGGCTCCACATCAATCTTCAAACCTCCAGCCAACCGTTGAACAAAGGGGGACCACAGAAATGACCGCCCTCATACGACCACCCAGAAGAAAGCTTCTCGGCCCAAGACCAATGCCTGGGAAGCCAGCTCCTTACTGGTCTGCGCTGCCGCTGTTCATGAGGCCCCGATGCCCTAGGCTACCAGACGCCGATAAAGACGCGATGGCTGCGCCAATGAAGTAGTCGGTTGGTTGGTTCTCTGCTATAGTACAAGCGGGGACCATAACTACGACCGAGAGCTTTCCATAGTGGTGGATATATCGGCATCGAAAACCGAAGGGAGGGAAGAAGGATAGGGAGGGGAAGAGAGAGCTGTTAACTGGTAATTTTAATAATAAAACTGTGCTTCTTTGGGGGGGCTCACTGCCTGATCCTGTGTTACAATTTTTTTATTTATGGGTTTTGCTCGTTTTGGCTGTGGGAGATATCGGTTTCATACACTTTGGATTGTGGTGCCAATCAGGCTCCATTATGGGCCGTGGGCCTGGGTTCGTGGATATATTGGATCCGCAGGGGGGGGGGGGGGGGGCATGCTTTGGGGCTCGAAGGATCACCATTATATCCACCCTTCGACCCTCCTTTGAGTCAAAGAAGACTCCTTACCGGCCTGATGGACGTTCTTATAAAAACACAACCACTCCCCAAATCGAGAAAATCTCGCGCCAGAGATTTCAAAATATCAAAAGCAGAGCAAAGAACGAAAATCGACTTTGGTGATATATCATGAAAAAAAAAATCTCAAGGGGAACCTTCTTTAGGCCGGCAAAATGTTGCTAGATTGAGAATTTTCTAAAAGTCTATATTGAGCAAAACCATCTCCACTCTAGATCTATGATGGTACTCGAGCATCAAATTCAATAAAACCAGCAATATATTGACTCACTTATTTCAATCAGACAATATGATAGAGGTAGGGGTTTCTGGGGGGTTTCTGCTACAGGATGTGCGATATTGAAAAGATAATGAGAAGAGGTAGGCAGCATATTTATTGTGCGTGTTAGGTTTATCTCCATCTGCAAGCACTATCGATCGAGTGCAGATCTAGAGTCTATGTACTACATGTAGGTAGGATCTTTTGAAATCACATAATAAACATTATTAGCCATCCACTACTGAAAAAGATGGTAAGAGAGAATTAAACAACCCCTCGCACCTGATACAATGAACGACATTATACCACACATACCTGACCTATTATCTCACCAGCCTATACCACGCCTGCATGTACGGATCCCGGCCACCAATCTTATTGGGCAACAAAAATATCGCTTAAAAGCTTGATCTTTTAGTGCCGCTCAGGGGTTTGAACTACAAGCAGTCAAAGAGGGCGAGGACAATACTAGACCACTCTCTGCTGAATTATGCATATACCACCATCACTACCACCACTCCGCGAGTCCACCTTTACCTCAGGTAACGTATAACTATGCACTCTATTCCCGCTAATTAAGGCACGAATCAGACTCGCATGAGTACGACGGCACGCAACATGCAATGTTATCCCCAGAATGCAATGTTTGCTATTCCTTTACTAGGTCTTAAGATTTTTAGTCTTCTCGAAAAAACGAAAAGGTTCGCGAACGAGTCTCCACCTGGGAGCTAGCATTGTTACAGCTAGCACGTTTGGTTTAGTTCGTATGGGCTGGCTCGCAGTATACACTACTTTGGCAATATAGCTTACGAGCAGGATATAACTATTGAATTCTACTGCGTACCAGGTACAAACAACCCTCTGACTAGCGTACGACTTTATAATTTAGAGCAATCTTTGACTCATTACTCTCAAAGTCAGCCAGGAAAATACGGCCCCCGAATACAGACAACTTACAAGCATTCATAGCTCCGCACTCCACTACCCCAGTTAGAACCACACACACCCCGTACAGCCCAGCTATCCAGCCCAAATCCGCCACTACCAGTTGACCTTCACAACCTCCCTATACCCTGTCCGTCTCTTCACCTCCTCCGCCTCCTCCACCGACACCCCCATCCTCTCACTCCTCACATGTCTCACCCTCCACCACCTATTCATTACATGCATCCGATACGACCACACCATCCCCGTCTCGCACAGCAGCAGATACGTGATCGTCTCTCCCCAGCTCGAAAAGCTCATGGGCGTTTCCTTCCCCTCCCGCTCGTAGCCCTTTGTCAGGCAGTGCCAGCACCCGAACCACATGCGCTGCATGTCGGGGTATATTCCCCGCAGCTGGCAGGCGGTGTAGCCCCGCGCGGTCACCTCCGCCTCCATTGGCTTTGCGCAGCGGACGACGTATTCGGCGCCCCAGAGGCAGCGGCAGGAGAATTGGACGAGGCGGTAGTAGCACATTATATTATGGAGGGTTTGTAGGAATTGGTTTTTGATTTTTTGGTTACGTTGGTTGTTGGTTGTTTGTTTTTTGGTGGAGAGGAAGGTAAAGAGGTTTGGGGAGGGTAGTGGAAGCGAGAGGGTGTGTGTGTTCCTTTATGACGTTCGTGTGTTGAAGAATATCTTGCAAGAATGAGATTAGTGAGATATATATAGTATCAGAACTCTGGCATCTTCCAGGGGATATCTAGCTATATAGCGCTTTCCCGATTCTGTTCCAGCTCGCAACTGATCTTATAAACTAGAGTCGATAATGTGAATCACCCAGGCCGAGGATAGTGATTCAAGATTTAGAAAAATATAATGGCACATTCGTGTACGTGCAGCAAAAGAGAAAAGATCTTCTGATTGCACAAGCAAACACCCAAATCACGGAGAATCACTCGCTTACCAATCACGAAATCTGAATCAACAAGTCGTGCAAAACCCCATTGGGGTGTAAGAAAGCAGTCAGTGTATTCTGAATACACAAACAAAAAGCGAAATCACACCAAATCACTCGCTTTACCAACCTCCATGCAGCACAAAAGCCAAACCGACAAGCCGTGTAAACCTAGCGTAAGCTCTAGCACCCCCATACCACCGTTATTTTTCTTTTCTTCCATTTGAAAAAAGAAGCCGCCATCCTTTTAATCCCCCATAAAGCGCTCTATACCGCCACAACCTGCCCTTACGCGCGCAGAAAAGCCATCATCACCAGCGCAATCACTAGCATCACTACCGACCTGAATAGCACATCCCTAATCACAAGCCACAGTACGATCTCTGGAAACCCTCCTACTGCAAGTCATGGGCCCAGCAGCCTCGGCATTGCCCTCCGAACGCGGCGGTACCCAAGTACGGCCCACCTCTCGGGAGCTCTCATCCAGCGTGCGCCTGTAGTGTCGCCGTTGATCCAGGTTGCATATCTGGTTCTCATTGTGGTTGCTGATGGCATTGTAGTTGTTGATTGTAGTGGTGATTTGGGAATTCGGAGTTCGGAGGTATATCGAGAGGGGGGCGTTATATAGATGAGGTGTAGATGACGTTGAGATGTGATGGTCTTGGTGGGTTGAAAAGGGAGGGTTGAAGGTTTGATGTTGAATGTTGTTGTAGTGATGGAGTGTGGATATACGTATATCGGTGGTTGATGACACTTTCAAGTACCCGACTCTGTACTAGCTAGACGGAGACGTTTCTGGGTTCTCTACTTCTTTCCCACGACCTGGATGACGGATCCTCAACCCTCAACCTGCCGCACGCACACCAACATTCACGAGACCTTACAATTTAAAAAGCCACTTTCATGGGGAAAGACGGGGGTAAATACCCAGCCACAAATAGCACCGACGACAGAGCCAATGCTCACTCGCACAATGATAAGTCCTGAATTCTTTTTGGCAAGGTCTATCACCAGGTCTATCTAGGGAGCGAAATATTAAGATCAACTCTCGAACTTTGGGCAGCTTAAGGCTGACATTAGCTCATACTGAACTACTTTGAAATCCTTTTCGAGTTTACACACGGCAGACAAAGTCTCATGTTCGGATTTTGGGGGGAATGAAACGCATCAATTTCTCGCTGTGGGGACGGTATCCGGGAAAGCTTAAACATAGGTACATGCTATCCGGCTCTTCCGGACTCCGGAATTACAATATTACACTTTGTAACGGGTGCTGTTAGTAGATATAGAAGGTGGGATATCAATATTATAATTGGGGTGAGCTGACCTTGGCATATGGTACGGTAAACTCCACTTATATGTACTTGGTTAGTTAAGTAAGCTAATATTTTATTGGGGGTTGGTTGTTTCCTGCTTAATACCAAGTACTGATCAATTCACTTATCAAACTCCAGACCCGAAAGCCCTCTGTGGTGATAGACACACACTGGAATGACTAGGCTTTAATTGATGCCTTTTCCATACATATCAAAGTACTGTAGAGATCACATATTTACCGACGCGTTTTCTTTCGTAGAGAGTTAGGTAGGGCACAGTCGTTCATTAGCCGGTACTGACGGACTCTAGATGCTAGTGGACACTGGGCCGCGCCACCCGACCCCACAAAGAGAAAAGCAGAACAGCCAGGCTTTTTCTCAGGCTTAGGCTCCCTGTCAGCCAACACAGCACCCCGATCCCAATAAAGATCTGGGCTAACGAGATAATCGCCCCCCGAGAATGATCTGTTGATAGGCGGAGTTTGCGTTATAACGTTAACTGAGTGCGCATGCACACGCACACCATCGATGATGGTTAAGTCGCTTCCACCACCTCCCTCCAGAAACACATACCTTCGTTTGGTAGGCCCCCTCGGTACTTGTAGGCTCGAGGTTTAAGTTTGCAGCCTTGTCATTAGAGAAGGCTAGTCCAGTTTTGTATGACACGTACTCCACATGTAATCACAAAGGTCGAGCCTGTAGTGCCAAGATGATGTCTTCAAAGGTCGAGCCTGCGACACTGGCTGGCCAATCACAAGAGATTGGTGTGTCTTGGCATGGCTCTAGTACGTATACGTATGTAGAACAAGTAACAGCAACAACAATATCGATATCTCGTGTAGGTTTCTATAAGGAAACAGCACTCATGGGTTCTTAGACTAGTCCAATTATGTCGTTAGCCCGACGGGGATAACTACATGTACATGTACATGTAATTAACTAATATATGCAATTAACATTATTTTCACATAGTTAACGTTTTGGACTGCTTCACTGATTCAATAATCATTGACGTAAGATGTAGCTTAGTAAATATTTATGGGGAGCAGGTAAAAGTAAGCTTGAAGGTAAGTACATGTAGTGAATATGTGTTCTCAACTAAAAGCTACTGCTGTGGATGTTATCACTACTGCATGTATACGTACAGCTTGCCTGTAGGCTTCACACATATAGCTAGAGTAGAGATCACTAGATGTGCCTGTTAAGTACTTAATTATAAGCTCAGATGAATGTATCCATATATATACTACGTAGTAAATACTTGAAGGTACTGCTTAGGTCTTGGCGTATACTACGGAGGAGTATATATTCAAAGTCGCCCCCCCCATCAATTTTGAGAGCCTTTTCGATATTTTGCTCCCCTATATCGCTCTACTAACAAACCAAAAAAGCATCTAACCTATAATATACGCATTATTCAGAAAACCCTAGCAGTCATGTCTCAGCAGCCGAATGATTGTAGTTTTGATGATCACCTGCATCATGCAAGGTGATTACTTTTTTTTTTGACGCTAACAAAGGGCGACCAATCATTGAAGAATAGACCTTGATCGCTTCATGATATGCCTCCTTGGACCTCCGGAAGATCATCTGATCCGACAAGCAACTAATGATATTATTCGTGCACATGGTCAAGAATTTCCCCTTCCTCTATCTCCCATCACACTTGGACCACCATCCCCTGCCGCAGATCCTACAGCAGTCCTAGCTCTGGACGTGCCTGCGGCTGTTCCTGTAGCCACCCATCCAGCCGAAGAACCCAACCGCTGTTGTCCACCTCCAGGCCGCTGTGCCGGAAATTTTAAGTATGTCCTTACAGACTCTTCCTATTACTATCGAGATAAACATCTAATGCTCCCGCTCAGCGGCCCTCACGAATGTATTTGGAGCGGCAGAAAGCTCACCATATTATGCACCACGTGCGGTAAAGTTTTCCCACGCAAGAGTGACTTCAACCGTCACTACAAAAACCTCCATGATAAGACCTTGTACCACTGTCCGTTCCCGGGCTGCAGCAGCGTCTTCGCTCGCCGCGACAACATTATACCTCACCGCAGGAGCGCTCACGGAGAGATCATTGAAGTCAGAAAGGCAGCACCGCCTGGCAGCAGAGTCAGAGCCCGCGCTCGGGCTGCGGAAAATAATAGAGACGGCGCCCAGAATGGGAACATGGACGTTGCCGTTGCTGAGTAGTTAGACAGCATTGGAGGTCGAGACATTCCTGCCCAGGAGTAGCGCGTTGTTTTGAGGAGGCGAGCTAGGAGGATATGAGTGGCACTTTCGTTTTTTCTTTTTGTATTGAAGTGGGGGATTGGGTATGGGGTTGCATTGGAATGTCTTTCTCATTCGTTTCTCTTTCTTTTGTTTTTGTTTTTGGCCACCTTGGCAGGTGTTGTTCCTATGTAATATTGAATTTGAAATTTTTTGTGGCATCTGTTCCGATCTGCGTGCTTTGGTTTCGGGATTGGTCCTACGTTGTCTATATATCCTTCTTGCAATAGGGCTTTGGTGGTGAGTTTGTAGAAGGTTGGTAAATGTCGTGAAGGGCTGGACAGTCGTACGAACATGCGGTCAAGTCTACATGTAGCGAACATACGTGACTTCTCCCCTCTATCTTAGGAGCATTTGAATGCCCGAATATATTGTTTCCGAACTATACCCTCGGACAACAATTTTGATACCGGTATCATTTTCCACGTGATGTCAGGACTTGATTTTCGATTCGCTCTCCGGCAGCGTTCATGCGATCATCCATTACAACATGCACAAGCATGCCAGTACGCCTGAATTTAATCATTTAGGAAAGTTTATCGATACTCCAGCAATACAGAAAGGGCCTGCGTAGGTATACTACTCGGTAGTGATTATTCCTTAACTTTGGCCCTCTGAGCCTGGGATTGGCTCCTTCGAGATGGCTCACCAAAGAAATCAAGACCTGCACCAGTTTTATTGCAATTGCGATATGGGCTTTTTTTTCCCCTGCAGCTGTGATTTTTTGCTTAACGGGATTTTGTGTTTACGTAGATGTATGGAGTGCCAAGGGCTGTTCTCGCAGCTGTTTGAAAGAAACTGCGTAATACATAGCTCTGGATCGACACATCCCCGCAATATAGGTGTGCTATCCAATCAGTGACGAGTGATAGTTCATGAAGTGCTGAGTCCACTGTATCTTGCCAAGATTTTTGTAGAACCTCATGCCAAGGAATCTCGATCCTGACACTCTGCATGCCATGATCAAACTCCATGCATGCCCTCAGGCTCCAGAATGACCGTGGCTTGGTTTCAGTTCATGTATGTCAGTAAAGTGTAGTTATTGTGAAATAACGATCTGTGATTGCTGGCCGAGGGCCACCAGTACTCGCGACCAGCAACAAGAACCCGAAAATGCACGTCCTAATCTGCAATTTCCATTGGAGTAGAGGTCAAAAATACACCAAAGACTTGCAGCTGCATATTCGGGTTCTTGTTGCTGGTCGCGAGTAAGTACACTGTGCTTCTAGCGTAAAGTGTCACATGTCTCGCGTGGGTACTCTACATAGGGACTCTATGTAGAGTACGAGCCTTGATCACTGCATGTGGGTACTCTCTGTAGAAAAAGAAACATTTCTTCTCACGAATCAGGTACAGATTTGACAAGAGACGAGAAGAGACGAAAAGCACCAATTAACAGACAGTACTATATACTGCAAGTTCACTACGATATTTTCGCTGGCAATACAGAATTTGTACGGTACGCGGTGTTCTTGTAATTGTTGAGGTAGCGATTTCACTCCCTTTTTTTTGTACTATGGGTACTTGCAGGTATGAAGGGGTGATGGTGAAAAGATACAGAGAATGGTATCTATATATTGATATTAGGAGGAGGACTATGTCTGCATTAATACTCTGCGTGCGCGTTCCTGATCATGAATGATGCGACAGCGATGTCCGCCTCGCAGGGGTAAGTACATGTAGTCTAGATAGACATCTCTACATCGAAGGAGAGCCCCGGATGAGAAAATATAAAGAGCCAGCTACCCCCCGTCCCACTTCACAGCTTTTTCCCCATCTTCTACACCGAACCTCTGCTCCTTTACTTGACGCCCTACTCCAACAACCAATCCAATCTTTGAATTATATCTGATACGTCACTGACTTTGCAATTTGCCCGACATGTCTCAAAACCAATCCGACCCATGCATCTGCAGAGACATACAGCTGCAGGACGGGTGAGTAATTTTTTTTGACGCTAATGCATACCTTCAGGGTCAGTAACTACCACCACACCGCGGCAATTTATAATACGTGCACACGCGGTTGCTATGACCGCCTCTGGGATATTGATGGTGAACACCAAAAGATCGAGGGATGGCCCTTTGTTTCTACTGGTGAAATTCGCCGATATTACGCCAACCGCGATGCGGCCTCCCTGAATCTGGATAAAGCCAATAGTATGGAAGAGACACCGATTCTTATGACCGACTCGGCCCTGGATATATATGGCGACCGCTACACATGGAGATATCCTCCTATCAAGCGGAACCCATTGTGTACAAAGGGTGCTAAAATTAGATTCCCCGATCCTGGATATGGTGGTGTTGGTAAGTGCACTCTCGGATCGTCTTCTAAAAAGTAAGTTCCTGTACTTCTCCCCGAACTGGTCATCCCACAAAATCTAATTAACTCCTAACAGCATGCCCCACTGCTGCGATGAGACTGGTAAAGTCACATGTAAAAAACACTTAGCGTGTAACTTTACATGCTCTACTCGAGAAGAACTCGAGGACCACTTCAAAACCTATAGATATTGTTGTCCGGTACTAGGCTGTAAACGATTTGGGGAGGAGAAAGGCTTCCCCCGCAAAGACAACCTCACCCAGCATATCCGGAAAGTTCACAAAAGATTCATCCCCCGCGTTGCAACCCGGTTCGCCAAAGGAGGAGGGGTTTCCCGTACCGTCATCGACAAGCTCCCACAAGATCCACGCCTAGGAACATTCGAACTGGCGGAAGCTCCCTCTGAAGCTGTTGGTAGCGACGTTACATCTGCCGAGGAAGGCGAACACATGTATTCCGGCGGGGAGAGTTCTTTTATGTTCAAGAAGGTTCAAGAAGGTTCAAGAAGACTATGAACATGGTCAGGCAGAGTAGGATTTCGGTAGGCAGAGACATGTTTCGATATAGCACTCGTCCCCCATGCCTTACGTTGTTCTTGTGTCGGTTTTCTTTCTTTCCTTATCACGCTCTCTCTACTCGTTCATTCATCAGGGTCACGTACATCTTTGTTTTAGGTATGCCTGTGGAAGTTTGGTCGCGTTGGTATCTGACGACTCCATGACTGTACGAGTACTGTTTTTCTTTGTTCAAGTCGCTCCTTCTTCTTCTTTCCCTTTGTTGATCAATAAAACTTTTAAAAACCCCCAATTGTCAACTTGACCACTTGTACTGTGACTAGGTTGAAAAGGACGGAGCTATCCGGTGTCCTTATACGTGGCTTGGAAGTGTGCACATGGCCGAGCCTGTATAGTTCAGCGAAGACATTGCTGGTTGTTACGGATGGCTCCCGCTTGCCAAGCCACAGGCCAGTTCGAGTGATAATTCATGAGTATTATTATTGATCAATTGTTGTTTGATAATGTATTGTAGGGTTATAAAATTAACCGATCACTCACGACTACATCAAACCCAACCTCGGGTGAATAATTCAACTAGGAGAGCAATTGAGTAATTCTTGCCCTCATAAATGGAGTTAGATGCTTGCCAGGAATAGGCTTATCTTTTTGACCTTGAAGGTCCGGTCTCGATGTGATATTTCTTCGCAGGACAGTTGTGATTGCCATGAGTCTTACGAGGGTGCTAGTGATCGGTTAATTTAATTTATAAGTCTACAATACTTGTATGTGTATTCATTAATTGTAAGGGAAAGGTCTAAAATGACACAGATTTCAGTGCTGATCTGTAATAACACATGATTGCAAAAATGCCACACAGTTCGCTATGATCCAAAATGGGATGTATACTCGACCTCACCGATTACCCCTTCCTCGCAGCCCAGAGAAATTAAAAAAAAATCATAATTTTTATATCGCTGCAAAAAAAAAAAAAAAAAAAAAAAAAAAAAAAGAACAAAAGATACTGCATCGACTTATTTGTGATAAGTGTTCGATACTACCCCCACCCCCGGTTTGAACTCAAGGCCTTGTTGTCCAAACACACGGTGTCTAACCCGACGAGCAGTCTAGCCACATAACCATCAGACCACTCGCTAATGGTGGATGCTGCGCTGCGGGTACGTGATACTTGAGCTAGCTTGGCGGTGTGCCAAGATGAAACAGGACCCCTAACCCTCCATAAAAGTACTATGAAGGACATGTGTTCGGTCTGTAGCTGCTTAATCGGATCATATCGAGTTGTGTCATCTTGCATCATGTGTTATTGTAGAGCACGTCTACCGAAAAAACTGTGTCACCCCAGACCTTTCCCGTTAACTGTATTGATCAATTGCTATATTAATTCACTATGTGCATATGCGCATGCAATCCGGAAGCAAGAAACGCCACTCACTCCCAGGATCCTCAGGTTCACGATAAGAGCCCGACCCAAAAACGCAAGCTACAAGCTTTAATACCCATATAAATATCCCCCCACATATATATCCGTCGCTCAGAAAAACTCAATTCATCGTCAGAGTAATGCATATTAGAGGCCCTGTCGATCCTTCCCCGATTCTACTTTCGAACGGCCTGTCCGCAGATCTAGATCAATATCTGTTATATTGAGTCTGCACCATCCCTGACTGCAGTAGATTTTCATGTACCAAAGCGCCGGAATGCACAATGGCCACAAGAATAGCTCTTCACAAAGATCACCCACTTGATCAGACCATATATACCGCAGATACCTACATGTAGATATTCTAAATTCCATTTCGGCTGCGCCCCGCTACCCACATCAGAATCGAACCACAATACCCACAACACAGCACAAGCACATTGAGGATTAATTAGCCCGCCTATCCATATATAACCATCAAAACACACACTCAAGCCCTTCGTTTCCTACAACGCTGTATATATATAGATATCAGGTGTGTATGTATGTGCAGCTAGCTAGCTAGCTGGAGTTGGTATTTCGATGTGGATAGTTATATACAGCTGGCCCATGCATATCAAACGCCGTAACGCAAGGGGAAGAAAAGATAGAGAAGCGGGGAGGGGGTGATAGACAAACAAGATGTAAAAAATGAAAATGGGTAACAGGTAGGGCGAATCACAGCTCTTGGGCTGTGGTATTGGTGGCACGTGGAAAACAAAATCCCCCGCGCGCATAATGATGTAGATACACCCCATCTCAGACCAAGCAGACCAAAATATCACGGCCAAAACACCAGTCAAAAAGCCTAATAGCGGGGGGATAAGAAAACGATGGTAAATGAGATAAAAAAAAAGAAACAAAAAGATATATCAACCCACTCACAACGCACTAAACCATATCAGCCAGCACTGTAGCCTCATTACCCCCTCTTCCTCCTCCCCCCTTCCACCCTCCACACCCTAACACCCACCACTCAGAGCCCTCCTCCCCTTCCCCCTCCCCCCCGTCCCAAACCCACACCCCAACCCCAACCCCACCCCCACCCTCCCCAACTCCCCCTGCCACGACCTCTTCCTCCCCGCCGGCCCCCCCCGCACCTGCCCCACCATCCCCGGCACCCTCTCCCTCGCGCCCGGCAGCGGCGGCAGCAGCGGCGTCCTATCCACACCCCCACCTCCCGGAAGCATGCGCTCACCCCCTGGCAGCGGCGGCAGCGGGCGCATATCCGTGATGGCCCGCGCCAGGACTGATCCAGACGGCAGCGGCGGCAGCGGGCGCTCGGTGGTTGGGAATGCGGCTGAGAGCGGGGAGGGCGGGTCTTCGGGTGATGGTGGAAGAGCGCCGTTGGGGCCGGGGACGAGCGGGGCGCCCCATTGCGTGGGGAGGGAGGGCAGGTCTTTGTCTGCTGCGGGGGGTGGGGTGGGTGGGAGGGGTGGCTGTGGGCCGCGGACGTAGGGTGGGGGGAGGATGGAGAGGCGGGTGGGGTAGGCGGGGGGGTTTGCGTCGTCGCTGTCGTTGTCGTTGTCGATGTTGGGATTGTGGTCGCGGGGTGGGGGGATGGGGCGGTAGGAGGGGGGCGGGGAGAGAGGGGGGGTGGCATGGTGGTTTGAGGTGGGGGTGGTTTGGTTTTGTGAGGATTGTAGTTTTTATTCGTAGAGATTGTGATTGTGATTGTGATTGTGATTCGTGGAGATTGTAGTTTGTGGAGAGTGTGATTCGTAGAGGCGTTAGGTGGAGGATTGCTGATTTGCCAATGGTCTGTGTGGTCTGTGTGGTCTGTGTGGTCTGTGTGGTCTGTGTGGACCTTGTAGAGATTGATCAAGCCCTGACGACACCAGCTCGAGTGCAATGTATGGCAGGTACACGATATTTGAGGCGAATCGTTGTGGTTGGTGATAATCGTGATAATGATGATGGTGTTGATGTCTCCCGCTGCAAAAGCAAAAGAGAGAAGCCTCAGGAGAAGAAGACGGCGCGTTTATTGGCCATCCCAGCAGGACTTTCCCTCGTCAATTTCTTGGAAACAAGCTGTCGTCGCGGGGGGCCGAGTGACGACTTGTGGACCCCTGTATGTAGCCCGGTCCTCTTCCCTTCCTCCCTCCCTCCCTCGTAGAGGATTGACAGGGGAGGGAGGGTGGGTGGGTGGGTGTGCGGCGTGGGTCAGCTCAGCCTGGCTGCGAGTGGGCGAGTTGCCTTATATATCATGATCAGAGCTAGATAGGTAGGTGAAGAGCACTGGAGTTATAGCAGCGATCTCCGGTGGGTATACTGCTGCAAGATATCTGGATGTCTATTTCGTGCATGGTATCGTCGATGCTGGTCATGCATGATTCCGATCCTCGTATGTACCTGCATGAGCTAGCCAGACGAACCACGAGTGACATACCATGAAGAACACCCCATCACTCACCCCTATTCTATTCCCATCTGCAGATGTCGCGAGACCGCCTTCCCTCCCTCCCTCCCTGCCAGAATCGGGGATGTCCTTTAATCTCAACCCGTAACACCACAACGCTCCAGAACAACCCCGATCACGTGTCCGCCTATATGCCCCATATTTCTACGTATGTACAGGGGTTGTTTCGTCCCCTTGCACACATCTCACCCTGGTCCCCCCCACGTTGTGCCATCGGCTTTCGAGAATTCGAAATCGTGCTTGCAGTTGTCGAGAATCTTGTTTTGTCGTGTGTGTGTGTGTGCGACGTCGACGTCTTGCTCACCGGGGCGATCTTTTGTATTAACGCCGCAGCGCAGTACTCGGTGTGTGTATATTTAGCTCCTTACCCTTGCGTTAACTGGGGCCGGGGTAAAAAACGCGACCGTTGAGAATGTCAACGTCGACACGTATCTAAAGAGATGCGTGTCATACCGACCGAGCGATCTGATCTGCAGGGCCTTAAAAAAATAAAAAAGCTTGTACGGTAGATGTAGATACCGCCAAAACTCGAAAAGTTGGCTATCTCCGGCCAGGGATTATCAGTCGAGTGATTGGTTGAATGGCATCGATCTGCATCAGAAGTTTCCCATACAAGTAATTTTGATCTCTGGAAGCTGGCCAATTTTTCGAGTTATGGCGGTACATGCATTGGCGGCGTGGGGTTGTGTAAAGTACTAGTGCGGCTGGATACATGTACACGCAGTGAGACCGGTCGCGGTGGCACTAGCCGGATGGAGAAAATAGTAGACTTTTCACATTAAGCATTAGGTGCTAGTGTCGCTTGATAGCTGAGCTAACGGGAACGGGGGGTACCGTGGCTTTAACTGGTGTACGTTGCTCGCAGTGATTTCTCATGTTCATCCCAGTGTTCTGTTTCTCTTGTCTATCGTTCATTTCCCTTACTGAACAGGCCCACAATGACTGTTTCCCAGCTGTTGGACGCGGCAGCATGTTCAACGGAGAAATGGCCGCAGTCAAGTATGAGTCTTCTTCCCTCTCCCCCTCCCCCTTTTTTATCATCTGGATTTTCTCTCGAGCTCGCTAACCAGCCAAATAGCACCAAATCATCGCATCGATACCTAAACGTACGTCTGTTCCTACCAACATCTCTCTAGCTCTCATCTATCATCTATGCTCTCATCTATCATCTATCATCTATGACCCCAAATCTAAACTTACCTTAGCCACCTAAGCTATTCAAAGAAGAATTCATTCCAGTCCAAATCCCCAACATCATGCCATCCCCGCTCACCATTATCTGCATCTCCATCGCCGCTGGCCGCCGCCACACGCTCCGTAGTCTCAAGCTGCAACCTCCGCAACGCATCCTTCGACCTCATCAACATCCAGTCCACAATAAGCATCCCCCGCCCACCCCCACCCGCCGCAACCCCAGCACCACCATCACCCGCAACAGCTCCAGTAGCACCTCCACTAACAACAGGCGCCCCCGGAACACTTACCGCCGAATACACATCCCCCACCGCATCCTCTCTCCCATCAACCACCGCCGTCACCTCTGCCCTGCAGAACGGACACGGAATCGAAGTCGGCCACGGATCCCTCGCCCTATCCGGCCTGTTGATCCTCGACCACCACAGCTTCTTCGTGCAGCTGGCGCACGCATGGTGTCCGCACACGATGTAACGGATCCACTCCCGCCGGCGGCCACAGATGGTGCAGAGGAGCTCGGCGGGGGTGTCGGTGTCGGTGTCGGACTTGCTGGAGGCTGAGCCGTGGTCCGAGTGTGGCTCGTCGAAGTCGAAGCTCTCGAATTCGGGTACTGGCTGTGTGTTCATGGCGTCAGCGATTTCCCCGATGAGAAATAGTGCCATTGCGCTCTCGTTAAGTGGGTGTGTTGTGGGTATTCGGAATGAGACGAAGCCGGTGGGTGGCCCTGCTTCTTCCGCTGGGTTGTTGTAATTATTGGTATTGCTGGTATTGCTGGTATTACCGGTGTTGGCGTTATTGTTCGACATTTTGAGTGATACTGGTAAGTTTTTTTTGTTTTGGTAATGGTAATCTGTGTGATACTCTGCTGGTAGTTGTCCGTGATGAGTTTTCTGTAGGAGGGAATTATATCCATTTTATAAGAGCTTTGAAGCATTCGAGAATCAAAGTTGGGCATTCTTGAGATATATTATTTCAAGGCATCTTTACTGATAGCCGCATAGACCAGACATACACTCTCTAGGTTATCAGCAGCTTTCGACTGTTCGATTTATATGAACTTGAATATTTCCGTACGTCTCATTCTCCGAGAAATCCCTCGCGAAATTTGAATATTTACAAGGGAAAGCAGTAGACTAATTCAAGAGCAGACAATCATAAAAACTTGAGTTCAATAACTTCAGCCAGATCGGATCGACTCTGGAGTTGTGATGGTACTTCAGCATAGGTTTAGGCCTCGATATGGCTACATAAACATCCTCAAGCTACCTAGCTGCAGCATAAACCGCGTCCGAATCTTTCAGTAATGGTTTAAAGGTCTCCTCCTCTACGGCGTCTTCGAAAGATATATATCAGATAATTAAAGGTAGGTTCACGAACACAACAATGCTAGGGAAAAATCTTCTAATACATAACCGGTTTATTATACTGAAATTAGACATAAATTTATTTCTAGCTCCTACGCTAGTTGCGACGTCCACAACTTTGTACAGTCTATCGCCTATGTTTTATAATTACGAGTCGACCGTAGAGGATAAATTAACTGGACGGTCTTCCTTTCATGCGATCGGCCCCCACCCGTTAACCTCCAGGTGGACTGAGACACGGATATCTAGCAAGACCTGAGGTCGTAATTCCACTCCCGAGACATGCGCTACTCTAGAGTATTGGCGGGATGTTACGATTGAATCGAGTCGCAAGACATACATCCCGCCGTCGCGTTGTTGTTGAGGGGAAACATCTCGGTATCGGTCTCTTCAGTCCACTCGCCGGTTCCGTAACGGGAAACTGGCAATGCCAAGACCCGAGTGATGTCTTATGCTCACACAACCTCACCACACACGACGACGCGACGTAGTCACGTAGGTGGGCGGACGAAATGCTTTGCTCGACCTTATACGATAACTCTGCTGGTAGAGTATCAATGGGGCCCTGGATAGAGATGGACAGAGGTGAGGGGGTATATGCTGGAATCCAGCCAGCGTACTGTGCTAGGAGCCACCACACTCTAGCCACGGCGGATACAGATCAGGTGTTAATTTCGCCGAGGGATTCGACTGGCCCTCCTCGGGAGCGTGAGACTTGCGTGGCTTGTATCTGGAGGTGGGGGGGGGGGTTTCTACTGCTTTTGCCAGGGTTTGGATTGCATGCATATGGTATTGCCGCCGCTGCTGGCAGTTCCTTCATATGGCGAGGCTTTCATTTACAGCCAAATCCCGCCCTGTCAAAGCATCCTTACGAAGATCCCAGCGTTCAAATTAACGAACACTGAGCTTCTCGCTAAATTAACTTTATTCATTCCTACGTCACCTCAAACAAAACTCGGCCACCGAGACGGAGTTATGCAATATATGGCGAGCTTTCGTTGTACCTTTCGTGTACAGAAAACCGATCCTAATTCTATTCAATCCTTACGAACCTTCCAGCTAGCGGTCAAAGAGGATGAAGCCTATGTTTTTGCTAACAAACACTTCTCTCTAAATTCTATCCCTACGGTACCTCCAGCGAATTTCGGCCACCGTGGAAATTGAATTATGGCGGGTTCTCTGTGTACCCGCAAAGGATAGGAAGGTTAAGATCTTGTCCGAGTTCGGGATAATGGACTTGGTGGAAAACAACCCGCATTGCTCAATTCGGAGGGAGTATTTGTTAGGTATCCTCCATACATGATAGCCCTTAGAAGTGGTGGTAGGAAGAGGTAAAATCCGTTCACCACCGCATCAGGTACGTATACATACGATATCTCAACACCGGGGGATTCAAACTGTAAACCAAAAGGTTCGCTCACGATCAGTATCTACATCCACCTGTAGAATCAATCTAGCAGCTCCTGAGATCCTGTAGGCATTTGAAATTTCAGTGTGTTCCACGAGGCTACTCGAGGTAAACAGAAACAAGTGCCTCGAGATGGCTCTGCTTCGTGTGGTCCATGCCTTTGCTTGCTCATGAAAAATAGGTGATTCCTGGAGGTAGATTATTATTATATTTGGGTTCGTCAAAGTCATGTTTTCTTGCAATATTGGTATGAAAATTTAGGAAATACTTCCGATGCCCCTATCGAAAAGATCAAACCCATTGATATATGATTACCTAAACCTCGAGTAGCTCGAGGCGGACAAGAGAGTTTGCCTCGAGCATGCTCGCCTCGTTGACCCCCATTTCTTGAGTTTCCTCGAGGCAAGGTAGAGAGGCCTAAGGCATCAATACCTCGTAGACCACACTAGATCATCGTGATACTACACCTAACCCTAAAAAAGGAGGACGCAACAAACTCCAGAAACGCCAAAAATAAACAAAAAAAAATCGAAGGCGGGGGAGACAAAAGTCTCGCTGCGTGCGTTTGGCCTTTTTCGACATATAGGTTATGAATGCCGAGTTATTATACCAACCCTATCAGGTACCCCCCACCCCAGGATCGAACCCATGACCTAACGATGGCCATGGGAACAACCGACACGGTGTAGTGTATCCCCCGAACGAGGTGTCTACCCTTAGACCACACCTCGCTCACACATAGCTTAATACGCTGGAAGTAATATTTAAGGGAGATGAGAGTAAGGCGAGATAGCGGTACACCTAACCCTGGGCTATTTCGATAATTTCAAGTTACCACGACGTGCATCATGGCCCACTAACCTCTTGTTACCATGCGTGTGTGCTCTATTATCTCCCTTGAAATAATCGAGACACTACATCCTTCCCCGTCACCTGTATTACATGCATCTCTGCCCCCCGTTCACGGAAGGCCGCCGCATTTCACTCCAGAAAATCAGCTTTGAATACAAACGATATGGACTCTATGACTACAGGAGCAGACTAAATTTGAAGACAAATTCTCCATGACATCTAGAGTTTAATTTTCGGAGAAACATGGTAGAAATTCTCACGCTCACTCTCCCTCGCACTGCTTCCTTACATTAATGGCAAACAATCCAAAGAGGATATACGACGTACCTTCTGCCGTTTTACCCTTCTCTCTTACTTTTTTCGTCCCACGCGGAATTCATGTAATCGCCAGCTCTGACTCTATTGAGCTTCAAGCCCCGAAGTTTCCCGCCCGGAATGACGGCTAGCTATTGTATTATTGTTGGTTTGTAATACAGCCAATGCAGCACAGAAAACCTGCAAAACAGTATCTTCACGATCCCCTCCTCTCCTCCTTCTCCCCAATACAGCAACCGCCAGCTCTCCAGACCTCGCATGCCATCCCGCACGCTCAAATTGGGTTAAGTTAACCTCGCGCTTCCCTCACCCCCTCCCATGGCCAAAAAAGAACCCTATCACCGTTACAAAAGAAACTCCACGGCAGAAACGGCAACCCAATTGAGTTCCACCCCAGCTCAGATCATATATACAGAGTACCTAATGCTTAGCTTCTCTCCTCTCTGATGTACCACCTTTGTAGGTGTGTACAGTATGTACACTAGAGTTCCCTCATTTCCTAAAGCTGTAACTCGAGCACCCCCCCCCCCCCCCACATCCCTGTATCTGCGTCAGCCACTGCTGATCTGGCGGTCATTTTGAGTTGAGTTTTGATAGGCGAGTGGTCAAACCGAGGGTAAACACCGCCCAACCCGGCGGGGCGTTGCGGGGGGGTGTGGAAGAGGCTTGTGGATCTTTTAGAGTTGGTGGATGGGATGGGGGCGTGGAATATGAAGTGGTTGCGAGTAATAAATTAACAGCAACATCTAATCAGATCTTCTCTGCTAGCTACGTAGAGGATATATATCTCAGCAAGGCACACAGAGGAAATAAGGCCGGAATATCTTGGTCTGGAACATTACCTTTCGCGTGGGCAGGAGAGCATGTTAACCGATAGACAGCTAGGCTCGTGTAGCTGGTTGGGCAACACAACAAGAACGGCAGACCTGTGGCTAAGCGAATTGGGCAGCAGTGAGCGGACTGAGGAAGTCAAGTAAGAAAGGGGGACATCATCCATCGTGTCGGGTCTTCAGGCTTTCTTTCCGGGCTGGATAAAGAAAATTTAAAAAGATGAAGAGCGCAATGTAATGTCGGTCTCACCAGCCCCTCACGAGAGAGAGCCGCGACTCCGAGCAGAGAAAGCAGGTTTATGGCGAGGCGGAATGTTTAAATTACCCGACGATTCAAGCGAGACATCCATCCCAGGTAAGCAAAAATGTAAATGTACGAGTAACTGGAAATTGGAATGCCCATCCCAGCATGTAGAGTATATGTAGGTTGCTGTAGGTTAAGCTCTACGCTGATCATGAGCATTATTGGAAATGTGGTTAAAGTAAGATCTATATGATCTACTCTGTATTAAACACCCCCAAACTTGCCTGATCTGATCTGAACTGCGTTGTGTTGGTGCTTTTAGATCTCGCGGGCTATTTTTTCCCTGCATGTTGGATTAGTGGTGAGTGATGTGAGACATGCTTAATGATCTGCAGGCCTCCCTGCATATTGCGCTGATCTGGATCGAATCTGCATCTAACCGCCACTGATAGCTGGATATGTGTTAGCAGCGCTACATACACTCAAGAGCGAAAGCTTCGGATCTCTCTGTAACGGATTTGAGGGGGGTTGGGCGTGAGTTATGCGAGGACGTGGTGCGTCATGTGTTATCATTCACTCCTGCGTATCTTCCTCGAAACTCTCCAGGGCAACTACTATAGCTACACAAGACCACATGTTGCAAGATAATACGAACACGCTTATGACGGCAAAAACGTGGTATCAAGAAGAAACAAGAATTCATCTCATTCCAATCACAAAAATAATTGTGTTGAACCACTTGCAGGTGTTCGCGTCTTGTAGCGATATAAACAACAACTTTAAAAGTTTATTTACTCTAATTTGCACTTGCAATATGCAATGGTAATAATCATGAACATGTACACTGTACTCGCCGCTGTCCACTCATACCAATGCACTCAACCACGAGCGAATAATTCAAGTTCCTGCTCACTGGGCCCATCACGTACCAACCACCCATCGTGCCCATAACCCCTTGTGCACGGGAGGCATCACGAGATTCTCACTCGCTCGAAATCAGCTGGAAAAAAAGAAAGAAAAAGTATGTGAGTAGATGCATCTCGGCTCATGAGACGCGCAAAGCTTGACCCTGAGTTGGGGTTTATTCAAACTGCAGATAACCCAATTCTGGTTCCTAATTGCAATTGCTGCTGGCATAAAAACAAATCCTCTCGTTGTACTACTATAGCTACTCCTCACTAGAATCTTCTATATGCTCGAATAGGATGGCTAAAGTAACTATCTCTCTGTGTTTTGTAACTCTAGCATACTCTGCAAGAAACCCTCAGCCACCACCGTCATCATATTTCCAAGTTTACCACACTTTACACCTCCGACCCTCTAGCTCTCCTAGCTCTTCTAGCCTCCTAGCCTCTCAGCTAGTCCCCTACCAAGCTTTTCCGCTCCCCCGAGAATGAACTCCGTTTCTCCACACCCCTCTACTAAGCTCCATACAGTCCTAGTAAACGCTAGATAAATAGAACAAGATCCTTCTCCGCCCCGCGGTCCGGAGTGGCTTTGGTGACTGCCGACGCTAGGATATGTGCCGATGAGTTGGTGGTTAAGGGTAAAGGGGAATGGGTAAGGGCATGGATAATGGCATGGGATAATGCGCTAGCATGGATAGGGTGGTGAGCGTGCCGTGGGAACGACACTGTATCGAGCTAGCATGGCTAACTTTACTTTAGATCTGGGTGGGTGTTATTTGGTTGTGTAGATCTGAGCTGAAGAGGCGGGGGGGAAGGGGGGGGAAGAGGTAGGGGTTTCTGAAGAGGGTTGAGTTCCCGATCTTTGTGGTGGGGTGGGAATTGGAAATCGATTATGAGGGAATATTATGATCGGCAGGTACAGTCCAGAAGAGAAAAAAACCAAGAAGGAGGTCAATGAAGAGGAGGGTCTTGGAGGAGGAGAGTCTTAGAGGAGGGGGAGCGGGATCGGCAGGAACTCTTAGGGTTTTTAGTAATTGTTTATTTGAGTGCGGTTTTGTTTTTACATACATTCTCGAAGTTTGCTCGATTATGAGGCGAAAAGAATTTTGCTGGGTTCGGCTCCAAATTTTTGCAAATATTGTCGACAAGGAGGTTGGTAGAGTCTAGAGTTATATGACCCCTGGCATATGAGTTCGCGAGAATCTTTAGCGAGTGTGACATCACCAATATATCCATGGAAAGTAGAGAGAAGTGATTGATTTCAATGTTTACCTAAATTTTTGTTATCTGATTCTCATCTCATGATCAACTAATATAGTTTTATGCATGTCTTAAAGGAAATAGAGTAGTCTGACTTGAATTTGTTTCTTACTTTGTTTTTGTGGTTTCGCTTTCATGTCATGAGAGTGGTTTTTCTTCTGCCTCCTTCTGTTTGAGTATGATTGCGAGATTTAGAGTGTAGAATCGGTAAGAGAGAGTGCATGAGTATCTACTATATGTGTGTTACCTATATCCACCGCGTACAGAGAAGGAAAGAGAGACAGTAAGTGAGTCAGGAGTGAGTGGGTGCGAGTGCGTGTGAGTGAGCTGTTGAAGACACGCGCGGAGAATTTCTTGTGTGTGAGATATTGCAACGCCCATGGCCAAAGACATGCATACATGCACGGGAAATAACGTTGTATAGTACGCTGAGATATATGTCCATCCGAAAAGACGGAATACTATGCGATGAGCCGGCATAGTATGGAGTTTAGAGAAAAGAAAATAGTTCTTCACGAGAGCACGTGCGACAGTGTGGAAATAGATGGAGAGATACCACGTTTTGGTATCTCGAGTACTTTGCCTACAATTGATGAGTTAACATACATACTTCTCGAGTAATTTTTACAACCAGAAAAGTGAGTGAGAGATCATGACCACGAGCTCCCCCATGCATGGAGGAGGAGGTCTAGAGCACCGCAAATCAACCTCGCCTCCCCCACCACGGCCCAAAGATAAATCCCCCCATAACCTTCAACTTTACCCATCTCCATCCCGACAATCCCCAATTCCGAGTGATCCCTCACGCATCTGCCCCTCAGAGCTGCCCAACTTCAGCTGAAAGACGGCACACTCTGCCTCCATGTCGAGTTAGTTTGCATATCTGTATGCACATTCCCTAGCACTGCTGATCCGACCAATTCGGAGATTTTTATTTCCCGTACAAGGGTCCAAATCTAGGACAACACAGCGAGTAGCACTAGCCACTATTGATGCAGGGCACGGCCCGGCGCGGCGATCACCTGTTCGGCTAGGCGGCTATCTGGCTCATCTGCACTGTGCGACATCAAGATTGGTGTGTGCTAGGCGAGATCGGGCTTGGCGGTGTGGGCAAGGGTTGTGATGAGGATTACCAAGATGGGCTTGTGAGACATTGTGTCATTCATATGATCATTGGTTTGCAGCTCAATATAACCACATGGAGTATGAGTACGAGATTGGGTAAGGGGATCTTTATTCTAACTTTAGAGATTATACTTACTTATACTACGGGTCCAGGTCCAGTCGAGAGGTAATCTGGAGGGGCAATTGTAACTACAAATTGCAAAGCTTAAGTGCAATATTTTCATGCTTGCAATTAATTTTTTGTACTGTGTATATGGTATCGAATAAATGAGGGGTTAATTCTCTTGGTAATTTTTGAAAGCTTTATGGTGAAGGGAAACTTTAAAACATAACATGGCTTCTGAAAATAACTAGCAACTGCCGACCTCTAGCTAGCTCCTTTCTTTCACAATTTTAAACTAGAGTAATCTAGAGGAGTTTATCCGACGCACAGCCCAAGATCTAGAGTTTGGTTGAAGCTTAACTCCGTGCTGCGTTGTGATGTATCGTCAAATGGCTCAATTACAAAATTTAAACTAAACCGCTTATAATAGATATCGTGAAACAAGTAGGGGACTTTACCTTGGTTTTTCTCTACTTTTTCTCGAGCTAGATTTAGTCACTCGTTCTAGAGAAGTGAGACAAGGACGGGAAAAGGAAAACTAGGAATGCTAGGTGGAGTCCCTATTGTACCATCGGAGAGGCGGTGGGAGGGGCCATTAGATTCGAGGTAAGACATTATCTGACCCCCTAGCTAGAATACTGGTGATAGCCAGCTAGGCCAATGTCACCATCAATGATCGTGAGCAACACTATCTCCGTGCACGAACTCAGCCGGACTAAGTGAATATGTGCGGATATCCAGTGCACTCACCAGCGCTGAATTCTGTATAAGTAGCAGGCCCTCTGTCCACCTCTTGTCCCAGCACCAACCATCACAACTTCACTCCTCATCCAGCCTTCTCAACATCCTTCCACTCCCACTTCTACTTTTAAGTAACCAACTCACCAAACTACTCAATCAAAATGCGTTTCTCTACCATCATCGTCGGTACTCTCGCTGCCTTCGGGCTCGTCGCTGCCCAGGCTACTCCTGCCCAGCAGATCGTTCAGGCCTTCAAGGAGATCACCACCCTCTCTGACAACCTCCGCATTGACACCCAGAAGATCAACCTCATCAATGCGCCCCTCCAGGGCTACAAGATCGCCCAGGGCTTCGCTGCAATCATCACTAGAGTCGGACAGGCCAGCGCCATGCTCAGTGGTGGTAGCAGTCGTAAGACCCGCCGTCAGATGGCACCCCTTGCTGATGCGGATGCTCAGCTTGTTGTGGGAGCATTGACTACTGTGAGCTATTCAATACTGGTATCGATGAGAAAATAAAATTCTAACAGCGAGGGAATACAGTTCGTTCAAGTTCACCAGGCCCTCCTCAATGTTGTTATCGGAAAGCACGGACTCCTCACTTTGATCCCATTCTTTGAGCCCATCCGCCAAGCACTTGTTTCCCTTGAGGCCACAGTTGACGTGAGTTTTCCAATAATTCTTAACTATTATATCGATTATATACTGACCAGCATTTGAATAATAGACTTTCGCTTTCTACCTCATCGCCATGATCCCTACTCAGAAGCCTGCAGCTGATACTCAGTTCGGATCTTTGACTGTCACTGTTAAATTTGCCATCACCACCTATGAGCAGCCTTTGTAAACGGTTACTACTGGTAAATGCGAATTACCTAAAAATTAGTTTATGAGTTGGATGATTTTGGAGGGTCAATCCTTTACTTTTACTATAATGTGCGCAAACTTTTACATAACGATTGTTTCTTTTTGGAATGAGGAAGAGATGGATCGAGTTGTTAGTTAGTTGTGTCTTGGTTGATAATATATGGGATACTTCCTTAAAAGAGAGTATGCCTTGAATGATCTTGAGAAGTGCGATTTGTGATTGATCAATGAGCCCAAAGCCGGAAGAGTCAATTAGAAGAGAGGATCAATCCAGTATCAGAATTTGACTGGCAATTAGTCCGCACTGTAGTAAGAGGAAAGCCAAGGGCCGAAGACTTGAAAAAAGGACAAGATTTGATATGGTTAATGTTCCGATTTGACTGCGCCCGTAATGCTTATAGCGCATATTTCCTGGGAGGGGTTGGTCATGCATGATGTTGCACTCGGTGCCGCTGATCATGATCGGAACAGATTAGATTAGATCCTTCGTCGCACAGGCTTTCTGAGACAGCAGACAAGTTCTGCTTGGCATATATACCAGAAGAAGCAAAGATAGCCAGGGGATATCACACCAAACCGCCAGACATAGCTTAATTGAATTGAAGGTGAGAGGTAGACCGTCCTAAGAAAGTAGAACCCTCACAGCACTCCTAACGATATGACGGGTGCTAAACTAAGCCCCGCGCTTAGAATCTATCAGGACAGCAAGACAGACCTAACGCGCAGTTACCTGTTGAAGGGCCCGAATCCCAGGCCTATGGCGCAGCACGCGGGGAAGGGGTAATCGAATCGAAGAGGGAACACACCAGCAGGACAGTGATCGGCGTAGGCTCGTCCCCAACCCGTCTGCTTCGTACTGTGGGCAGCTTGCTACAAGTAACGGGCTAGTTACGAGACTATGATCGGTGTGACACCCCCGCCCAGGGGGAGGGAGTGAGCCAAAATGACAGGTTACATGATTGCATGGGAAGGCTAGATCCCCATATAATAAGATGCCCAGCTGTTACCGACGGCGTTTCATCTAATCTCCTCTACGCACCAATTGACTTTGAACAATAGTCCGATAATTTAGCCGTCTCGTGCCCTCCTTCTCCCAACGTGCCCCACTCACACACCTCTGGCGAGCACCGATGACGACCTTGACAGTGGTCATAAAGAACAGGGGGTGCGCCAAAGACGATACTTTCCGGACCACTTCACCTCTATAGCTACGGCGAGGCCCGACTGTATGTCGAAAAGAGGGATGAGAGAAGGTTGATGAAGATTTCGTTTCTTTTTACATTGAATTGCTAATGATTTGTGCCCTAGCCCGCCCAACGTTTCCTCGGATTGTGCAGATGAAGAGGGCTGCAGGCGAAGACGGAGGATGATTGCCAAAGCTTAAGCCTAGGAATTTCCGATGAGAGTGGACACATATAGGTGACCTCTCACAGAGTGTTACCGAGGTAGGTAAATGGGGTACCTTGCGTTTATTTTTTATTTCTTATACCCAATGCTAACAATGAGAAATAGAGTCAGATTTGATGAAAGAACCGAATACATCACTACATATATGTATCGGAAAAGGCCCTAGTTTAAATTGAAGCCCCTTCACTGTGTTCAATACTTCATGATTGGACGGGGTAATTCCTAGGAAGACTGACAACGTTCAGGTACGGTTTGATAAACGGTTCACTCGAGGAACCTTACTAGCCAACCGACACCCTAAGTGGTCCAAAACAATTGATAACTTACCTTCTCTTGGTCATGCTGGTGAACGCCGTTTATGGACACTCGATTAACGACGGAAAATGGAGTGTCATATCGGAACTTCACATCCTCCACTAATTCGAGGCTTAATTGATGTTATGTTTTGTCAGCAGCATGTCTATTCGAACCTCTCTACCGCCGCGCCTGATGCTCCAGTGGAGGCTATTCTTGCTTTGAGTTCTATTAATGACTACTCTCAAGCGTATGTGTCTCCTTCTGTTCCCTGGACCCATTGTGCTCTGGTTACTTTTGCCACTTTCAAGTGGAAAAAAGGGATATAGAATAAGTTTTGAATTCCCGAGGAGAAAATGTGCTCCAACTGTGTTTCTACAAGTCATGTGCCGCTATTTCGGAATCCGGGCTGGTCATTCATTATCATAGGTGTCAGGATGTCTCGCTAACTAGAGTATCGCCGTATATTTACCCGCTATAGGGTTTCCGATCCGGAGCTCGAGGAATATAGGCGTTTATCGGCGTTGGGCACTGCGACAAGGTGAGTTATTAGACCAAAACCTAAACGTTAACGTTCTGTTTAAGATTCTCGTACGTACGTACAACACAGCTGGCTTGAGAAAATAACCAAAAAGAGCGGTGGCAATGTTACAATTGATTACTGTACAGCCCTACTCACATAGTTTAAGAAGTGAGGGGCCGGAGGGAAGATGCAAGGGCTAGGAACAAGACCAAGGGTGGGACATGAGTGTTGGCTCAGCGCTTTTTTAAGTCAGTCACGTGCCATAACCCTAACCCATCTCCACTATCAATGATCAATCCCCTAGAATATAATTCAAAGTTACTGCTGCGTATATGTGACTAACCGAAAGCCTCAAGATCGTAATTATGCTCCTTGAAGTCTTTCTAGAAAATCGCACCGTCACCGAACCGGTTGGGGGCTTAAACCCGGTAACATCGGTTCGCCGGTGAAGTGCGGCGAAGAAATACAACCCTTACCCTGATATCATAACACAGCGGTATTAGATTCTTTCCTCGCAACGTCATGGGAGGATCCGGAATCCTCGGTGACAATGAGAGCGGTTTAGAAGACTTTGTATCTTGGCCTGCAAACAGCCCTGCCGATAATGTCTACACCGTGTTGTGTTGATCCCAATGCACCCCCGGCCCGCTGTGCCACCACCAATCCGGTAAACTATCGCTGAAGATATATATCATGAATCTCCATGCCCATCCTAAGTATTGATTTGCTATCAATCCCTCCACGAGTAACAGAAAAAAGTCATACATACAATCCCAAAGTCTTCGAGCTGTGCTTTAGACACCACATTCCTTTACCAACCAACCAGAAAAACATCTTATCACGATGCAACTCCCGGCCATCACACTGCCATTCATTCTGCTCGTCTCCACCGCATCCGCGACGTTGTCGGCTCCACAGCATCCCCAAGTACAGGCCGCCATCGTCCCCATCCGCTGGGAAACCTTCGAGTGCGGCAAGCACTGCCCTAAGAACATCACGGACATCCTGCACAAGCTCCCGCCACAGTGGCAGCGATTCCACGATGGGACGCTGCTGCGAAACTTTACGGGCCCGTTGAAGCCGCCGAAGCCGCCGAAGGGCAAGATTGAGTGGGCGCTGCTGGCGGAGGTGTTGAGGAATAGGACGGCGACGTTGAAGAAGCAGAACAGTACCGCGACGGCTCCTCCGAGGTTCATTTTGGGATAAGGCGACGTCTAGGGGGTGGTGAAATGGTTTCTTGTGTTCTTCTCTTTCTTTTCTCTCTTGTTTTTCTTTTTTGGGGGGAGGAAGATCTATGGTTCGCTTGTGTATTGGAGTTATGGGTTTTTCTTTTGGTAATCTGTAGAAATGAGGTTGTGAGTTTCTAAACCATTATCCGATTGCCATATATATTGTTGGACTAGATGAAAATAACTTGACTACGGAGTTTGAATTTGCCTCTTCTTATTCGATTAGCCATGGTCGAATGATCATCTCTGAGCATATATATTCTGCGTGTAGGGGCTGTCCAGGGGCAATAGTCGAGACATTGTGAAGCATGCCACCAGCTAGCTATTATAGCTTGAAAGATGACTGCATGTTATTAAGAGAAGTGGGATGTGTAGTAAAGACGTAACGAAAAGCGGGCGGGAACACGTGGTTAGAAACGGTGGGCTATAGCTTACATTCTCTCTATGTCTCCTGTCCTTCACCATCGACACCACCACAAAAATCGCATTGCTCCATCGCTTCAGTTCTTCACGTTTACATCAGCTCGTCGAGAAGCTTCGAAGGACCAAAGCCCGAATACAGGTAGGTAGCGCGCAGCCGACAACGTGGGCTTTACACTAACAGGTCAGTTGTACTAATCTATGTATGTTTACTCATCTATATCTCCCCTCTCAGTAGCGTATACTAGAATCATTGTTAACATGAGCATAGAACTAATTACTTAGAACAGGATTCTAGACGAGGCTTACCCTCCGCTCAGTTGCCAACGATGAGTTCGAGATAATTTATTAAACAGGAAATATCCTTCATGTATCAAAGCTTAAACGCCGCAAATTTATCAAGCCGGTGCGATTTTCCTTGGTCTATATTCCTTGCATGTACTCGGTAGAAGATATATTGACCTTGTATCCTAACTCGAATGATTTAGCATATTTGCCTTATTATACTTAAATTTCACTATAGCTACGGTGAACAATCAGAAACTATCATATATTGGTGGCCATGGCGACGCTGATCACTGACTGACAAAACGCTATAAAATCCTCCAGAATCTAAAACTATTTCACCCACAAGCTATCTAAACCGCCACTTAGTCACAAACCACACAACCACTCGCAGTATCTAACCCCGCAACCTCTCCATATCTCACTACCATGCGCATCACCACTCTCTCCCTCCTCCTCCTCCCCCTCGCTGCCGAAACCGTTGCCGTGCCCGCCCCCACCGATAACAGCACGTGGGCCGAAATTCTCACGGACATCCCGTTCCCCAACGACCCTTGCAAGAACGGTAACCTGGCTTGTTTCAAGTATGGGAAGCAATGGGAGCAAGCAATGGCCAAGAAGAAGGCGGCGCTGGGGAGCACGCGGAAGCTTACGACACTTGAGGAGATAACAGGGAATGGGGCAGCGGTCACGAAGGTTGGGCTAGAGAGATACAAGAAAAAGAAAGACGAGGAGGTAAAGAAGGCAAGGGAGGGCCGGAGGTAGACTAGGCTTTCTGGAGCTTTGGAGTTGTAATATGGAGAGGAGGTGCCACCGCCGCCGTCATCGTCGTGTGTCCAGGGACTTGGCGGGACGTGCAGGGGGCGTGTATGTAAATATGGACAAGAAGACCCAGCTAGACTGGTTATGATGGATGGAAATATTGACACGATGGCTTCGTTAATCGTTGTGTTGACACTCGGTTGACCGATTAATAAAGGAACCTCGTATTAAAAATATGAGTTAATAAGAGGTAAACTTGGGTTTGTAACGAGAATCCCGGCATTAAACCCCACGTATGTACTACATTGCGATATTGGAGAATTATTATTATATCCGAGTTGCCTAGCGATAAAAGCCAGCCCATTCAACTTAAGATAATTTACTAAAAAACTACATGTAGCGTGACAGCTCGGGAAAGCTACATGTTCATGTATTTACGATATCGATCATCAACCCTAACTCGGCAGACGAGTGATAATCCATGAAGTTGTCTATCTACTATACATGCAGTCGACGAGACTTACCCGCGATACCACAACCCACAGTCCCTCAAAAACGTCGTGATGGTTCATCTGCTCCTCTTGAGCCCTCGGTATCACCCAGAGCCCAAGAGGCACAAAACGAACCAACGCAAAAAAGCCCCCTCCCCTTCACATTGTGAAGGGGGAGGGGGCAAAGTATCCTAACGCAAAAAAGCCCCCTCCTCTTCTTGTGAAAAGGAGAGGGCAAGGAGACCTAACGCAAAAAAGCCCTCTCCCTAAATGGGGAGAGGGCAAAAAACGACTTAACGCAAAAAAGGCCCCCCCTCCTTCAAACGAAGGAGGGGAGGCCCCAATGCCGAAAATAAAAAAAAAATTTTAAAAAAAATTGGAAGGAATGTTCCCCCTCTTCCCTTTACGGGAAGAGAAGGGAACAGACCCCCCAACCACACCACCAGCAGGAGGCCAGCAACCCAACCTAGCTGGCTGCTTAGCCTAGCTAGCCCGAAGGCCAGCACAGCACAGCAGCCAAGCCCAGCACCCCCCACCACCCAGCCAGCAGAACCCCGCGCCCCCCCCCCCCCACACACACCAGCCACCCCGCCAGCAGAATCTCCCCCCCCCCCCCCCCAACCACCCAGCCGAGCAGCAGAACCTCCCCCCCCCCACCACCCAGCCCAGCAGAGCTCCCCCCCCACCCACCAGCAGACCACCACCCCACCGCAACCCAGCCCACCACAGTTTTCAAACCCTCCCTTGCTCTGTGCAAGGGAGGGCCCCGAGAGGGGAATAGCGGAGGTCTATGATTTTTTTTCAGAGAAGTGGGAAGAAACAAGTCCTTATAAAGAAAGAGCTAGAAGATTTCGGCCGACATTTGGGGCTTGGCATTTTGTTTCACGGTTTAGGGCTTAAGCAGAGTGTTGTGTGCCAAGGATTGGCGTTTTGGGACACCTTGCGGGGGATGCGAGTGGGATCACTCGTTTCTTGTTGGTGGTTAACCTTACGAATGTGAGTTGCTGCACTTGGGCTTGCTTTACGTGGCTTCCACGGTTAATGATTTTGTTCGTTTTTCCCCAGCACCAATTCGTACTTTCTTCAATGGTATGATGGACCCCTTTTTACATCGACTTGGGAAACTAAACCTTAGCTTCTAAATAATTCCAAGTATCCCGTTGAAGCGTGGCAAACGAACGCGAGGGTTGGGAATACAGGTGAGTGCTATGCAGGGTTAGGGATCTGCACCTTCAACCAACCGGAGCATATATGTGGATGTGGTATTGACATAGGTAGTTAACCAACTCAGACCTCATCTCTACGCCAAATAAAGATCTCAAGGCCGTGGAAAAATGAAGAAAGCTACATCACGCAGAACTAGATATTTCGCAACACCCCCGAAGGCACCATCAAACATTCTCGCCAACATATTTTTATCTCAAACTACATACATACTCTCCCCACAACCACCGGCACCACCACCGACACCGCACCACAACACACCACAACACACCACACTAAACTACACACGCTTATTCATTCTCCACATCACCCTCCTTCGGCTCCTCAAAGTCATAAAGGTCCACGCTGGGGGTAGTATCCAACTCTCCCTTAAAGTCCGTAAGATTCGCCATCCCCTTCATATCGCCCGCCTCCGCCATCTTAGCCACAGTCTCAGCAGTACCCGGATCGACAGTAACCGTCCTGTTTGCGCCGGTCTCGGTCGTGTACACAAAGACATCGGGGTCGATACAGCCCTCGGAGATTTGGCAGACCTCGTCTTGGCGCTCGAGGAGGACACTGCGGCGGAAGGTCCATTTGCAGATACCCTGTTGCCAGCGGCCGGAACGGACGCCTGTTGTAAGGGGTATGGGTTAGTGGGTGTAAGAAGGGAAGAGAAGAGAGTGGGAGAGAGAGAGAAAGCTTACCGAGGAGGCCGTTGTAGTTGACGCAGGAGCTGTAGCGGGGGCCATATACGATGGGGTAGTTCCAACTGCAGTGTTTACGAACCTGACCAATTCCACGGCTATGTATTTGAAAAGTATCAGTAATAGTAACTGCAGATGTAGGAGAGGGGGCATAATATCACATACGTTCCAGTGGGAAGAGTCCAACGCATGGAGCGTGCTTTGAGGGGGAAATTGCAACAGGCGTTCGATGGGATGTTGTGGCAGACAAAGTAGTAGCCCCAGCAGCCATGCTGACTATAGCCACGGATGTCGACAGCAGCGACGGCCGCAATGGCAGAGAGAATAGCGAAGATGGCCAATGTTAGCTTCATAGTTGTTAACTTGCTCGTGAAGATTGGAAGTGCTTGGGTAGGATGATGAGAGAATATGGAGTGGGATTCGAGGGGAATTTATAGTAAATATGTGAGGTATATTTGATATGAATCGAGGAATATATTGCTAACTAGGTACAGGCTCAATCTAATCCTATAGGCACGATAGAGGAGTTTCTCATGAATACGGGAAAAATGGTGATAGTGTTCCGCTTGCATGCTCGTTTGCGATCGGCAGATCTATGTAGACTCTGCTGTACAAATATTTTCCTGTTCATGAGGAATATGTGCCGGCCCCATGATGCCGGTTCGGGTGTTTTCTAGGTAATCATCCTAAATATCAATTGAATGCTTATACTTATGCTTAATCTAATAACAGGCCCACACGATCTCAAACACACAAATGTGAAAATGCCGAGTACTCAGGTATGGATATGGCACAGTAATACGTTGCTCTTTTGAAGGAATTTCCCCAAGGTCAATGCTCTCGAGAGTGTGTTCCACGTCTCGAAATATCAAGGGAGGGAGGATTAGCAAACAAACCTGCCTATGCCGTGGCCAACATTTCTTGCCCATCAGGTGCCCTTAATCATGCTTTAATCTCTCGTATACGAAGGAAAAACGAAGATTCAATTTAAAACGTGAATCAAAATATTTTTAGGTATTGAAACCTTCGAGCAATCATAAATTAAGCCGACTCGGCTCATGCTACCATCCTCCTCACTTGAGGTGCCGCAGTAGGGGCCCTCCCGAATAACACAGGAAGTATGTATGGCTCGAGAAGCTATGGGGACAGGAAGTATGTATGGCTCGAGAAGCTATGGGGGGTAGGTGTGTAAACTTCGGGGTTTTTTTAAAGAATCGGCCAATCAAACTTATAGAAATTGGCCATAATGGTACTAGCGCCTAGACTAACCCTGGCATTTTCTCAGATTCCCATACAAACGAAATTCCTCTGAAGTTGACACCCGCTCTCTAGGCCTTCTCGCGCCATACTGTTGCGAAACAGAGGAACACTCCCGTCACCTGAATGCTTGACTTTTGACAATAGAAAGTGGACCACTAAGGATTAAATCTATTGGTACTAGCGGGGAATTATTAACGTTAAGCGTTGTACGGAGGTTTCCGAGACATAATTTATCAAGCATGACTTGATGTTGTGCAATCCCAAGTCGGACTATCCAAGCGCTGAGGTACTTGACATTGCACAACCTTAATAATCTATCATGCTGTGCTATTCTCGCTACTCTTTACCCGGCGCGGTGAATAGCAGTATTTCAGCTATGTACCGTTACAAGAGTTGCACTCCTTACGCAGGCACGCGGGGACAACCGAGTGCGACAGAAAGATACCGGCGGAGTGGCTAGGTTGGCCAATGTGAGTAGATTAGTTATTCATGAGACTGGTTGAGATAGAAAGCGTAAGAACTCAGAGGTTTTTCTTCTGGGAGCATCAATTTTTCGAAACCCGCCAGTGGAGAACCTATACAAAATACGTTTGTCAGAACGGATTTATATAGCGATTGTCTTCGCGTTTATCGCTTGCAGTCAGCACACAGCAAATAAGTCCTAGTGAGGGAGCTCGTCGCTTGATGCTACTATTCCTCGCCATTAAAAGCTAGCCTCTAATCCCTACTACTTGCCAAGCATCGATTGAAGTTAGTAGCGACACGCCACTGATTCCGTTTTGGGCTTTTACTTGAAATTCGGAGTAGTGCCACTGTTGTCGATTCATTTATCCTATCTCTCGTGAAGTCTGATTTTATATTGTGGCTTACCGTATATTAAAAAGTATCTATCGGTTTCTGGCCGCTTAGATGAGCTGTTGGCCACTGTGAAGGCGATGAACACCCCCGGTCAAAAGAATGCGTGACACAACGTTCTGCTGTGCTCTGGACTGCAATATTCATGCCTCGGAGACGCCTTAAAAACTCTGCACAAATCACCAACACAGACACCGGTGGAAATTGTTGGTGCGCTAACTACATGGACCACATGGACCCTTTCAGCCCAAACGAACGAGCCGTGATATTCTTTTAGTTTTCGGAATTGAAAATACGGTAGTTGTGATATTAAGCGAAGATATGTATGTGATCAGCGAACCATAGGCTATCACTCGGGTTCGAGCAAGGTAGCTTCTGACTGTAGCCTGCCGATCGTTTATCAGACGAAAGCTTTGAGAAAGATATTTTCTTTCATCAAGTGACCTTTAGTGATGTACCACAAAAAACTCGAAGAATTCGCTAGCTCCGTGCGATCAAAACTACCTCTATGAGAAGCATCTAATGTAGATCAATATCATCCAACCAATCCCTCAAGAGATAATCCCTAGCAAATTTCTCGAGTTTTTACGGAGTTGCCTTAGATGTACATATATGTATGCATACAGCAGGTGAGAGGCTATATGAGGATGGATTACCACTACTGAAGAACGTTAGTGTGAGTCCCACAGGGGCTGAATACGGAACTCAGGTATAAGGTGGGATGGCCATGAGAACATTACTTACACGCTGCGCTGCCCAAAAGGGTGCAATCATGAACTTCCAAACCGAGTATGAAAGTTCTAACCGAGAAAGGGCACGGGATTCTTGCCCAAATACCTCTAGACAGGTGCAAGGCTATAAAGTTGAGATCGGAATTGATGTTTGCTAAGAGAAGAAACGAAGCCGTCGTATGACTCACCCTCAAAGAGGCACCGGTATCAAGCCATCGTCAGTTGACCAAAGGTGGAGGGTGCGGAAACTGCAAGCAGCAGCCATAAGAAATGATGAACAAGGTGCTGTGTAGATACTTCTTATCTTCTCTGGAGTAGAACGTATGGAGATGTTTAGAGGGCGCGAAGAGATCGATGGATACTAAGGCGACGTAGCAATAAAACCTGAAGGAGCGCATCCATATCCCACGTGTACCGCATACCGCACGTTGCACACAAACTCTAATCATCTCCATAATTACGGACTGCTGAAACACCCTCTTCTCTGTATACCACCACCGCTCTGACATAAAGCTCCTCTACTCGTGAGATATCATACCGAAACAATTTTGATTCCTAAGGGTATAACCGAAGACGGCGGTGATGTGATGAGATTAATAAATAAAATGTGAGCGCTGTGATATAACGAGCGTGTAAATTGTGGATTTTGAATCGATATCATGTCTATACTGTCGGGGATTATATCTGGTCAGCGACGGCTGATTATCATCCTGAATAAATCTAGATCTAGAAACAATCTAACATAATTAGATATTTACCACTCACGGTGTGTTGTGGAGGAATTTGCTGGCCTATTATTGCGGGTATTTCCAATTAAACTGTGTATGTTTTCGAATCCTTTTGCCATTATCATCATCGCCTATAGCCTATAGTTTGATTATTTTTTTTGGTTTTTCTCTAACATTTAAAAATATTTTCTCTCCGAGCCTCTATATCTAATCTCTTACCTGAATCCAATCCGGCACGAACACATCTCGCATCTCGCTTCACCCCCCACGGCCATCACAACAGGTATCATCTATTCACTCAGAATAACTGTTATCGCTTACCTTAGACTTATTCAACATCCTAGAACAAAAGCGAGAAACCCTCTCCATCGGGCGTCTGAAACTACTATAACGTCTGATCATTCCATGCTCCGGCTCACTCTTGTAGTAGGAGAGGTTGCTCACTGAACCTGTATATGGAGAGGTGAGGATCTGGGCAGATTCTGCAACCTGCTCATACAACTCCTCCGCGCGCTCCTGGTCTTCAGCATCCAGCTCTCTCCGAAGGCCGTAGTGGACACGTCTTGCCTCTTCAATGTGTTCTAATGTCAACCCAACTGCCATAAGCGTGGCTGGCTCATAAAGATCCACACACTCCAAAATCTCGGCTGCAAGGTCCGCTGGCATTATTTCGGCATTTATCCCCTGGCGTAGCGGCGAAGGGGTACGCTTCCAAGCTCTATTGGGGGTGTTTAATGGCTTGTTACGGTACTCGCGGGAGGCATGTGAAGCGCCCCAGGATTCTGTCGATGGATCTGACCCGCTGGGAGAGTACTCTGGAATGGAGCTTACTCCGCGATGATGGGTCGATGGAAACGGTTGGGTCTCGGCACTTCCAAGGGAGCTATAGGAGCCAGAGGCAAATGCGAGGCTTCTGTGGCCCTCATTGTGTTCGACAGTTGGATCTGCAAAGAACCCACCAGTTCTGATATTGTAGAACGTGTGTTGGCCATTATGGACTGCCTCTACAAAGTCGGGGTTATCTTCGAGAATACGACGATTTTCTGTGGCCCGTTGGGTATATTGGAGGCCTCCGTCAATGTAGTGCTCATATGAATTCATTGTGTTGAGTGAGATAATAACTGTAGGTTGTTCTCTGAAACTGTAATTGCTGGGGATGATGCTGACAGATGGAAATGGTGTTGGTAGATGAAATGCGCTTCTTATAAGGAAACCACCGTCTCCACGATTTAGTCAAGACGGGATGTATTCAAGTTTGTACGGTCAACATTCGAAATTTCCTGGTTGTTTGAGGATGTGCCCATATTTGATATTCATATGAGGCCACTTGAAATAAATGTTTCGACGTCATGGCTTTACGATACCTATGAAAAAAGCCAGCAGTTTCGAAGGGCCATTGGTAGTGTGGTTGATGATGGGATGAAGCCTTCCTTTCATGATCAAAGTTACCGGCTGTCCTTGTCGAAAAACATGGACCGCTCAAAGGTTGGTAAAGTTGGTGCCAAGAGAGTATTAGATTAGATCCTTTTTATCCCCCTTATCTGCAACCAAGTGGTCCCTATCACCTGCTCCAGCACCCACTCTATCAGCAGTGGCTCTTTTTCTTTTTCTTTTTCTTTCTTTCTTTGCTGCGGGGGTGTGGGTGCATTATTAAAGCGGGGGATTCTTTTTTATCACCACGGCCAAAAATACCTTGATGACCGGGGGGTATTGATCATAATATATCACTCGCTCGGCGAGAGCAACACCAGCAATGGCTTTTAACTCAGGGCCGCGAAATCTGGGAATAAGGGAGCATCACGAGTGTGAAAGATGTTTCTAATCTTTAGTAACGCCGAGAATTTATTGGCTTTAGGGCTGGATTGTATTCTGCCTTCCCTTACGCAAGAAGGTTCTCAAAAAAAAAAAAGAAAAAACCAGCATGCATCTCTTTTCTTCCTACTGGAATAACATACACGCAACTCAAATTTCTATCACGGGTAGATGCGTTCGTCTTCGAAGTGTGGAAGCATGCGGAAGTGGAAGGCTAAAGAATATCGAACCGCTAGCCACATCACCGCCACAGGCCCGCTTGCTAAGGCCCGCCATATCAAACTACACACGTGGCTATTATCTCTATACATGGCGCAAAACCTTTCACAAGATTTCATGCTACGATTTCAACATGGACATGAATTTTCTCCAGGACCTCAGCATCCACTTGAATCTCAAACTCCAAGTTGAATCTTCCCTACAAACATCATATATAAACGCAACAGAAATCACCCCTAAAAACTTCCACCACTACTCACTTATTCCTCAGATACCCAAGTCCTAAATCATTTATAATCAAGAATCTAACATTCCCCAGAAACAAAAAAACAAAACAGTAATGGCATCAAACACTAACCACCCTCCAGGCCCCCTAAACCCTCCCGTCAACGACAAAAATCCAAAATCCCGATCCCCTCCACCAGCTCTCACACCAATGTTCCCACCCCACCAGCTCGTGCCAGACAGCTATACCCACCCCGACCGCTTCCCTTACAGCGCCTACCTCCGCTCAAAACACCCCGATATCTGGCAAGCCAACGCCGATAGTGTTTCTGGAGCGTTTAAAGCTCCACTCACAGATGTGAATCCTCCAATTAACCCAGTCGCAGTAGCCATCAAAGCCACTGAAGAATACCTCCGAACACACACACCCATGACAACCAGACAGTGCTCTACCCCACCACTCCCGCTTTCTCCGCCATACGTAACGCCCGTTGAGCGCCCAGGTAATAGCCGCTACGACCCCGAGCACGGGGGCTGGATTGCGCGAACTGGGAATGGGAAGGGGAAGGGCCCGGCGAAGAGGGTTGCATTTAATCTGGAGACGGAGATATTGGGCGATTTTGAGAAGTACGGGAAGCTGGAGAAAAAGAAAACCAAGGAAGAGGAGAAGAGGGAAAAGCGGAGGGCGGAGTTGAAGGGGAGTATCTCGGAGCCTATCGGACTGATTACGGAGGCAAGGAAGAGGAGGGAGGAGAAAAAGGCGGGGAGAGCAGAGTGAGTTTTGTTGTGTCTAGTTGGTGCTAACAATTAGGTCTGATCATATCCGACCAGCTTTTGGGCCTGGATTTGAGTTTAAAAGGTTTATGGCGATGGTATTTGTGTTTCAGTGGCTAGAGCGATGGTTATTAGATTAGATTATGAGTGGAATAGATCATTTATAGAGATTATAACACAAATTACTTCCAGTTGCGCGTTACCGAGTGATTATGATATGAAGCCTCACGCCCGATCTATGATTTCCGAAGCCATACCTCTGGTATTGAAATCCCCAAGTGTACTGCCTTTCTATGAGTGAAATGTAATCACCTAAAAGTATTCACCAATCAATCGAATTCACATATTCCGCTAGATACTAGAGATCCAATATAAAACCAAAAACCGAGATTCTAATTCTGATCATCTAAATTCACTATATCTAACCATCTCCCTCGCTAAAACGTATTCCCATGCATACCCAAACGCATTCCATCAACACAACCCATTCCGTCTCTATCTATCACTCCCACTCTCCTTTCTTCTCGGTCTAATAACCCAACATCCCTCGGTATATAATCCCCCAGCCCGCTTCGCCGAGATCGATGCAGCTGGATGGAGCCATCACACCCCACCTTCCCATCAACCCCTCCTCGGCTTCGGCCTCTGCGCCGGGCGTGGACGTCCACCTCCACCTCCGGCGCCTCGTGAGGGAGGTACTCCCCGTGGGCCTCCGACCACCCGTGGTGGTTTAGGCACTGTCCATTGACCACCCGAGAGACCTATACCCGGCCGTACCTGAAACGATGGTGGTGAGTTTCCGGCCCATTGCGTTCGTGGGGCTCCGCCCCATTGCGTTCGTGGCGCTGCGTTAATGCGGCGGGGTGGGGGGGGTGGGGGCGGTGGTGACACTTTTTTGGCTCTTGCGGGGGCGCGTGGGAGGAGGTGGGGGGTTGGGGTGAAGGTGGTGGTGGAGGTGGTGGCAGGGGTCGGGTCGGAGTTGGCGGGGACGGGAGTGGTGGCCGCGAGGGCGGCGAGGATGAGGGGTATGAGGAGGGCGGGAGTGGAGATGTGCATTGTGGTGGTTGGTGGACCTGGAGGTAGTGGGGATAGTGGGAGTGGTAAATAAGTGTGTGAAAAGTCGTGAAAAGGGAACCTATTTTTTTTTAAAAGAGTGTGGTATCCTCAGCGCAGCTGTAGGATGTGTGAATGAATGTAAGTATGATGAGAAGAAGATCTGGAGATTAAGTTAGTGGTGGAATCTGGGTTAACTTATAATCATCGCATTGTCTATTCTTGCTGACATCTCCAGCATCTCAGAAGCATAGAATGACCATATCGGTCAGGATAGTACCTGAGGTCGTGGCGTAACTAGAACTCAGGTAAAACCGGTCAATCGGGTCTTGTAGGCCGATATATTCTACAGTATACTGCGCTGCGGAGAGAGAAACACAGTAATGCAGTTGATCCAGAATTCGATATATTCATAAAGAATCTATATCAAAAAGCATTATAAATCGATGTTGGTACCACATTACTCATGCGAGACACCGCCGGACGAAAAGTATAGCAGGGGGCTATGGCCGAAACTCCAAAAAAAATGGGCCCGCCAAGGTTTATAGAGAACGGCGAGAGAATGGGGGGGGGGGGCGGTAGAGACTATTTTCAGGCTGTCTCAGAGAGTAAAAATGGAACATCCGAGCTCATCCGGCCGAACCTATATATCATGTAATTATTATCCCCTAAGCGGTCCCTTTTACGTAGGGGATTAATAGGGTGCTTATAAATTTATTAGTCGAAACCAATCGCTTGTATGCTTTTTCTTTTTTGGATAGAGGTACATTCCTGAGGTAGCAAAAAAAGTAATGACAAATACACGTATTCGCCCTCAACACCCGGTACTGTGCATGCCAATTCTTGGCATTGGAATCAATTCGGCGGTCATAAACTATCACCATCACTTATTAGCAACGGCCGGTTCCGTAACATACATAACGCGGTACGCCCGGACCGGACCTGTGATAAAGGGAACTTACATCTGTATGTGTGGCTGGATCGTGTGGCTGGATCATGAAGCGACCGTTTTTCTTTCTTTTTTTCCTTCACTATCAAACTTCCATGGACATCTCCGGTTTTCCCTAGCTTGTTTGGTATCCCCATCTATTTCGTATATATATTCTGAGTCATGCGTTGGTTCTTCAAGCACCGACACATACCTAGCAAAACTACAGAGATCCCAAATATGGATTAGAACAATAGGTTTATACAGCGTCTCAGGTGTATAATCCTCACAATATATATCCAAAACTATCCCACAGCCATGGCCAGCAGGTATATCAACATCCCATATCTATCTCCCCCAAAATCTCAAGGAAGTATTCAGTCGTCCATAAGGCTCGAGAACAAGCTCGACATGACGATGATCTACACTACATAGAGTAAGTCTCTTGCTGTAGTAACTCCAAATCGGGACCGAGCAATGCCTTTAAAAAAAAAAAAAGGCCTCAAACCAAGGAGCCACAGCAAGTACTTTGCTCCCAACATGAGGTGCGAACCAGGGTTCGAGTTCTGGCCGCTGCTGTGATGATGGTCATATAGATGGCGGGGGGTATGGTGAATGTGTGGTGTAATTGTGGGATGGAAGGATATGAGGTTGAGCTGTGGATGATAGGGTCGAGAGAGAGAGGTGTTGCTTCAGAAGTGATCACTCGTAGCTATGGCTGACTAAACTTTTGAGTGTTTCTAAACACGCTAGGACTCGCCAAGAGCGAAAATAGCTAGACCTGTTTCGTGTTGGCCAAGCCTGTTGCTAAGACCTTACGCTCACTGTTTTACGTCAAGAAATGCTTCGGATTCATCAACTGTCTCCTACATAAGACAATCCTTTTTCTTCACTATCGTGGTCACCACCAGCCTTCACACTTGCACCGCAGTTTCATTATCATCAGCACACTTCAATTCCAGACTGTTGCCAGGTCTATAAAAGAAAAATCCCAATATATAAGTACCAAACCACCCTAGCAGACTATACTCCAGAACCAAAGAGAAAGGAAAGGAAAGAAAAAAAACAGCCCCAAAGAGAAACTCGTCACAAGAAAAAAGAAAGACCTTTCATATCTATACATGATACATGATCCAGCAGAACTCCTCCAGCCACCAACAGCCAGCGCAGCCCCTCTAGTTCCTCCTCTTTCCACCGCCATACTTAACCTTCGAGTTCCTCGTCACTGGCACAGCCTTCCCCTTCTTACCCCCCTTCTTGGCCCCCGCACTCTGCTTCCTCTGCGCCTTCTTACCCCCCTTCTTCACCCCGGCACTCTGCTTCCTCTGCCCCTTACTCCCGCCCTTCTTCTTGTTCGCCCCCTTCCGGCCACTCTTGACCCTCGTGTTCTTCCCCCCACTGCCCCTCTGCTTTCTGCCGCCCATCCCCTGCTGCTGCTGCATCCCCTGCGGTGGCATTGACGGATCGGGTGCTGTAAAGCCACCCGCCGCGGCGCCCACAGCGCCAGCAGCAGTACCGACGGCGTCGGCGACCCCAGCAGCTCCAGTGGTAGCGTCGGTGACAGCGGCAGCGGCGTCGGTGCCCGCGGTAGCGAGCTCGTCGGTGGCGCCGAGGGCGGCGTCGGCGGTGCCGGCTGCGCTGGCGAGGGCGCCGGTTGCGGCGCCCGCAGCGGGGGGTACGGCGGCGTGCACGCTGACGGCGAGGGCCGCGAGGAGGAGGGCGAGGTAGTTGCGGGTGTACATGTTTGGTTTTGGGTATTAAAACGAGTGTGGATGTAGTTGGTATAAGTGGAGTAAGCTGAAAGGAATAAAAAATAAAAAAAGACTAGCTTTTTGTGGAAATGAACTGAAAAGAATGGAAATGTCTAGAGCACAGCTCGAAGAGACTATTGGTTGGCAGGGAAGGGAAGGAAAGGAATGTGATGAAGGCTGATGATGAGGGAGTACTTGGGGGGAGGAATGCTACGCTGTTATATATCCCTCCTTGGCCGCTCTACCGGGCAATTACTGTGCACCGCATACTAGCTAGCATGTCATACCTACCTCCCCTCTCCCCCCTTTTCCACTGTGCATGTACTACTACTGCTAATACTAGCTACTAAAGCACCCACCGCGGTCAGGACTACGTACCTGATCTGCTTGCTCTACACCGGCGTGAAGTAGCTAGCAGCACCATATGCATGTGTACGTATATACGGAGACACTTAAAACAGCGGCGTTATTCATGCTCCTGTTCTACGGTGTGAATGTACTGCGGCGTCGACGCGGCACACGAGCCGCACTTTACCGGTGGGCGAGATCATTACCCCTTCTGTGTGGCGAGTGCGCACGTGCGTGTGTGTGGCGAGTGCGGTGGCGCTAGTGCTGATACGTAGAGGCACAGTTTCGATTGGTCAATGGGATATCGGGGGATTGTCCTAGGCCTGCTTACTATTTTGCGTGCGGGAGATCGACCTTGGAAGGAAGGGGAAGAAGGATTGGCCAGTTTCTTACCGTGTTAAGCGATAACTAATCTACTTGGTCGCCCTGAACTTTCCAACTCCTTTTTTTGGGTTGTTACAATTAACTGATCGACGTTAGAGTTAACAACAGTAGCTAGAGAACGCTAGCTCTACACATCAACAGACCATACGTTCCCCACGGCCAGCTACTACTAAGACCTCACACTCCTGATGCCCAATCTACTAATACTCACTGCCACCCACTCCAAAGCCCAACATCAGGCTCAGACTGGCTTACCTACTCCACGGCGGGGGGGAGGGGGTATATGAAGTATTTAAAGGCGGGTGTGCAGATATGCCGTCCCACTTTCTTCTTTCTGCACTTTTTCTTTAGTGCTGATCCGGTGAGGGTGGTTGGCGGTGTGATGGGACGGGCCGGGGCACAGCTGCATATATGGTTTCACGAAAGGAAGGTTTCTGGAATAGTTGACTGTTTCACCTAGTAGATAGTACTCTATACCAGACCTGCAATGCAGCCAGTCTCTACTGCATTGTCCAGATCTAGATCTAGATCTAGGCAGGCCGCATGAGAATCGCAATCACAATCACAATCACAAAAAAGACAAACTCAAATCAAGCTCCAATGTATAAAAATTTTCATAATCACATTCAACATCTCTAACCGTGCTATCGCTCCCGTCCGTCCCAACCCCCCCCCCCCCCCCCCTCGTTACATGCCTAAACTTCTATCCACAAACATGCGACGAAAACAAAACCATGCCCCATCCCAAAAGAAGAAAGAAAGACAAAAACCCAACCCCCTAAATCAAAAAAGAGAAAAGGAAAAAAAAGAATCCAACATCTAGTAAGCCGGCGCCTCCTCAGCCGCAGGAGCCTCCGCCGCATCCGCAGCCGGGGGCATCTCCGCAGCCGGAGGAGGAGGTGGTGGCGGCGGCACACCCGCACCCATCTGTCCCTTCGGGCCCTTCATACCCCTCTGACCACCGCGTCCACCGCGTCCACCGGGAGGCCCAGCACGGCCCGGGCGGCGCCTGGGGCCACCGCGGCCCTTCCCACCCTTCCCACCCTTCCCACCCTTCCCACCCTTCCCGGGTCTTCCGGCACGAGGTCTCCCCATCCCGCCGCGTCCCTTTCCTGGCCGGCCGCCCTTCTTCACAGCGCGGACGCCGCCGCGTCTGGGTCTGCCGGCGGCGGCTCTGGGGGGGCGCTTGCCGGGCGCGGCGAGGGGCATGGCCCAGCGGGCGGCGAGCATAGGGCCGCCGCTGGTGACGTCGCGGGGTACTTTGGCGGGCGCGGAGTCGTCGTTGTCGCCGAAGGAGACGCTGACGCTGCCGGCGGAGGCGGTGACGGCGAGGACGGCCATGAGGAGGGCGATGAGCTTTGGGGTGTACATTTTGGTTTGCGTGGGTTTTGTTTGTTTGTTTGGCTTGTGGGATAAAAGTTGAGGTGGAAGGTAAAAGGTGGAGGTGAAGGAATGAATGTGGTACTAGCTAGCTGGATAGTTGGATTGTGGTATAAAAAAAAAGAATGTATGAGTCTCTGCAAGCACAGCTGCGAGATCTGGAATGGAAAGGAAAGGAAAGTAGTTGGAAGGAGTGTAGTGAGTGAGTGAATGACTGGAGAAGGGAAGGACAGATGGGGGCAGCAGGTCGTGATAGTTATACGCCGACGAGCTGCTTGACCGGTGCTACGGAAACTGGTGATTCCGTGATGCTATTACTGTGCTGGCGATAATACCGCTGCGGAGATCGGGATGACGGACTGTCATGATGCCATCTATCGTATCGTATCGTATCGTCAAGCCCATACCACCCCATCTCGTACCGTGCATACCGAGCAAGACAGCCAGGACCACGGCCCCCAATTGACCGGTGCAGACAGATACATGTAGCTATAGTGCATACACACGCACGTGGAGCAGGCCGCAGCTATAGGATGCAGCACTATTAATCAATCCAATGAACCTTTTTTTCCCCTCGTTTCTCCGCTGGCGGTGAGTGTCAGTGATAAAGATAGCACTTCACGTAACTGTGCCGCCTCTCTCGCTCACTCACTCACACCGGGCCGGTTACGAACTGGAGGTTAGCGAGGAGCGTACCGGGGATGCGTGCAGTTGTTAACCCCACGTTTGGCCGTGGCACGGTGGTTGGTTGGTGGCGTCCGGTGGTGGTGGGGCTGTGGTTGGGTGGGTGGACTGGGGCCAGGGATGGGGAGGTGGAGGTGGGATCTGATTAGATTAGATTTTGATGCTTGGCGGGACGGACGGGGTTGGAAAAGATGAGGCGCGATGAGGGAGATGGGAGAGTGGTCGCGAGGTAGAGAACGGGGCACATGTAAGCGTGTTATTCTTTTGTTGCATAGAGTAGAGCAGATCAGTCCTTATGCTTGTGACGCTTCGGGTCACGTGCAGTCATCGAGTGTCACTCGATTTTGTGTGTCTTGGCGAGGACTGTAACTGGGGATAATGGGGTTAATTGTTGTAGATATTGGCTTTGAGAGTAGCTGAGATGTGTGGAGGCACACCGCGGAAACTTAAGTCTCTGTGAAGCGACGTTGGTACTCTTGTTACTCAAGTCATGGCGGTTTGGTTCGAGAAGGTGCACATTCATGCTACGAAAGACAACCTACACTCCAAGACGAAGCTGGCAGCGATCCGGGAAAACTTTACTTACGGATTCGACTCGAGTGGTTTGAACTCTCACTTAATAATTCCAACGCTTTAGCCCAAACCAGGTGTAAAGGCCTTGAAATCGGCCATCTTGGTACATGACTAAGCAGAATCTGCGGCCTGCGTTGCAAGCTTGGCGGATACCGCGGGCATGGACACGTATGCAAGGCGGGCACATTCTAGACTTCGCTTTGGGTTCCTTTCCTCACTCTACAGTTATCAACATCATGTCTACCATACAGCCATCCTCGATCGGTTAGGATTCATAAAACGGCCAAACATTTCTTGCTACAGTACATGCAGTGCTCTCGTACTACATGTTGCTACTCTACAGGACACCCCGACTGTTTCCTAGAAGCTTTGATCTTACATGTGAGTGGGGTCGATAAATGGTTTATGGAAGCTTCTCTCTGACATTCCTTGCTAGGGTCTACAATATCCAGATCTCACAACACCGAACCACCGCCGGCCGCCTCCATAAGCCCGCACGCACAAGCTGCCATCTATGCATATTCGCGTGGCATTTATCCGGGCTATATTGTGTGTGTCTATTCCTGGATCGATGTCCGCTCTGGTGGGGGCGAGGCGGGCATAGCTGGGAAGGAACGCATAGCTGATGTAAGCTGTCCACTATTCTAGCCTCTTTCGTGGGGGCCAAGAGCCACAGCCAAGACCTAATGACTGAAAGGATTTGCTAGCACCAGCCACCTATTCGGCCCCCACGAAAAAACACCAGACGGATTACCTATGGGCACTCTCGAAAAAGAACAACAACCTCCAGCACGCATACTGCAGCAGACCGGTTGGACTACACACAACGCCTGGTAGGGCGTAGATGGGTAACATCTAAAGCGATGAGGCCTTACTTTGACCTTGCATCCGCATATACCGTGGTGTTACCTCATATCATGCAGTCACGGTCATCTACCGCCTTACCACTTATGCTTCTCCAGTGTTATCCGGGATGGGATTTTGGGAAATGCGCTCGCCAGAACAAGAGATTTTTCTAGAATGGAAGCACATCGGATTTCTTTTATTGATCCACCGACGCCCGTTGATCATGAGTTGGTCTGTCAAGCGCTGCTAGTTAAAGCGAGGTGTAATCCGAGTGATATCGCATGCTTCCAACACCGGCAGGGTACATACAAACCTAACCCTGACAACGGATATGCGCCTAACCTTTGAATTTACCCTGTGGCCAGCCTTAACAATAAACCGCACACTCTCTTTAGCGGGGGCCGATCGGGTGCGTGCTTGTCTCCGCTTGGAGTATGCGGAATCCCGCTAATATAACTCTGTGATGGAAAGGATAGGCCGACTGCAATTTCAATACAATCTCTTGGGATATACAGTACAGTCTAGCTATAAGGATTTGATATGGAGTTGTGAAAACTTTGGTTCCATAAATACTCTTAGAGTGCATCCACCGGCCTGGTAGGGAGCGCCCGTGCACTTCACAAAAAAATCTCTATCGGGACCGAAGATACATATCCTTCTGAACCCAGAGGCCGAATCCTTATAACGATATTATGCTGTATGTGTCTACAGCAAATCCTGTTCAAAGGTCCTCTCTCCTCGCAGTTCGAAAATAACAGCATCGGTGGCGCGTTGTGCGTTGTGCGCGCACCTCCACACCGGCCCGCACCTCCACACCGGCCCGCAAAGGCCGCGCGTCCCTAACCCTCGTTTTCAAAACCCTTGCCACACACACGCCAACTGTGCCTTCTGTCTTGTTACGACCGAAATAAGCACTGAATGCATGCGGCTCTTCGGATCTTCTTTCGAGAGCCTCATCACCGTTGTATGCACGTATATGTCATCTCGGTGGTGCATAACCGGGTGACGTGGGGGCCTATGCGTTGAGGGCTTTGGTAAGTACTCTTGTCCGGGCATGGGGAATGGTACATGGTGATGAGAGTGATTGATTTGCTAACATGGTAGTGTTTTTGGTCTTGCCAGTAGAAGAGAGTATGCGCCTTTGGCTCGAATCTATACATAGTTGCAGAGATTTCTACGGCTAGTATTTGGTAGTCTGGACGATAAACCATGAAGATAGGCCACGCCTGGGGACCCGCAATGTTAATGGCACTCGTCAAAAAATGACGCCACAATATTGATAATATATTTCGCCATAGATACGCATCCATGCAATACTCCACCAGCTACATATATTAACGTCTACCCCACATGTCTTAGAATAGTACACGAGTTGATCTGCGCACAGCCCAATTACAGCCTGGCATAGTTTCTCTTCTAGCGGAACAACGGCGCATGAATATTGTGCTGCTGAACAAAATGTGATATTACGTGGCCGGCTCGGCGAGTGTTTTGGAGGGCCGGTACGGGATCAGGAGGATTTAGTTATTGGAGGCTTGCTGATGGAATGACTGTTTAGTGTCGGCCTTTGGTAATTGCTTAAACCGTGAGTATCAAAAATGATTGGAGAGATTGGGCTAACTTTCATTCGCGTGCATAGATCCGGATACCGGATATCAAACCCAAGACCCAAATAGATCTATGCCTTTCAATCAGCACCACCTCCATGTTATTAGGACACTATCTGCGTTACAGAGGCGTGACAGGACCATGCCCAGCCGGTGGATAGGCAGGAAGATCGACTCCGTCGATACCGATGCATCAAGAAACACCATGCCCGGGCACACTCACAAGGCATCACGGAGTCTTTCACCATGCCGCCGCCGTCGCCGTCGCACCCCTTAGCTACACCACGGACGTTATTCCGAACTCCATCTATCACTCTAGCACATTTCACAACGAAAAGAAGATGTATATAACATCCCCATTCACCACTCACCAACCACTTCCTCTCACCACTCACCACACTCATTCACACCATTCCATCCAGTCTCTTAAGCAGTGCTTGAGACCTCCCCTTCTTTTCTTTTCTTTCATTTTTTTTTTACATATCCAACGTCTACAAGCAGCGCTTTAGACCCCACACTCCTTCATTTATTTTTTACCTTTTACTACACCCCCCACACATACACAACCACCATGCACACCCAAACCCTCCTCGTCGGCCTCGTTGCCGCCCTTGCCATGACCGTCTCCGCAGCCCCCACTCCCACCGCCTCCTCCTCCGGTACACATCTCTCCGCCCGCTCCCCCCCACCACCCCCAACCGCAACATCCCAGGAATGCCGCAAAGGGGCGGCGGCAGCAGCAACCAACGTCAAAAGGATAAATCTCGAAAGGACAAACGATCCCCCGGCGAGGAAGAGTTCGAGATAATCGACGGCAACGAGCTTAATGACAGCGATGATATCGTGCCACCGCCGAAGATGAGGAGGAGGAGTCCCGGTGGTGGTGGGATGGGCGGTGGCGATAAGAAGGGGGGTCATGGAGGACCTGGCGGATCTGGTGGCCCTGGTGGACCTGGTGGATCAGGTGGGCCAGGTGGATCAGGTGGACCGGGCGGGCCGGGCGGGAAAGGGGGACATAAGGGGTCTGGTGGAAGGGTGGTGGCCAGAAGGGTGGACCTGGTGGACACGGTGGATCGGGTGGAAAAGGTGGACCGAAAGGTGGTCAAGGCGGATCTGGTGGACCAGGCGGACCGGGCGGAACTGATGGACCGGGTGCGGGTGGACCAGGTGCAGGAGGACCTGGTGCAGGAGGACCTGGCGCAGGGGGACCTGGCGCAGGAGGACCTGGCGCAGGAGGACCTGGTGCGGGTGGACCTGGCGCAGGAGGACCTGGTGCGGGTGGATCTGGCGCAGGAGGACCTGGCGCAGGAGGACCTGGTGCGGGTGGACCAGGTGCGGGTGGACCAGGTGCAGGAGGACCTGGCGCAGGAGGACCTGGCGCAGGAGGACCTGGTGCAGGAGGATCGGATGGAGCTGATGCAGCAGAGGGACCGGATGGAGCTGAGCCAGCGGGTGGGGCAGGTGGTAGCGATTAAAGGCAGAGTCAGAGACTGATAGATAGATATAGATAAATCTACACGATTATGCTTGAGATTAACTCGAGTTTTTCGATAGTTCTGAAATACATGTATTGATTCTAGAACGCATTCAATGGCAGTGTAGTTTTCTTGGAAAGTGACTTTTATGGCTTTATAAATTGGTAGTGCTTAATTTATAAACGGGAACAGTCTAGAATAACACTTATAATCTAGACCAGTGTAGTCCGAGCTAGGGTCTATAGACAAAGATGCTTTGAGACGTAGTTGACTGTCGTTTCTATCTCACTATCAAACCCCAAAACCCTAGCGAAAACATCATACAAAGTCCTCAGCAAGCCCGCATCACAGCAATCTGTTCACAATCAGCACTTGAGAATCTCGATCTTTGACTCTTGGTAGCGAGTGATATTCTATGATTAGACTACCATCATCATTCTCATCATTCACGGGGATATAAGTGTAATGGAACGCTTGAGTTTATGGGTTTAACTTATCGTTCATTTATTAATTCATAAAAAAAACACTCGAAAGCAAATAAAAAATCAAATCTGATCAACTGCCCATTACCTCAACAAAGGAAAAGTCTGCTGCGCTGTCCATAATTAAGTGTCTCGAACAAAGGAAAAAAAAGGCGATACTCAACATAACACAACACAATTGATCAACCGTCCACAATATTAATTAATGTGCAGAAACAAATTAAGCCCCGCGAGCCAACAACTCTCACCAAACTGCAGAGCATATCAAGCCCGCAGAAAAACTCTCAACTCAAAAGTCCATCTCTCATCTCTCGCGCCCACTCAACCTAGAAGTCCAGCTGCCCACTTCCTCAGCACCCAATCTACAACCCCTGCCCCTGCCCCGATCCCTCCCTCCTCCTCCTCACAACCCCCCTCGCCGGCTCACTCCCCATCTGCAGCACGGGATACGCATAATCCGCCGTACTCCCCTTGACGCCGAGGTCCTTGTCGACACCGCGGTACCGCGCGCCCAGGTTCGGGTCGTTCCAGCGGTACCGCATCTTGCCCAGCGAGTTGAGCGTCTTCTGGTTCGGCGGGGCAGTCAGTGCCGGGAGCGGCGCTCTACTACGGGGGGAGTACACGGCGCTCTGGACGCTGTGGAGACGGCGGCGGCGGTGGTGCTGCTGGTGGAGGGCCGGTTGTGGTGGTGGAAGGGGGGGATCTCGCGGAGGGGTGCGCCGGGGACTGTTGTACCAGGAGCGGAGGAGGTGGTGGGGCGCTGGGGGTCTTGGGGGTGTTGCTGAACATGTTGGGTGGATGGTTGGTGGTTAGTGGGATGGTGGAGTAGTTGGGTATGGCCGGTATGGTATTGTTGGATTGGTTGGTAGTATTCAAGACAGCTGTAAGATACTGATGAATGTTAGAAAATCCGTAGAGCTGGACGAACAAGGACTTATAAATACAACACCCTCACCTCTCCGTAGAATTCAAGCACAAAAAACACATCTTGAAGGTGTCATAGTATTGACGGTGGTGGTGGCTTGAAAGCTATGGCTTGAAAGCTATGGCTTGAAAGCTATGGCTGGTTCGGGGGAGTCTGCTTAGAGCTTTGGTTGCTGAGAGAATCCATGTTGTCGCTGCTCTTGAAAGCTTTCAATGGCTTTGGAGGGTCGGGGTTTCTTTGTTCAAGGCTTCTATGGATTTCAACTGCCAGGCTAGTGGAGGAATACGATGGCAACTGTGACCACAACAGATAAATTGAAAATTGAAAATGTGTTTTTCAACTGTAGAAGTACACCAGTGGCCACCCCACCTCAACTGGAAGAACCAATACTATCCACGCACCTATGTACTATATGAACCAGACGAGTAAATTTCAAAGAAAAAGGTGGGCGAATGGGCTAACAAGGTAGTAGAAACTAGAGGATTTAGTTTCATCACATACAACCCCTACCTCAAGAGAGAAAAGAAAAATAGGGTTCTCGCCCACTCAAAGCACTTAAGTAGATAGAGAGAGGATTGTGAAAAAAGGTACTAAATAACTGACATCACTACCAATTACTCAGAAAATGTATAGGCTCGACCCCGGGTTTGAACCGGGGACCTCTCGCATATTAACTTAGAGTGCGACCCTAAGCGAGAATCATACCACTAGACCAGCCGAGCTTGTACCACTGTCCACACTTAGCGTATAAATTTCTAAAAACGCCAACTAGCCCTCTAGACCCTGTCGGAAGGATTCGTTGAAGTTTACCATGGGTTCTTTGTTTCCGTGGTTGGGTGATCCAGCCCACGACAAGCTCACGACTAAAAATGGCCACTTAATCACTTCGAAAATGGGAGAAATGCTCTTTTAGTCAATATATTAGCAAGTTGAGATACGTTGTATGCAATCTGAGTCTGAGCTTTCAATTTAAACCGAGAACAAACAATCTCATCTAATCTATGAGTCCGCTACGTATACAAATTCCCTAATCGAATCCTTAACGTCGCTTTTTAACGCCTGCAAATGAACTTACCGCCCCGCTGTGTTTCTCCATCAAGGGGATGCCGTACACTGAACTAGTACATATGGCTCTAGCAGCCTTAATCCCCCCCATACCCCAACCACTCTTGATTATCAGAAGCATCGTCATAGTAAATGTGCTCATCCTGACGTCGATGACCCTCATATCTATCATAATGGTGTGGCTTTGCACGATTCAGAGAATCCAATTCGTCCTGTAAGTCATCACAATCTTTATTTAGATCAATGATCAAAATATTCAACTTATCGTGTTCTCTCGCGATACTTTGATATTCCCTTGTACCCTTTCTGTATGATCTAGCTTGGCGAGCTAGGAGATCGCGCCTAACCTCCTTGGCGATTATTTCGTCGTGGACCTTCAGGAGGCGCGCCTCCACTCTTCGGATTTTTTGTCTGAGTGTGCTGGTCATTGTTTTTGGCGTTGGTGTTAAAAGTTAAAGTTGGCTTTGTGTTGTTTAATTTGTTTGATGTAGATATGATATGATACTAGTGTAAAAGATTATACCTACGATTTAAGTATTAGCCTTCGTTTGTTGATATTGTTTTCAAAATGACGAGGGGGATAGGGACATACAAGCTTCGAACTTCAAGTCGAATAGATACTCTGATTTTTCAAAGACTGTGTATTTCAACTCCAAAGTTTGCAGACGGGAAGAGCTGGCATCAATAACCGTTTTCCGTTAGTTATCAGCACCTTGTATTATTGAATTGGTCAATTACTCACCTTTGTCGGACAAAATGAGGAATATACCTAATTCTATTTGCTATTCGTTACTTCGATGGACAGAAGACTTTGTGGGAATTATGCCTATGATGCGGGAAACTGGACGACACGAAGCGCAAAATACAGATGTACTGGAGCTACAAGACAGGTTGGCAGGAGATACGTGTCAATAATATTCATATGAGAGAACCAGATGGCACTCATACTTTGATAGTCTTCGTGGCTGGTTTTTTTATATGCGAATGAGCTTTAATTCTGTGCAATTGCAACTAAAACAGGTTAGCATTATAATGGTTTTCAGTTACCTTAACACGCAATCATTGAAGAAAACTAGAATCACTATATTCAAGGCCTAATGCCCCGAATATGGTCGCTTTTAAACAGAGAGCTTGATTTTATTTGTGGACACACGATGTCACTCGGTAGGGACGCTGTCGAAGCTTTCTATTCGTTAGACATATAAGGTGATATTGCGTAGACAGGGTACATGATTCACATGTGGTTGAGAATGCTTCGTCATCAGCGTGGTGGAACAAATGCGTCACCTCAAAGCCAACGACACCTCTCCATCTCACCAGCCATCGGTGCTATTTCCTTTACCCATGACCATGTTAAGAATACTTCAGAGAAATCAAGCAACAGTGAGAGAAAAAGTTCTCTACTCCTCACCACCCATCTTTCCCTCCTCACTCCCATCCCCCTCCCCCTCTGATTTCTCCGAATAATCTTGATCCGGAGAAGCACCCTTCTTACAATTTTCCAATACCCACTGACGCATTTCTTCCTTTGTCAGCATTGGATAGCTGTCCATCTTCTTCCAAGCCCCCAACGAGTCCCCACCCTCATTGATTGTCTGGATCATTTCCTCAATCGCCTCGATGGGACGGAAGTATTCCTGGTTAGGTTCATCGGGGAAGGGGACTGTATTGTCCCGCGTGAAGAGTCTGATGAGATTCAATCCGAGCAGATCGATCACTAGAGGTGTAGGAGAACCCAGAGTAGAAGCAGGTTCGTTCATTTCCATCGTCATCGGTTCTTCCGCAACGTTAATCATTTCGGTGTCTTCTTCCGTCGATTTGAGGTCGCTTTCTTTCACCATAGATGAGTAGTAATCGAAAGTATCAGGTAACAACCTTCTATCCATCATTAGCTGGTATTTGGCTGAGATGTTCCATCAGATACAAACTTTTAGATTAAGATCAGCTCTTAGGAAAGTCGTTCGGCGATGATTTTGAAAGTTCTTATGAAAGGAGCAGACACAAGCACAGGTTGATGCAATGAAGACGCCTCGAGGTTGAGTGGAAACAGACAGAGCTAATAAGACTTACATAATACTTTAGTACGCCAGGGATTATCTAAATCAATTCTATAGTGGTTGGAAAAGCCCTAAATTTTTAATTTATTTTCCTATTTAGGTTGGCCGCATATGACCGTCACTGTCTATAAAGCCCTCTTTTCAGTACCTTACCGGAGGGAGTTTACGTCACCTCGTGTTAGGCGGATAGTACTGCACATATACATTCACATTATATATTTCGATCACGAGCTTTGACACACTCAATTTTTAGAGAATATAAAAATTTTCTAGAATTCTTCGATCAAGCAACGTAAGGGCGCGATAATCAATTATTGCTTGTCTAACAATTCATAAAACTCGCATCGCGCACACACACAGCAGTACTACGTACTTCGCCTCCAATTAAAGCACGTACAGTCACCTAACTGCATACTCAAACACAATCAATGTTCAAGTTCAAGCTTCCAAGCGCCTCCTCAAGATCAAGCTTCTCTTCAAATCCCTCTGCTTCTGCCACCATATCACCAAATTCGACCAGCGCGTAATCGCAATCAGCCACCCCGCGCATCGCTCTTTCAAACTCCCTCCTCAACCTGGACGTAGTTTTGCTATAGTTATCAACATTATCATTCACCACCTGCTGGCCATTATCCGCCACCAGACTATTCTGCACCTTCTTTGTATCGCTCACCAAGCCACGAATTCTCTCTAGCCTTTTAGTTATCTCCATCGCCTCGTCGAGGTAATGCTTGGACAGAGCCTGGACGCCAGTGGTAATCATATCAAAGAATTTGATACGATCAGCAAAGGGAGCGGGATTGGCGACGTGACTATCAAGCGCCACTTGAACGCGGCTCTGGTAATCGTAGTCGAGACTATCAAGGACTCTGTTAGATGTTGTCATTTTGAATTTTGGGGCGTTTTATTACTGATATAATTCAGATGATTTTGTGTGCGGGATATCGATGTAGGCGGTTAGTACTGTGTGAGTTTGATTGAGATTTTATACAGGAATAGGTCGTAATATATACTGATTTCTATATGGCTTTCAAAAGTAACTTAAGTAACTCCATATAGCTATATTTCAAATTTGAAACGACTGCTAAGATTAAGATTCAAGATCAAGCCTTAACTAAATTAGCTGCAAATGTCACAGTATATACAGCACTAATGGGCAGTCTTTGATTATAACGAGTCTAGTTAGAAATAATATAAATCAATCTAGATAGAAGACCGGCCAATAAATGAATAGAACGAAACGAAGTATCTCAGTCTCTAGATATAATGTGCTTCACACAACCGGACCGCGCGACCAACGAAACAGCTGAATTGACACGAGTCCGAGCTGCCTCCTTCACCGGCCGTGGCTATCAGTTCATAGCAAAAAAAAAAAAACCTATCCCGAGTGATATACTATGATGTTTCTTGTAAACGAGTGATAGATTGTGAAGAAAAGAACTCGCGAATGAACTCAGCTAGCAGTTTATCACGCGAATCGATTCAAGACGTATCTAGAACGTAGAATACCCATTCTTATGATCCTCCATGTTCTAACCTCATACGATACGAAAAAGAATTGTGTTCTCTCAACAGAACAAGTATTTGGAATCATTGATCTGCACGTAATCTCCCACAAATAGAGTCCATAATATAATAGATTTTAGTGTTAGAAAGTCTACCAAACAGAATCTTTTCATCCTCAAGAGCCACCACCAGAGGGCGACCGGTCCCATTTTACCCGATAGATACTGTGGCGTACAGAATAAATTATAATTCACATTGGTGCCCTCATAGGGAGTCACATACATAGCATATTGTGTAATGTCGATATATCATCCTACCCGAGGATACATAAGCCTTGTCCAGATGTTATAAGAGCACAGCAGATTAGTTTTGGGAGCACGACCGGCGATATATGCTTTTCCAGTCACTAATTAGTTGTGTGGATCTTTTCAGACGCTTCACGTTCGGTCCCCAAAGAGCAATTTATTGGTATGATACAAAATGGTTAAACCACCATCACTCATTTGGTGACCTTTCTTTCAATAGAAGTAGCAATCGGCCAATAACCAAGTCTTCAAGCCGCACTATACTTTCTCTCGTGTGTTTATCCACTCACGATAGATCGTATCCATCGCATTTTTCTGCTCAACCCACTCCTGGAGTATTTTAGTCAACAAGGTGGTCACATATCGCCTTCTACGAATTGTGGCCGGCTCTTCATCACTCCAGTTTAGATTCTTATAATTGTAGTCTTTGATCTCACGCTCGAAATCGGCGCTTCCAACAGCTTTCCCGTCAAATGTATAGGTATCCCATCCGCTGTAGTCTTCATCATCGACCAGCGTGGATATGTTCCTCTCAGCGTCGTGGTCGAGGACTTCCTGAAAAAAGTCTATTTTGGTGAAAATAGAGCCTCCACGGGTGATTAACGGGAAATTCTGCCAGACGGCGGGAGGAGTCCCCAAAAAGAGATACCTATTGATCGCCTCCCAGGCAATGACGCGATTATTGGGATCGGTGTTAGGGTCTTTGACCCGCGAAAGAAGATGTAAGACTGCGTTAATTTTGTTGCTCGGTTGCTGGAGCGGGTTTGACGACATTTTCCCTTTATATATACCAAGTGATATTAAGACTTGGTTTTATGGACAGACTTCAACTTGAGTAGAGGAGATAGAGGGAAGTGAGTTGTTAAATAAACAGATCTTTGGGTCTGTGGCGTGGGACGACTCTTTGTTTGATACGATAGCTTAACTAGGGCATTGAGATGGTGAACTCTAAATTTTGTCGTGGGTGAGGTGGTTTCTAGTACAAAGGAATTCGAAAGTTTGACGTCCAGAATAAAGAGCATTATTGAATTCTAGTTTTAGAGCGATACCGAAAGCGCTCGAGTCCACTATTCGAGGCAAACAAGATGTATGTTACCCACATCCATGGCCAAACATTCAGCTTATCGAACTAACTTTTGAAATTTACCGTGAGCGTTTTTATCTCGGTTGAAACGTTTTATGTACGATATATGAATGTCAGCCAGCTTGAGCACTAAGCTACATGTATGTAAGTGCATGTACATACATGTGTATGTGCATATACTACCACTAGAACCGTAGGACGGCACCTCTGTCAGCAGTATGCATGACGGGACGTCATGGCCGACACTAAGATCAACCTCGAGCCCTACATACTTCAAACAAACACACACCCATCCCCTCACAAACCGCAGCCAATATCTTCATCTGAGAAACACATCATCGAAATTTATCTAGAATTATCATCAGCTATCCAAACATGGATTTTCCGAAGGCAAATATGAGGAAAGATGACGGTTCTTTACGTTCACCCCCATATGTTAATGGGTACAAGCAAAAAAGATCTGCTTGCCTGAAGTCCGCTAGTACTGCTAGCTTTATCAAAGCCCAACACTATCCCCAAAGCCGTGGAAGGAATCTTGGCAGTATAGATATCTCCAGTCGAGTTGTGGAGAGGACGATTGCCAGATTGATTGAATTATTGGTTCCAAACAAAGAGGAGTGTGAAAAGGCAAGAGCCAGAGGAGATTCCGTGTTTACAACGAAGATGATAGATACAGGTAAGGTGGTAAACTCTTTCCGAATGTGCCGTTACCAACTTTTCAATAGGCAGCATTGTGGAAGTATTCTTCAAAATCGACTTGAGTGGGGGTAAACATAAGCTTGCCGAAGTAGGAACGGACACAAAAAACACTCACAGACTCGATATGCCACCTGGCTCCATTTATATCGCTTTGGATCTAAACTATAAACGGATGTTCGTGTACTTCAGCAAAGGTGTAGAGATGGTATACGGGCCATCTATTGGGAAATGGGTCCTAGACTCGACTACGTACAACATTGAAGAGTATGCAGAAATTCACCCTCCAGAGCTACCTCAGGACGAACATCACCTGGAGTACGAGAAGTGGCTCCTAACCAACCCACACCTTAGCTGGGCTCCCTGGTCCAGAGCTGGTGTATATCACTGGGGGTTCCGCCCCTTGATGGAGCTTGAATATACACATAAGGATGCATGCGTTGCCAGGGACACTTACAACCTACCATCTCATATACAACCAGTCCTTGCCGATCTACTCAAATCCTTTGGTAACATCACTCGCGCACAAAGGATCCTTTTAGGTGTGATAGATCATGATTACAGATACTACTGTCAGTCAATCGTTTCTGCTTGTCCGGAGAAGAGAAAGAAATTTTGGGCTACAGACGACAACCACGAGTGTTTCTCCCTTAGGACATGCACAGTGAATATCCCTTTTGAACCCAAATTTGACGGAGGGGATATCAAATCTGGGTGGGCTGTAATGGTGCCAATGGGAGAGTTTCGCGGTGGTGATCTCTGTATCAGGGAGATGGACAGAAGGTTTGTGTACAAACCTGGAGGCGTCTGTTTGATCAGACATGGCCGGCTGGACTTTTTTACCGCAAACTCAAAGGGTAGTCGATATTGTCTTGTTTCCACCGTTCAAGAAACACTAAAGGGGGAGTATTTCGATCGTCTGTGGGAGTTTTGATGTGGTTCTCCCTCTTCGTACACAAAGATTGGAGTCGTCAATTTGTATCCATAACCGCAAAAATAGTACCCCTCATCTCATTTTTTTCTTTTCTTTTTTTTCCAGCTCGAACCCAGTCTTTTGAAAGAGATGTTCTATATCACAATTAATCACGTACCAATATTAAGCTTATAACTACATACTCTAGTATGGTGAAGCGGACAATCTGATCCTTGTCTACTAAAGAGGACCCATCTTTCTCGAGGCCAAACAGGAACTACCAGATCTTGAAGATTGCGTTTATGGTAGGTGTACTGACACTAAGTTGAATTCTTCCTCTTCATTACGGCACTCGAAAAGTCTTTCATGAAGATGGAACCACCCTTATACTCTCATAAAACAATTAGCACCAATCTTTCTATGATACACCCTCAGCAGATACCGCGAATGGCAGGTCAGCTCAGGCGTTTATAATAAAAAGAGGGCGCCTATATACCGCACCGACTTGCGGCTGTCGCTAGGGCGCTGCTGTTACTTAAACGCCAAGAAAGTTCTTATCAAGGATACCAAGAGGAATATTTTTGAGAGCAGGGATTCGCTACTTACGACGTCCACCTGAGCCTATGATTTGAGATATCTGTGTATCCACTTCGGCATGTGAAATTGCGGGACCCCGCATCCGGTTTCACCAACCAGGTCTCAGCGGTGATGGTGGCAACCACCACAGGCACATGATATGTATCTAGTTCAGACGAACCCTGTGAAACCTGATTACATCATACAACCCCAGCCCGTCATGCTCTGCATAAATGGCCACCCGCCATCAGGGAAAAAAATATATATACATATGACGATAAAGCCATGATTATATAATATATCAACCTTATTTCTGTGATGTGCCGCCGGACTAACCAGTATAAGGTGCGCCAAGCATTGGGATGTATTACCTCGAGAGAAAGATATCGAACGATAATATGCTCGAAAATGCATAGGACTGAGTTCACATCTTATGGCTCACAGAGTATCACTCGTACATCCTACCACCCCATCATGTACTATCACTCGAGTTTATTGGTGTTTCTCAATCCCTGGTACCTACACTCTATGTTTGTAAATACGCTTGTGAATTATTCTCCAAACCCTCTTGGGCCCAGACACGTAATTTAGCACTCAATCCCTCTGGTTTTGCTGTTTAATGCGCAGCGACCTAGCTATCTTGTACTCCCACACAGCAAAGAAGGTTTTCTATTTGCCCCTTCAGAGAGCCAATGCAAACGCAGTGCGCATGGATGACTGAAGGCGAACCACCAACCATCCTAACTTACACGCCAAGTTCTTTGACCTAGGTGGCCCAGAGCACTTTACAAACGTCTCTCAATCTCAAATATTGGAGTCCGTGCATGCGGAATGCGGAACAAGAACAAGGTGGGGTACCCTAGATATGAATTCAATGTGGGGGCATTACAGGCATGTGTGGATGTACAAGCTTCACTTGCTGTCCATTTCCGCAGATACCCGATTGCGAGTAAGCTGAGCTGGTTCAATTCTTGTGAAACTACTCTCACTGATCTGAAGCATCAATTAACACAGGGTCAAATCTTACAATGCAGCAGAACGACTCGAGAGATATCTTCACGAAAGAAATACTCCGATTGGTCCAAGGCGCGAAAACTCAACCGTCAGCTCAGGCATTGATTGGGGGCCTCGCCATTGAGCGTACAACATTTCTCGCTAGAAGAATGATCCTCAAAATCTAAAATTACACTCCATCGAGATGCGCGCAGGAAATCTGTCCCCTCGAGGCACGTGAGGGAAGAACTTCAATGCCAACTACTCCAAGCCCCACCTGTACTGAGTTCCAATAACGTAACTACAATAGAGTTTCATCGGGGGCAAAATCCGTTCAAGCTTTCATGAACTACCGCGCAACACGCGACTTACGAGCGGTAGGTTGAGTAGGCCCTCGCCAAAATTGTACGTGCCCCGATATGAACTATAGTATAACTATCCCGGCTTGAATTGTGCGCACAACTTCTTCGGGCTCAATAGCGGATACCATATTACCATCGCGCCTTCAGGTACATTTGGCAGGTGCTATCTATTCTCAGGACATGCAGCGGTCATAGGAATAGAGCAAGCTCTTAAATCCACCCATCACGACAAGACTCCACCTCATTGAGACAACGAAGTGCGGAATTTCAACACCACCAAGTTCTTGGTGCATTCCAATCATTTCACGGACAAAAGATCACAAGCTCCATAAGAAGAGTACGCATTAAGCCGTCTATAACCATCGAAAGACGGTGAGAGATTGAGCCAGCAAATAGGAGATGGAAGAGTTGCGTTGGAATCCAGCCCTCGGCCCCGGATATCCAAACCAAACACGCAGATTGGATAATTTGAACAAATCCTTTCCGATTGCCATTAAATGTACTTTACAGTCTCCATCGTTATTATGCTCATGTTCTATAACGCCCCAAGATGTCTACCCTACATGTAAATAATAATACAGGGGAAAAAAGAAAAAAATAACAAAAAGCCCAGTGAGCTTAAAGGCTCTACACCTTCTATATATCCCACACCTCCAATGCAATTAATGAATTAAACAAAAAAACAAAAAATCCCACACCTCCACATAGAATCAAATTAAACTCACTGGCCAGTTAAAAGATCATAAACCTATTCTATCCCTTCAAAACAACTTTAACACCCTTCCCCCTCCCCAATACTCGTACAACACCAGTCAAACCTCTCGCCTCCGCCAGCTTTCCCGGTGTAAGACACCACTCTCCGTCTGCATCGACATCCGCCCCGCCCCGCATTAATACCTCAACAACCTCAACAACGCCCGCCATTGCCGCCACATGTAGAGGCGTATACTTCCACCCATTTCTCACGTTTACCTGCGCCCCGTTATCCAGCAGAATTCCCGCCACTGCTGCAGCACACGGAGATACCCCAGAAACAGCGATATGCAGCGGTGTGTCGCCTTTATTGTTTCCAATATCTAGTGGGGACTCATACCCAAGCAGCAAATTAAGAAGCCGTGTTTCTGTTTCCCAGCTTCGGAATGGTAGTGGTAGCCAAGCAAGTTTCCGCTTTCCCGCAAGACTATTTGCCCGAATCACTGCGGCATGAACTGCTGTATTACCAAAGGCATCTTGGATGTCACACTTGGCACCTGCATCCAGTAGAAGCCGCACGATCTCCTCGTCGCCACGAGCGATCGCATGGTGGAGTGCTGTGGTACATGAAGGGGACGGACGATTGCGTGTGTGAGTTGCAACTGTATTGATGTCTGCATTTTTGGGGTGTGAGGAGAGTAGGAGACGTATGAGCGGTATGTGCCCGTTCATAGAAGCCCATTGGAGAGATGTAAGGGTTTCTTTTGGTGATATTGATACTGGGAGGTGAGCGTATGTGTGGAGTGTGGGGGTTAAAAGGCGGTTAAGACGTCGATTTATCAGTATCAAGCTGTGGATATGGCTAGCACGGTCGAGGTGGGTTGATATTATGAGAAGGAGCTCGTTAGGGAGGGATAGGAGGCCCGTTGATTGCGCTGTGTGTTCGAACAACTGTAGCTGTGTGTATGACTGTGAGGAGCCCATGATTCTAGGTATATATGAGTAAGATATCGAAAAGATCTTTGAGAGTGGGAGGAGAAAAAAATGGTGAATGGGGTAGGATATATACATGATCGAGGGGAGATCTAGGGTACGTGGTTTGGTAACATTATCTTGGAATATATTAATTATATCGGATGAAGGGGTGTGAGGGCGCAAGCTGCGAGGGTGTGTGGGTCAGTATCATCGGCCGCGGTTGATCGGGCTCGAGGTTGTTTGTTCTATTCTATTTAGGATACTACATTAGTATTCGGTCATTATCTCTAATCATGAAAGCCAAACAACCACGCAAACACCACGTACGTAGCACCATTCCGCAGCAGTGACTCCTCTCCACAGGCGAAAACCTACCATGCACGCATCGTGCTCCCATGCCTTGGTAAGTGTGTGTATGGCACATACCCATGGCCCATATTTCCATCTTTCGTGAGTTAAGGCCTTAAGAGCAACTTGTTTTTCCTATGCCTATGTGCTCCCCATTCGTACCCACCCCTAACCACACTCTCGGTACGTACCCGCACCCGGGGTCGGTCAAAGTCAGCTGTCAAATGCGCGTGTCAACGGTTTCTGCAACCCCTAAATCAACGCGAACCAGTTAGCTTATTAGCGCCTAGCTAGACTCATGTGCCCGTCTAAGGATCTCAAAAGTTGGCTCGGAAATAAAACAACCGCGAGTACCGAAAAGATCCACCTATCATAATCATTCCCCCCATCCCTGCACGGCGTTTTTCGCGAACCAAGGAAAGAAGACCGTTGAGTTTCCTTCGAGAACGAAAAGAAAAACAGGGAACAAAGGGAAAATTAAAAGACCTCTCCCTTACGTGAGGTTGATCCTTCGTTCGTCTGTCGTCTGTATTAACTATCTCCTACTTCCACGCCTTGGACGGAGTCAGCTTCCGTTCAAATCGCCTAGCAAGCGAGGAACTCGCCGGTTAGGTTCTAGAAGCGAAATCGTGAGGGTGGCTTTCTGTTGTGCACTTTTGGACGCGTGATTTTTTGCCCTGTGGCGTTCTGCGAGGTACAGCAGCGAGTTCCAAAGGTGGTAAATATATCTACATACCATCGTACGACTGCATGGTAAGAACGATGCAAGAGTTTTTAATACTCTAGTCCAATCCAAACACGTATGTACCTAGCTCATTTCTTCTCTGCATAAGTGGATTCCGGTTTATCCTCCATGATCCAGGTGGTTGCGGCCCTCAAATCTCTCATCCTCCAGTTGCCTGCTGCTCCTCCTCCTGTTGATTTGTTTGGCGTTATGGTTACTGTTACGGTGGCCCCGGACCCCACAATCAAGCCACGCTGTTTCCCGGTTTGTCGTACGCTCAGCCCTAGCCCTGCACTGGTCCATCCTGGTACTCCCCACTTTAAGATGAACCCTGTCCTGTCTCGCTTGACAGACATTCCCGTCTAGATAAGACATCCATCGTAATACCGCCAAAACACGAAAAATTGGCTATCTCCGTCCAGGGACTACCGCTTGAATAATTGGTTGGATGGCATCGATCTACATCAGAAGTTTCCCATACAAGTAATTCTGATCTAGCCAATTTTTCTTGTTATGGCGGTATGTAGATACATCAGAACAAGTCCAAGAGCGGTGAGAATGGAAATGGACTCGGGGCTGAACGAACGCCTCCCCCTGGGGCACTCTGGACGAAATTTGGAGAGCTGCTGCAACTGCACGCGATATCTATCGTGCTGCACACACAGATGCCGAGAAAGTTGCCCTGAAAATCGGGCAGGCCAAGATGTGCGCACTACGACCAGAAAGCACTTTATCCACATGGAGGTCCTCGCCTAAGATTCCTACGCGGAGGTATGGTCTAGATATCTGCCGATTCTTGGTTTCTATCGGGCCAAACACAAGATTCGTCAGACTGGCCATGAACGGCTACATACTGGGGGGCGGTGGCTGTGGGTATGCTTCGACCTTGGAGAGATATTTATGTTTGGGGCAAAATTTGTGGCATTTTTTGTTGAGTACAGATCAGCAACGAGGAAACCTTAAAACCAGTCATGCTGGTTAGCACATCAAAGATCTGCATTGCGAGATCCAAGCGAAGGGTCGAATTCATTGCAACGGGATTAATCCAGGAATAAGTCGAGTCCCATGCCTCCCGTTGATTAATCAGTCTTTAATATCAAATTGATCTACATTTATGTCTAGAACATGTAGCTCCGGCCGTACCCTAATTTCAAAACTATCGATACTTTTCTACAAAGCTCATGATTTATCGGTTCAACCTCAGTTCCCGGACGTCCTTTTCACGTCCAACCAAGAAAGCTCCTCATGACCAGAATGCTAATTACCTACCTAATATACATGTATATACATAGTCAATCGGGGGGTCATCAGCTAAAGGGGCTGAACAGCGAAGGCTTTCTTTCGGCCAATCGAACCCCACATCACGGTTCTTCGTTTGACCTCTTCCCCCCACACAGCCTCCATGAATCACTTCATCTACCGCGCCTATACTTGTCCTGCCAGGCCACCAATCAAGAAGGCGTAGGTCGTACAACGCGCCACACAGTCGAGCCCCCCATTCATTATGTGATCAAGCCTTCCGTCAGTTATGTGCTACGGTCCATGACCAAAACTCCCAGAATAGCTTCCATAGACATAAAAGTATCCACCCGTAGCGCGACCCGCTGAAAATTAGTATGTGTGTAGGAATCGGAGAAACATCGTCAGGTGCTTTAATTTAGGCACGAGCCTTTCCTCCCCCGAGTGGCCTAGATAGCAGGAGGAAATATGCGGCTTCTTCAGCATAGGACGAGTATGATTCCGATCACAAAGGCGTATGTCTTAGGGTGTAGGTAGTAATTACCTTTGGGTATTCGAAGAATTAGTGGTTTAATCATAGAATATCACTCGCTTGTTGGTCTAGCCACATGTTGTTGTTTTTTTTTGTTTGTTTAATTCATTCTAGCCACATGTTAGGGCAGAGCCTGTGGACGTAGCGTAGCTTAGTGCGGATGGTCTACACACCAAAAGTCACTCTTCAAAACCAGTGATATATGTAAACCAGTTTTATTCCCTCTACCGCTATTCTCTCTCACTCTCTTCCTCCCTTCCTCACTACTATTATTCTAGATTCCACCCCTCCTCAAATCCACGAAATCAACCGTACATAGTCCACTCAATGATCCAGATCTCATCTATAAATTATGCCGACCACCTACTTTCAACCTTTTCATTATCTGTACAACTAACACATTGCAACTCCGAGCTCTACAGCCAGTCAACCTTTGTGAATACTCAGCAGTCTGTCACTGGGCTTCGATACGCAACACTAAATAATGCCAATGGCTCACATGTAGAATGGTTCGACATTCTAAGAGCTCTAGTGATGAGAGGATGTCGCCCTCCAACAACGATTTTCCCATGTGGATGGGTATCTACATATCCCTGGCCGGAACTCCATGGCCCCACACCAAGATAGATGGCGAAGATTACTTATGGTGGAGCTTAGCTTGCAATGCGAAGGAAATAGGATGCAATCTGGATTACCATGATGCTTCGTCGATTGTGTTTTAGGCATACCCACGCCACGAAAAGAGAGACAGGCTACTATACCTTCTTCAATATATACTGCCTGGGACTTGTGAGAACACTTGAATAGAGTCATCCGAACTAACGCCATAAGTAGTCCAAAGGAAATAGATAATTCCATCGATTGGGATCATGGATCTGAGATACCTGTTATGGTTCCTGTCCAGGTTGGTTTCGTTGCCTATGCCTACTCTCAAATCAGTACGCTTAAAACAGTTTCATCGGACCTGATCGACTCACGGGAGAGAGCTTACCATCGCCGAATAGTCATTCAAATCGCGAACCGGTCGCATCCCCTCTAATTAACCCAGTTATCTTTAGTCCAAAAGAACCATCAGCAAGGCTATAATGCATAACTCGAGCCTATTAATACACCTGTTCGTGGTGCCACCCCGAATAACACTCCTCTAACAAAATTACGGTAATTATATATCGGGTTAATAAATGGGGATGCTAGCGGAAAACCATTTGAGCTCTTCCTAGTATAAAACAAATCTTTGCATATAAATTGCGACAGACAGTACATACATCTTGCTATAAGAACTGGAATTTAACCATGAAAAACGCTCATTTATGATAGGAAATTTCCACAGCACGTCCCTTCTAGATTCCTGACATATATATATCCCCTTCGTAATCTAAAAATACACCACTTTCCCTCGCTAAATAGTACACTTCGGGGGTTTCTGGACTCTCTTCCTTCTTGACAACTTCCTCTTCTTTCTTAACAGCTTTCTCTTCTTTCTTCACAGCTTCCTCTTCTTTCTCGACAAGTTCCCCTGCTTTCAGGACGGCTCCTTCTTTTGCTAGAGCGACTGGTCTACCCTGCCGTTCAATACGCACATAGCGGGCCCCAATGGTACGCTGGCGTTTTGAGGGTGCTGGTGTTGGTGTTGAAAACCAAGATTCGTGGTCGTCTTCGTTTTCATCTCCGTCGGTGTAGTCATCGAAGGCTGAACGCTGACGCTTTGAGGGTGTATCTTCCTTCTTCTCGCTCTTAAGCTTTAGATGACTTTCATGTTCTTTTCTACCGGTATCGATATCCAACATTAACTCATCGCGTTGCTTATTGCCTTTCTCCCATGTCCTTTCCTCCCTCCAAACCTCAAGATCTTCCTCAAATACCTGCTCATCATCATCACCATCGTCATCTCCATTGTAGCCCCAGTCCGAAGAGGCATCAATTGCCTCCTGAAGGCCTTTCGCCACTACTTCACTCTTCTTCTCATTATCTAGGATATTCTCTTCTTCTGAGTCGTCACCCTTCTCCTCCCTGGTTAACTTGACTTCCTCATGGCCGTCCTCAGGTAAGAATCCTGCGTCAAACGAGCTACATGTAGTATCGCTGCCTTTTTCTTGGCTTTCCAATTCTTCTCCGTCATATTCAGGGATATGTTTACTCATCGAGGCTAGTTCGCATGTTCCCGCTTCACTTGGTGTGTCCCCTTCCCCATCCGTCATCTCCCCCCCTGCTGTCACATCTGTCACCTCTTCCACTTGCGTCGCCTCTTCTTCTTCCTCTTCCTCTTCTCCATCTTCCTCTTGCTCATCTTCCTCTCGCTCGTCCTCCTCTACATCTTCCACGACCTCCCCTGCTATTTCATGATGCTCATCATCTGAAGAGGAATCTTCATCGAATCGGATCTTCGCAAGGTCAAATGGGTTTTTGTAACGGCGAATAAGTTCTTTCACGACTTCCGCGACGACCTCTCTACCAGGAGGGCCAAGTTTCCCCGGAACCAGCTCTAGTTTCCGGAGATGTCTCTGCCGAATTTCTAAATTTTCGGACAAGTGCGCCGTTTTCACGTGCTGGCGCAGGGATCCCGCACAGCTGTCGGATATGCGTTTACCGCAGATTCGGCCCTTCTTGTTGATGATGATTCGGCAAATGCTCTCTCGAGGATAGATGGAGAATTCCCCTTCGATTGGCCACGGGGGGAAATCCCTGTCACGGTATATTGTGTTCAAGGCTTTTTGGGCGGTCATATTTTTCCCTAAGGAGTTATTGTAAGTCAATGCCGACTTTTATATGATATAATACAATCAGGAGTCCTAACTTGTTTGATCAAGAAATTCACCATGGATTTTGTAGACTCGTGCGGGAAATATCTCAGTCATTGTAAACTTGTGATTGAATCGGACCAATATCTGCTTGTGGCTGGTAGCTCGTAATTTCTGGGGAGTCTTTGGATAAATATCCAAGCCGTTTAGCTTCAGTACACTCAATTCAAGTCCTATCTCGAGGGGCTGGAATTGAATGCTGTTGACTCAGGTGACTGAAAAGAAAAACATCTAAGCCCCCAAACCAGTGTGTTGGCCGGTTACTCTCATAATTCATTGCACAACATCTGACGAGTGACGTTATGTGTTCCTACGAACCGGCCTCGAGGACCACAAATCTTGGCTTAGAATGCACGTCGAGTGACAATGCATGACTCACACATAAATAAATCCGGCTGGTTATCAAATTTCTATGATGTTCAAAAGCAGTCATATAGATCTGCTGTCCTATGACTCTATGTCAAGAATACATCCGACGAACAAGCCGGAAATGATTTTTTCATCTTTGATTATCAGATCTCAGCCCCGCGCCATATCTTGCTATCGATAAGAAAGTGGCAGAAATCGCAGTGGCTGGAATTCGCTGATTAGTTAATTCAGCGTGACTCTTTATGTTGAGCTGATCGCAGAATCGAGTCAGGCTTCTGGGTGAAAATGAAATGTGGTGGCTGGATCGTGACTCGATAGCTCCGGTTAGCGCGTGTGATTAGTCATCAGCGCTGCAGAGGACAGATGAACTGAATATCCGAATTAATCCGGCGAGATTTGCAGATGTATGCATCGGATTGCAGTTATTTCGGAGTACCTCTACGGACCAACTAATGGTGAAAGGGACATGATTTCTCATAGTAAATTAGGGGCTTTTCCGGTAGTTAAATTGCTAAATAGCTCTTCTAGAGGGAGTAGAAACAGGATTTTCTGCAGCTAGATTACGGGAGTCACCAAGAAACCTAGAACCCACCCGGAGAGACTACAGAGTATTACAGCCGTTTCTGGTGGTTTACATAGCTCACATTATTCCAGGACTGTCATTACCTAGCATTCCTTCTTTCAATCTCTGAATCTTACGGTGTGATACTCGTCTCCGACAGTCTGGTGGACCTGGAAGCTATTGTCTTAGTCATAAATAAGCTTTTTCGTCTGAACTTCTTGATAGACTTGGCCAGGTATTCTACCTTTTAGGGATGAGGATAGATGTTGTTATAATCCCCGGAATTCTCAATCTCTTCAAAACTACGTTTCATGTTGGGCGTTGTGGTCTCTGAAACAGCCAGGCAGGGAAAGTCCAACTATCGTCGTGTTACAGTTAGGCTTGGCGCCGTCGTGCCACCCTCCGGTCAAGACATTGGTAAGGTTACAACGTATCCGAAATAGAACACACCTCCATTTACCTACTATTTCATGACTGTCGGGGGATTAATAATTACCGGCCAAAGTATACAGTGCTTGGTTGTGGATTTGCAGCTGCTGCCAGCGCTATTACTAGGCACGGTATCATACTACATTAAAGTGCAGCTCGAGACGTCTACTATCGAACACGAGGGAGGCATCACACCGGTTATCTGGAAACTGCTGATCAGGAACTAAGGTTGGAATATTCTTCAGCAGGCAACCCCAGCCCCTCAGCAATTAATTCACTGTGGAGCCGAAGTTCTCATCCGAGGTTTTTTACTACACGTATATATTTACGTACAGCTGCCAAGAGAAATATACCTACCGAAGCTTCGCCGAACACGATTAGAAATCAACGCAACCACAGCCATTTGTTGGTAATTACCGAGTGCTGTCTGATAAATTAGCGCTCTTACCTAGATAATTGATCTAATAAACTATATATTTTTCAGCTGGAGCTAGCCGTGGATGGGGACTCACCTAGATATAGAGATGTAGATCATGATATGACTAGGTTGCAGTCAACCGTTTTGGATGTTACTACTATTTAAAACCTGCTCAACTCGAGAGAATTTTAGGGCCTGAAATCTCAAGAGTAGCCTCTGGACGACTTGGAGTCTGTCCGTCCTACGTAGTTAGGGAGAGGAATAAATCCCCTTCCGTCGATAAGCCTGAGTGTAAGGACAAGGCACGTTTAAGCTTAACTTAAATATCATTACCCATGCATTCACCCAGTGTGCATATAGGGCAATTATGACGATGATCCCTCGAATGCAGTATATCTCTACAGCATCTCCAAAAGTCACCACAGCACTCACCCCCCGGTGAGAAAACCTAATGACAAACACTCTATCACAGCCTCGGTGATGGCAGATATAAGACGAAACACATACACATCCCAACCCGCGCCTCTCACCGCAGGCCCAAAACAGTGCTAGCAGCACACCCAAGGCATACCGGAACCTCCGGCAAGGCCAAGCTTCCCATATAAACCTACTTGACCATCCCAAGAAGAAGAATTAACCCACACTCCTGCGTAGTTTCTGGCGAACTCACGCTAACACTCCACGGTCCTTACCTCGTACACACGATCAATTCAGCAGGCTGAAGAAAAATTAAACACCAACCGCATCAATTAATCCAACTTTTCCACACTCGTTTTTATACACAACCACTACTGCAAGCCAGTAGTCCAATCTATCCCAGCCTAGTCCAGCCAAACCCAGCCCACCCGCCCAAAAATGCTCCCATTCAAATACGTCCTCTGCCTCCTCCTTGGCACCTCGGCCGTCGTCTTCGCCGCCCCCGCCGCCCTGCCCGTCGCCAACCCCATTCCGGCGCCCCGCGCCTCCCCAACGCCGTCCGCAGAGCCCGAGCCCTTCTGGTTCCTGATCCCACGGTTGATTGGCGCCATCGCGCGGCCGATTGCGAAAGCCGTGGCCAAGGGGGCGGCCAAGAAAGCCGCCAAGAAGGTGGCCCAGAAGGCGACACCGAAGAATGTGGCAAAGACCGCGAACAAGGCCGTCAAGGGCGCGAACAAGGCGAACGATGCGCATCAGCAGAACAAGCAGAGGCAGCAGCAGAAGAAGAAGAAGGGGAAGAGGGCGGTTCTGAAGCCGGTGGCGAAGGGGGGGAGGACGGAGAAGTCGGAGCGGGGGCCGGATAGGAGTGGGAGGAAGGGAGGGAAGTCGGAGAAGAAGAGGAATTAGTGAGGGTGTTTGAGTCTTTGTTTGCGGTTTGAGATTTGGGTTTGAGGGGTTTGGGGTTTTTGTTTGTGGGAGGGGTTCGGAGTTTGTAATTATATGGCAGAATATGGTTGTGCTTTAAGCTTATCAATATAAAAATCACATGAAAACCTGAAGTTCGAGCTAGTACATATCTCAATTGCAAAGATCAGATCAAAGCTTTCAATCTATATCCGTCTTGATATGCATATACCCGTGGCCGCATCCCCACGATTCGTTATCTACACATATATGCAGTACGTGAACTCAATTTGCAATTTGAGAGACCGTATAACAAATCGTACCTTCGGGTCAAATATACTTCCCCTCCCCCGTACGTCGTCGAACGGGTTATTTATACCCCTTTCATCCGAATCCTCCATCCTAGCTAGACCATCGACCTAGCTACATCTGTATAGCAGTGTAGTGAAACACCATGACTTCGACACCAGTTCTTATTTGTAGCCCAGCCGGTAACTCGAACCCCCGGCCAACACTCCCCACTGTATAAACCATCCATATCACTCGGCCCTATATTCTGTAGGTACGGCGGCTGGTCCAACGGAACACATCAACTCCACGTCTTTCAAGAAAATGCACACCAACCTGAATTCGAACCTCGCACCACTCCTTGTGATTGTGCTGGTGCTTGTGTGTATCTCCAGTGCGAGCGCAGCACCGACACGAGAACCAAAGACCGATTGGATCAAGCTTGCGCAGAAGAACACGGAGTCGAATGGGCCGTAGGTTTGGCCTTAGGGTGGGAAAGAGGGAGGGGAAAGAGGGAGGGGTGAGGGGTGAGGGGTGAGGGGTGAGGGGTGAGGGTGGAATGGGATAGTGGGAGGCTGTGTGTGGTATCTAGAATGCACGGTGCTTTGAGTTTTGTAATATGGACAGATACTAATATATATATATACGAGCCCCCCATGGAGTTAGCAACAGCAAATGAAAGAAGGTGAACATGGGGTTGGACGTGGCCCAGCGGTATAGAGCTCACACTCTGTACCGAACTTGTGAGCGTTCAACCCCCCTCCGGACGTAGAAAAGACGTAGCAACCGAGGCCTAGGCGGTGTTGTGAACTTTTTTGCTCTTTTTTGTTTTGTTTTGTAAATTATTGATGTCGAGCGGGTTGTTTTTTTTTTTATTATATATATATAATGCCCATCTTAATTTATGCTATCAATTCAAACCAGGTTGATGAATGAAATAAAGCCTTACGTTCCTTTTTCCTGCTACTCGGAGCTGGAACCGTCTTCCCCTTGAAAATACATTCTCGGGCGGAGTAAACAGAGCAATCATTTACTGAAGGGCTGTTCCGGCATATTCTAGTACACTCTCAATGTTACATGTAGGAAGCCTGGGTGCAGGACCAATCATCGCCCGCCATTTGCGAAATTTCTTTTCGTCCTGACCTTTTATATATATATATTTTTTTAAAATCATGTAGTTTTATTGATTCTAGGTACAAAACTCTGCATGCAGTCATAGACTATGGCATAAAAGGACCTTTTATATATTAGGAGATATATAATATATATATTATTACCGGTACATGATCAGACCAGCTGGTATTCCATTGGACTTCACTGAGTACTTGAAACATACGTTCTCCTGTAACTGGCACAACGTCCCCAACACCCCAATTGCATGTAACCTACACCCACTCCCCATTCGACTTCCTCCTTCTCCCATGCTTATCCACGGCCCCATCCCCACAATTCTCCGCCTTTCCCTTACACGCCCTTGCCGCGGCCATCACTCTCGGGGGCTTCGGGTGCGCGCCTGATGATGACTCCAGTTTGATGGACTTAAGAGCGGGATTTATCGCAGCGGGATTTATCGTGGCGGGATTCATCGTGGCGGCAGCGGGGTGGAGTGTTAATACGACGGCGATAAGGAGGAGGAGGAGGAAGCGGTGGGAGTGCATTGTGTATCTAGGTCTTGGTGTAGATGTTAGTAATATTGGCTGGCCGGCAGTGTGTGGTGGTGTTTCGGATCCGGTTGTGGTTGGAGGCTTGAATTGGAGGACTGTATTGGAGAGGGAGGGGGATGATTTTATTGACTTTTAATTGGATTCTGGAGAAATGGCTTTTACAGGTATATATATAATCTGAATGCCCTGGATATCTACGCGTACTTGGGATGCGAGAATACCGGATAAGTCATGATGAACTCGAGTACTCTTTAGTTCACGGCCGGTACTGGGTGGGCCTCTTACGGCGGGAGCGGCGATGGCGGAGGCGGGGATGGGGCAAATGCGCTCTTGAATAAAAGTTATTACCTAATATAGAGAGAGTGAGCTCAAGTATCCAGGTTCTTACAATATTGGTATGTATACTCACTATCACGCATGATATTCCGGCCAGCACCGAGATGTTTCACAGTTACACCCACCGGTCAGCGTTACACAACCGCCCGGTCAGTGGCTGCTTACAGTATCCGGTAGAATTATTGCAAAAGTCAGAGCTAAAAGAGTGGATTTGTTGGTCTGTGCTCGCAGCAAAAACCTTTTAAGGGCCAATAGGACTATCGGGTCACGGAGAACCCACTTTCGCAATAATTTTACCAGATACTGTATATTAGTTCGCGCCACACCACACGACAACCCTGGCCCTGCCTGCCAAGCAAAATGGCGCTTCTACGATATCGCCGCCGGTGGGATCTTTTCAGAAGACATGAATAATGGCTCGATGTATGTACTTTTGTTTGGCGAATAAGGCTTTGATATCGGACCCGGGTCAGACGTCGCGCGCCAAACACCCCCCAGCCAGCCAACCCCAAAGCGAGACCAAAATTACCTCGAGATGACCACGCCTCAAAACCCATACTCTGAGCGGTAATAGATTTGAATAACTCCAATACAATTCCTGATTGCCTCCTCCTGATCCCCCTTTTTTTTCCTACTGGTGAAGATAATAGGCTTCACCAAATATCACTCGATCCTATTTCGGTTAGAGTTGTTTTTGTTACTACATGTAATTAATAAATCTGGTTAGGGCCGTTAGACCTCATCCCGCCCAACGTCTTCCCACTTCCTTTACCCAGAGATTTACTCATGCAAAAGAGGCGGTTAGTGGGTTACTTAAGCAAGACGAGTGATCGATGTTTCAGAGCTACACATAGCCCCCCCAAAATGCATAAAGACCACCGCGCTCTAACAGAGTAGCCCCCAGCGCGGCTATCTGATCTCCGTCCAAGCCACGGTCCCGTTCGGTATCATCCGCACCCGTCTCCGCCGACGATATGGCTGCCAACTTTGACCCATGGCATCTATCACCTACTCCAGTGCCCAGTGCCCATAGTCATTCCAGGTCGTCCCAGGCGCACATTACTATTCTCAGACTCCAGCGGCCAGTGTCAGACCAACATCCCGGACTGCTCGGGCGACGCAAGATATCCGGCTATCCGGCCAAACCGGAAAACCGATCATTACCACCGCCAGGGTTAGGTTTCTAACTGTTTCAGCTGATCAGGCCACCCACACATAAAGCTGGAGGGCTTCTTTTATTGCTTTTTTTGTGAGTTTGAGCATTTTGATAGGTCAAGAACGGTGTTTCGGCCGCCTTGTAAGTTGTTTCGCGCGGATACGGGTGTGATATATATCTGCTTTTATGTCAGCCTTGTTAACCAGCAAGAGCTTCCATGTGGTACTTAGGCCACCCATATCCACCCTCCAAGTGAAATTAAAGCGACCACCTGAATTTCCTATATCAACTTCTCCCCTCCCGCCCTCAAACAGCTAGCTCCCGCCAACACACCCACCCAACATGACCACCACCCACCCCCTCTTTCAAATCACCGCCATCCCCAACTCGGGCCTCGGCGCCGTCGCCACAGCCCCCATCACGCGCGGCACGCTCCTCATCTCCGAAGCCGCACTCTTCCTGCTCACCGCCGACTTCCTCACCACCGCTGCCGCCAACGCCGGCATCGCCGCCAAGCTCCGCACGCTCTCCCCGCCGCAGCTGCACGCCTTCCTCGCACTCACAAATGCGCACACTGCCGACACCACCCACCCGTTCGCGGGGATCGTGCGCACAAACGCGCTCCCCTGCGGCGTCGACGCCGTCGAGTGCGGCGTGTTCCTGACATGTTCACGCTTCAACCACAGCTGCAATCCGAACGCGAATTACTGCTGGAACGAAAAGACGCGGCAGGAGGTGGTGCACGCGGTGAAGGACATTGCCGCGGGCGAGCAGATCTCCGTATCGTATCTCGACGAGGAGGCAACGAACTATCCGCGCGCGCAGCGCCAGCAGCGGCTCAAGAAGGACTTCGGCTTCGAGTGCCGGTGCAGTGTTTGTTCCGGGGATGCGGCGGCCGTTGCGGCGAGCGACGGGCGGCGGAGTGAGGTGGGGAGGCTGGATGCGCTGGTGGGTGGGGGGAGGCTGATGATGGGGAGCCCGCAGAAGGCGCTGGGGTGCTGTAAGAGGATGTTGGCGCTGCTGGGGGAGGAGGGGATACAGGATGTGAGCCTGTATCGGACGTACTATGATGCATTCCAGATCTGTGTTGCGCATGGGGATTTGGCGAGGGCAGCAGTGCTGGCGCGGTTGGGCGTGGCGGTGAAGGTGGCGTGCCATGGGAGTGAGGCAGTCGAGGATGAGCTGTGGACGTATATAAGGTCGCCGGAGAAGCATCGGTTGGCGTCCATGTCGAGAAGGTGGGCGACAAAGGTGGGCGATGCGAAGGAGATTGGGAGTGAGGGCTTTGAGGAGTGGCTTTGGGCGAGGGCCCGTTGAGGATGATAATGGATAGTCAATATATATGTGATATATGTGAGCTCTCGTTTGCTTGATATAAACAGGTTTCCCAGTGTCTGTTTCTTCATGTCAGCCAGCAATTCCCATCCTGACCTCATTTCCTGTAGCTATCCGGCCGGAGCTTGATTGATCATTACCTATCTGCAATATCCCTACTATAGACATGTTCACTGCCGCCCGAGCTCTCCCATAAGTATCACTAGAGTACCCACCCTATATCAATATGCATATCCAGCCAGAGATCCCAAGAGCATGCATATCCATACCACCTCCGAGAATAAAATACCACCCGCCCGCCACCAGAGCCAAAACCAATAAACAATTCTGATACGCGATCGATCTCCAAGTCTCTTCCCCTCAAGAATAACACCCTGACCGCTAGTACTCTCGGCGGAGTTTCTGGGTAGCGGTCTTTTGTATCGGTGGGCTGATACCTCAGCAAAGGTTTCTTTTTTGGCATCATCGTTGTGTATAGTGTTGTATTGTGTAGTTGAGTGGTGATTGACTATGAAGTTGATTCCAGCCTATTGGGGTGAGCTGTAGGTGTGTAGCTCTGGCGGGGTTAATACGACACTTGTTCTCAATTCACACGAAGGACAGAATGTACTCTAGACTGAGTAATAAGTACTGCATACATGACCTAGAGTAATCTCATTTCGGGTGTCTTATATTATTACAATGATTTCTGGCCGGTTCTTCAAGTAGGTGAGTGGTGATAATCTCCCATCCGGAGATTGGATCCCGCCTTGGACTTTGGAGCTGACGATTATATTTACCATTCTTTTTTGCTCTCTTACTAAACGTGTATACTGAGAAGCGCATGTAGTAACATATAATTCTTTGAGTCACGGCGTTACTTGTGAGGTTATTTGTCCCGTTAAGACTACGTACATAAGTAATTTGGGGTAATTTGTGAAGATATAGATACATTAACACCAACAACCCCAGCACCACCACGTATCGTATACTCAGACTTAACACTACCCCGCACTCTAACCTCCTCAATCCTCTTCCTAGACACCGTTCACCAAACACCCACCCACTTCCGGAACCGAGTGACACCCCATGACTCACCCGATCGTTTCGACCACATCTCTATGCGCCCAGCGCCGCACTATCCCCGCTTTTTCACGGCGGAGGAGTACAACAACGTAAGATATATACCATTCTCTACATGAAAGATTTCATATGTCCGCAACTGATCGACCGCCGATGATGAAATTCAAAGGGTGGGTGGCAACATCAACGACTGGACGGAATGCAACGGGCCCCCCATCACAAAAGACATCCCCATATTGCGAATGCCGGCGAACTCGCCCATTTCGCTCCTAGAACAGAGGGTGCTGTACGGTTTTGCTCTCTCCCCCGGCCAGTGGGCCAGTTAGATTGTGAGAAGTGAGAGTGAGGTGGGTGTGGGCGAGAGGAGTGAAAGAAAGAATGAACAAGTAGCCCCATCATGAATATGATACGAAGAGCACTTAAAAAAAGCATCTCGCTCAATCAGAAGCACCGTAGTTCATGGAGCTACTGTTTCAATAACCGTTGTTTGGCCAATGGGCCCGCCGATTACTCGGGTCCAAGAGCCGTGATCAGCACCATTGCACCATTGAGTAATCCTATATCGTGCCCTACGAATCGCGAGAGGGAGCGACCCCTCTTTCATGGTGCTTGGCGGGTGTGCTTAATAGGTCATAAATCCCCACATTGTTGGTGCTGCTGGTGCCCCTCCTTGATAGCGACGGTGGTGGTCGTGGGAGTTGGTATCGTTCTGGCAGTGCTCCGATGCTTGAAGATTAGCAGTTAATGTTTGGTATCTGATGGGAGGGGGAGGGGGAGAGGGAGAGGGAGAGGGAGAGGGCTTGAGTTGGGATGGACGTTTGGGCGTTTCGATAGAAGAGCTTGATGGATAACGTTAACGGTCCGTCCCGAATACGCCAAGGAGCTATCGTTCGGCAGACTCGACGGATACGTCCTCCAGGAAAGCTTGTGTTAGTGTTTACTCTCCGAGAAACCGGGCGGAACGTTGGTCGTGCAGTAGCCATGGTGGGGGTGGAGCTTGAGCTTGAGCTTGAGCTGGCGATATCGATAAGCTTATCGGTTTCAGTGAGGGGCAGCACGTATGCTAGCTTGCTGGATTGAGAAGGCCTAGGAGAGGCAGAAGAAGAAGAAGAAGAAGAAGAAGAGACCTCTATTTGAAATTGATTAGATGAGATCCACCCGTGTTGGCATCAAGAAACAACATACCGAGTCAAAAAAGGAACTGGCTTCACCCTTCGGTTGGAACCTTTCGTCTCCCGACATCTGGCCTTTGGGGAAACGATACATGTATCTCTCTCGACATCAAGCTTCTCACTACTACATGTAGCTATCCGCTCGGAAGGAGCTACTCTCAGTATTCATCCCTCACAATATGCCCCTCCCCCTCCCGCAGAAGAAACACTCACCTATTCCCGAAGTTCTCGGTATCCCACTTCCTGCCTCGAGCCCCCGTACGCGCACGCAGCTATCCGGCATATCGAGCTACATGCAACTTAATTGCGGCCAAAGACACCCAAAACAATATGACTTGTTACGTCATGACCATTGCATTCTAGAATGTACACCAAGGCATCTGTCCTGCATCTCACAATCGATATCTCAACCACCGTTATACTTGTTACTCACGAGTAACAAACAAACAGTACCAACCATTCCAGCTTCATCTAGAATGAGGTTGAACTTGAGATACAACCTCTGGTTGTAACGTGAAGTATCATATTGACAGTATTTAGGTTCAATATTTCATGATGGACCCAGCTAGAAGCATCTTGAAAATGATATATTAGTGATATATAGTGAGCAGCATATCCAATCCAATCCCCACTAAACAGAGGAATACTGAGTCTATGTAGCTAAAGATAACTTCTATCTACATTAATTGCACAGCGCCTACAATAATGTCGAACTCTGATACTTCGTCCCCCACCACTACCAGCGCCGTAGGTGGAGACATCTTTGGCGAATACACACTCGATCAGCAACATACTGGCAGCGAGGTAAATACAGATACAGATACGAATGGAGAGACAGATTCAGATTATACAGACCCACCACCACCATTACCGCCCATCGTAACCAATGAAGTCTACTCACGCATACCCATGCCAGTCGCTGGTAGTCGCCGGTCCTACATTGTACCCCGCAGCGAAACTGGATATCACCATGATGAAGATGATAATAACGAAGATATCGATTATGATGAATCTGCCACAGTCCACGCAGAAGAGGTGAGAGAGAGGTTCAGGAAGGGTGTGAGGAGGGTCATTTGTGTGGTGCGGATGATGAAAGAGATGCCTGGCGAAACGTGGAGAAAGAGTTTGGGGGAAACTTGGTAGAAGGAGAGTTTTGAGAGAGAAAAAAAGGGTATCTTGGAGAAATGGCTGGGAAGTACCTACCGCGATGATCACATCACAACTCTGAACGCCGGGTGGGCAGCTAGGTGGGCGGGCGGTGGGTTCTTGATATTCCTAACCCTTAGCATGCTGCGTTCGTCGTATTCTACAACATATTACATACTGATGATCACGATAGTACAGCGCTTACTCTGCGTGGTGTTCAGCTAAAAAAGATATCTACGTAGAGTCTATGAATAAAAGATTAACCTATCTAGCTTATCTCAAGTCACAGTCTAGTTTTGCAGATACCTACCTCCGCTGTCCGCTCTTACTCCACTCGCCCACAACTATCTCCCAACCTCCCACCCCCTCCCCTACGTTCAACCTGGCATGAACGAGTGATCGCCCATGAATCCGGAGATCGATTTTCTCCCCACCTGCAACCGAAAGAAAAAAAGAAGAGAAAAAAAAGAACAACCACTTCCCCCATCCCCAACCCCGGAAATTCTTCGTACCGCGCAAGACCGCGCGCGCTCCGGCAATTACGATACGATTCGATTCGCTGCGCAAAAGGAGAGACTCCCCGAGACGGTTGAACGAACGAACCGCGCAAGCCCAAGCCGTTCCGTCTAACAACACGTCCTATCCCGCCCGGACGAAATAATTGTAATCGCCCTTTCAGCTCCGGTACCTACGGGCCAAAATAACCAAAGTGAAGTTGTGCTCCTAGATGAGAAATCCAACAGTCAATCACGCGACAGTAAAGGATAGGAGAGAAATAGAGACCGTGTATGATAATCCGAGCACAGGAGTCGGTCGTGCGCTGACTCACTCTCAAAGCTTACGTAGAGCTAACTCAGTGCTAGACTGAAACATTTGACATCTTGGCACTCGCACCTCACCCCCTACGCTAAAGTACGCTAGCTAAACAATCCATCTTAGCTAGAGAGCTACCCATGCGAAAATTAAAACCCACGAGCCCGTTTCTCTCCCCCCCAAACAAAATTCCGCAATTCCACTTTTTCTCTTCCAGAAGGCCCCAAAAAATCCTCGGACCCAAACTTTGCTTTGCTACCTTCCTCTTCCACTCTAACTTTCCCACCCGAATAACCCAACCCCAACCCCGGATTCTTAGTATACGGTACGGCCCGGGCGAGGATGCTAAGCTGGGGTGTCCCCCCGCCCCGGCACGACCCAGAAACGGGGACGGCCTTCCCAGCACAGCGTTACACTATGAGTTAATTATTTAGTCATACAACTGATCTAAACTAAACTCCGCCTAGAGTAGAGTAATAATTCGTCTTGATAAGCGCATATGTAGTGTGTGTGTTGTTGGCATTGTAGACGCGGCGCGTTGGCTACTTGTGGAATTGGACGACCGATAGGTGGAGAGGGGTGTGATGTAAGGGAGGGGTATGAGACATGGGTTAGGGTTGTGGGCGTGACGGTGACGAGGGGAATTGAGGTTTGTAGTTTTGGAGGGGAGGGGGGAGGGTTTTTGGTACTTGGTCGGTCCGGTTTTGTGTTTTCCCTGGTGTGCGCATGGTGGAGGGTGAAAAGGTGAAAGGTGGGTGGTGAAACGAAAGATCGTGACCGCCGCAATTAAGCGCGCAAAGTGCAATTTCTCAATAGTTAAACGAGGTAACACATCGTAGACGAGAGAAACAATAGAAGCTTTAAAGACTTTATCAAAGTTTAATTAAATAAATCAATATACTAGATATCTAAATTAAAAATTCTATCGCTTTGTCTGCCCTTTTGTTATTGATACTTACAGTAGCGTATTGGAATAATAAGTTTAACGAGCTGGTTGCATAAGTTCATGTATACAATTAACAAGAACTTCAACAATCCATCATAGTTCCCTTTACAGATATGCCCATTTTGTCGCGAGAAAGCGTATATCCATCTCGAAAATAAGGCGAATCTATCTATAAGCGAGAATAGTTTGTTTGAGCGCCATAATGCCTTTAAAATGAGTATGTTCATGTATTCTCACTCGTTATTCTAACATTTTCTACATACTTTTGGTGGCTTACTGAGTAAGCTCACGATAATTGAGCTGTGTTGCGCTCTGGCGCTAAAGTAGAAGACGTTGAGGTGGCCTCGCTAAAGGTCACAATGGGGGGAGCAACACCAGTCCCTCCTAACCACGTCCTCCAATCGTCTTTCAACCTTGCCTCAAACTCGAGGTCCAGTCCATCAACCCATCACGATGTTAACCGTGTTATCCCATGTTAACAGACGGCACGCCAAAAGGGCCAGCATTCCTCAGCCTGAATCGAGTTAGCCGACGAGAGCGCGGCTTTAGTCGGGCTGAATTGAAAAGGTGATGACATCAATAGGAAGAGCTCAATCATCAAAGTTGTTAAATTCTCTTACTAACATATTTTTGCTTCTCTTGCGACAGATCGTATTTCCAAAGACTGGACTTGCCCTTCCCCTCCCTAGGGTTGAATCCAGGACATCCGGTAGATGGCCTTCTGATCGATCTCGAACGTCTCAAGGCAGAGAGTGAGATACTTGCGGCTATCAGTACCGGAGGTACCTCAGTCGGCACAGTCTGCTTTCGGCGTCGTCGAGACAAAGCGACAAAGAACAAAACACCCACGCGCGTCTTGATGAGGCGAAATTTTTGTTTTTCAACCATGTTGTCCCCTTTAGGGACACGTAACCGGATCTGGCTGATTACCGATAGCGATACGAGGGCTGGGCGTGTTGGGTACATGTGTGTTGTACACTCGTCACGCGTCACGCTCCGTTACTCCGAATTATTCATGGCATTGGTCAGCCTGTGTGAGCAAGTTAGGACTGCGTAAGCGGAGCGAACACGGACGTCCACAAAACACGGGTTGGGTCGTCTATCATTGGTTACCAGTCCTGGTGACCTGTCATATTGTAACTGTCGACGAAAGGGTGAAGTCTGGAAATGCCAATTCTAAGCCACCAAGCCAAAGACTTGGCAGGGCAAAACCTTAACAAGACCTCAATATAGCCCTACATATGCCACTTCAACAGGTGCCGTGCATCATTGGTACATGGTCTAGGCGGTTGGGCCCCCCCTCAATAATCCAACCAGGAAAAGAATTTACCGGTTCATTCCAATCAAATGTACTCCGCAGACTCAGTTTGCGCAATGATTCATATTTTGGGGTAAAATAGAAAAAGAAGGAATTGCGCCTTCTTTGCAGTAAAGATCTACACAACCGTTGCGTTGCTCGGTTCTGCCAACAAGTTAGATTGCATTGGTGCCTGCACGAGTTTGAATTCTTACGTAGGAAACGACAGCTCAGGTGTACTGATATCGATCTCTTTGACGGTTTTGATCGCAGGAGTGCAGCTTTTGACGAGAGCTGAATGGTCGTTGCAATGCCAACACTCAATGATCATCAATCACGTGGACAGATCAAGAGCATCACTAGATCTCAGAGTTGCTTTCACGTGGGTACAAGTCAAAAGAAAGAATACTTACCTGGTGTACTCGAAAACACCCACCGGGCATGTATCCTCTTCTGTCTTAACTCGAGGTTTCTTTTCTGCGGTACCGATGAATCAATGATCTTCAGTCGGCTATTCTGCGCGTCGGTTCTATCGAATAGGTAATCGTCAGGTTTGAAGTTACTATTTTTACGGTTTCATTTCTCTCTCTGTGTGTGTGTGCGAGGAGGGTAGTAATCAATTGAGAATGGATAAGGTATGTATTTGAAAGTACACTTTATTTGGTGATCAAATTGAATGAGAATAGGTTGATAGAAACAATTCGTAGTTCAGTTTCAAGTGAATTATGCGATACTGTTACTGACCAATTGACCAGTTGGGGGTGATTTGCACCTGTACTCGTATTTCTCTGACGTTTGTGGACGCGACTGATATTGCATGCCATACAAAAATACGCCAAGCTCATGATTTTGGGTGTATGCAATAATGGCCCAGTTCAAAAACGTCAGAGAAATACTAGTATGTACTCCTGACCAGCATCCGTCACTCCGACATACAGCTTGCGGTAAGATTATTGTAGAAATATGGGAGGAGTCCTATTGGCTTGCCCAGCCACAGAAACCCTGTTTTTAGACCCCTGTTTCTACAATAATTTTACCTCTCGCTGTAGGCGTGGTTACATCATGTTTTACCCAGAGATTTAGGGGTATTAACTATTTTGGAACAGGCTCTTCCTCTTTGGAATGATTTGCGTCTAAGCCTGGTTGTCGGATACAGCTTGAGGTTCGAAGACATCCACGTAGGTGACTAAAAGGATTGTCGGCCTAGTGCCTCTCTCCAAAATACCAACAGATCGCTGATTAGAATCGGAGTACATGGAAAGCTCTTGGATATGTGTCGTACTTTCACCGACCTCTTCGTTTTTTCTCTTGAATTAAGTGGAGACAAGCAGGATTTCGAAGAAACATTATCATCGGCGACCAAGAGAAAAAACTAAAGCTCTGATAAGTCCTGATTCTAAGCACTGTAAAAAGTGTCTCAGGCTACCACAGAACCGGGCCGTGTATCTTTGGCTCTCGGGGCTGGGATTATGCGGGGAGGTAGATGGATTGGCTAGGCCAGGTTGTCACCCGCCTCGCTGGTACTTGTCGGACAACTGGCCTAATTGGGATGGATAACTATTCGGTACTGGATTTGATTGATAGCTACGCTGTCCATTCTTGGATGTACAGCACCAATGCGGAACTAGAAGTTCTTTTTTTTTTTTATATTATTATCTCGGATCGAATCTGAAGGGCTTCAGGAAAAAAAAGAGAAAAAAAAGGGCTAGATCAGTGTGTAGTATCGTGCCGAAATCCCGTTTGATTTATTGCTACCTACGATATGTCACTGAGATTTGCGAATATTATTTGGACGACATTAATATTACTGTGCAATGATTAATTAATCTACTATTGTTGTAGTACAATTTCACCCAGAAACGGTATAATTTTAGGCGTGGCTTTCTGGGATTGTGCACTGTTCCAGGTCTCCGAAGGATGCAATAACCTCGTCTGGGAGATCTTCATAATTTCAGGTTCCGGTACTTACCGGTGATCGTCGGTGATCAAATGTAGAGTAAACAAGTTTTCTACATGCTGCCAGGTTGTCTGGCACTCGAGTATTGGATGGAATAACCCTCGAGACGACAGGGTGCAGTGCTCCTGTTCAAGCAGGGGAACTGCCAGGACCGCATCTAACCACTACGGGATACCTGCTTGCTGGGCTGTGGCTATTGGTTGGATGGAAGGACAACCGTCAACACAACTACCCAACTGAACTGGTGTACAACCCCAAATCTCTACGGCTTGCAGGGGCAAGGGAAGAAATTGGCATTTTGCACTATCGATGCATAGCACCTTGTGTGGTGTGTAGCGAAACTTTAATCCAACCTTCAGTTACACGGCTCGCGCTTGAAGATGTATTTTTCGCAGCGGACTCTGACATTGCAGGTAGAGATATTCTAAAATCCTTTGGGGCGTAAAGGTAGGTTGTTAATTCGATGACTGATAAAATATTTATTTTATTTTTTAATTTTCGCTTAAGTGCTCAGACAATGCGAATTGCCTGTTGCAGCCGGCCCGGCTAGCTATGAACGGATCGGGCAATCGTCGCCGAGTTCGAGAGAAGGTCAGCGACCTACACGGCATCTGCTAAATTCTACGTCCCATATGCCCTACTTGCAACAACATCGGTGTTCAAGTAGTCCGACTGCAGAGTCCCGGTGCTGGGTGCAGTAGCTCAATCAATGCCTCTCAAACAACAATGCAATACCAGAAATTCATTATGAGACAAATATCGACTACGTACCTACGTTACCAACAAAGATTACGAGAGTATACGATCTGAGATTGACTCTGATCTCTCTCTCGAAAAGAATATTACGAGATGTATTAAAATTTAAAGCGTCTCAGGAATGTTGGTGGCTTTGCTGGCATTCATTATAGCCGGAGAAAGTAGCAAATATGGAACTCGGGGGAGATGATTGCATTAGAGCAGTCAATGCATGACCACAAGATTTCTTGTCGGCCTCGACGGGTTTGCAAGGAGTCAGGTACTTTTCGTATTACAAGTGAATTGCGTTGGTGAAAGAGTCTACTTGTGTCTCAATTGAATTTTTATTATCCTTCTTTTTCTTTGCTGGCCAAAGATTAGGTTGAGAATGAGGAATTCGGTGACCACGAGAATGTGAAAATAAAAATAAAAAAAGATATCTTCCTGAGGAGGATCAATAAAACTACATGATTAAAAAAAAAAAAAAAAAAAAAGAATACGAAGATATGCAAGTATTGTCTTAGAGTGTATCAAGAACACTCTGCAAGCTGTACAGCTGTCGTCGTCTCTAGTTCCTGCAGTAATCTTTTGAGACACTTTGCAAAAAGACCTCATTCTGTGAGATGATACGCCCGGGCCAAGGGAGTGGGCTGAAAAAAAAAAACGCCGATCCCGAAGGTACGCTCAGAGCAGAGTGTGAGACACACGGCCAGAGGACTGTGGAGTTCCTTCTCCGGCGCACTGGAGTCATGCAGCACGGCCCACGCACTCTCTCACTATCAGCACTCTCGGGCGTTGGGGGACTTAGACTACGGGAAATATTCAACTTTCTAAGGCCTCAATTTTCTATATAACCTGGCCATTCTCCGCCCCAAAGTCAAATCTCATCCTCATCACTCTCATCTCAACATCCAAAGCATCCACTTCCAACAACAACCAACCTTCCACTTCACTCTTCTACCACTTCAATAACTTTTTAAGTTTACCCCCCAAACAACCAAATCAATCAAAATGCAGTTCTCCACCATCCTCATTGCCACCGCCGCTCTTGCCATGACTGTCATCGCCGCTCCCGTTGCCGGTGATGATAAGGCCCACACTGAGATCCACGACAGCGGCAACGTTGGCGATATCTCCCAGAGCGGAAACCATAACGTCTGCAGCAACCAGCAGGACCGCACTACTCAAGTCTGCTGCAACAAGTCCGACAAGTCTAGCGCCAGTGGCCTCGTTGCCCTCGATGCCTTGAACAATGTTCTCTCCGATGCTTGCTTCCTCTCGGGTAAGTATCTCACTACCATGCAACAATGAACCGATTCTAACAATTTCACAGATGGATGCAAGGCCGACCAGAAGACCTTCTGCTGCAAGCAGGAGAATAGCAGCAACGTATGCATACCACTATGAATCCTTCCAAAGCCATTCAGTAGCTAACATTATTACAGGGAATCAACCTTGTCCAGCTCAACAGCTGTGGTCCTCTCATCGAGGCTTTGTAGATACCTTTCTACAACTCGGCCACCGCTTCTCAGCAATAGATGGCCACGAGTTTCGATGGGGGAGAGGATTGTGAGATTGATGAATGGGCTAATTTTTACTTCTTCATAATGATTGCATTGGCATGCTTTCTTTTGTTTTCTTTTCATAAAAAACCCACAAAACCCACAAAAAAAGCCTCATGGCAGCCCATTCATGTTTTCTGTTATATTTTTTATCTTCAAAAGCAGTCTCACATTCCTTTTGGTATTGAGTGGAGGAGAAAGAGAGAGATATTTGGGTTAAAACTAGTTGGCTGCTTTTGGACTGCGATACATGTTGTTTCTTTATGAAATCGTTTGTTCAACTTCTCGATTAACTCTAATTATGTAGCGAAACAAAAATGAGATGTTAAACAAAATCTTTGGTTCCAATAGCGAGTGACAGTGATCTGAGAAGCTTCTTTATCTCACCCAACAAAAACAGCTACTATAGTTCGAATGGATAGAAAGCATCCTGGCGACAATCTAACTATGGGACTTCCTCTTTCTCTTCCCTTCCAAAAGATCTTCCGCTAAAAGCTTACTTCTCGAGCAGCAACTTTTCCGACACCTTATTCCCTATTCATATACCCTATAGGAACACTTACTTTTACCTTTTTATACCTATTATTCAAAACCACTCGCACGTCACGCTGCTACTCCCACTCGATCTTACACCCCCAAACAAGCTTTGGGGGTGTGTGTCCCCATTACAGTGAGCAGTGTGCTCTACATGTGCATTGATTCCTTACCTAACTATTTACTCTGCACGCTCCTCATATTTCATTTCCATTTCGCCGGCCCGTAAAACCTGTTTGTTACCGGGAAGTACCGTTCCGCATGTACCTACAGATATGTACCCTCATATGTATCCTATGAGTATACTGTCGGCCCGTGCGATCGGCGGAGAGGTAAAATGAGTTCTCCGATGGATGGGTGCGTTGGTGTTATGTACTCTACGGTTTGTAATTGCTGCTACGTATGTATATATGTTTGGAAGGTACATGTTTGAAAAGTGCTATTGGTAGGCCGGAGGTTGGTAGTTAGTAGGCGCTCACGTGACGGGCTTGGCAAACGGGCGAGTGATGCAACGTGATCGCGCTGCAGTACGGTTGCTTGGGGGGTGTAATGAGAGGAGACGTCTGACGTCTGAAATTTGATATTGACATTAACATCGGAATGAGAAGGTTAAGTTTAATTTATCCCTTACCTGCTTTGGGGTGGGTGATGTTTATGCCAGCAGGCTAGCTAGGGGTCATGTTTGTGTCGAGAGGACATCTCTTCTTACTTTTTCGTCTCCTGCGGTGGGGGGCACAAGGGTAGGCAGCGAGTAATTGAGTCGGCCCGGGCCCCCGTGGAGGAAAATGTGAACCTTTTTCCACGACGTAAAGTGAGAGAAGGTTTGAAGTAGGCAGCCCATCGAGCGCATATGCGTGGGCGACATGCGTGGTTCGAACAGATGGTCGGTCGCACAAGGTCTTTTCATCGGGAAAGGGTAACGCAACTTCAACGTCCAGTGTTACTGGCCGGTATGTTATGTGTTCGGATCAAGAGCTTACGTCACGTCGCTTCGTGAGAACCTCGAATCTGCCAAACTCTAACATTTTTTTTCCTTTCAAGCCATGCTCACTGGTTTCATGAGGTCAGGCGAAAAGAAGACTTCAAGCTTTCAAGCAGCAAACATACAACACAACCATCGTTACCGAGATGAAAGACGTGGTGTTCTATATAGGAAGGCGCAGAAACCGTTCAAGGGAAGAGCACACAGCACTCCTGATCTGATAGATATATCATACCAACATCCAAACACTAACATCTACTAGCATACATAATAACCATGCCGAGTCGTAGCCGCAATTTAAGGCAAACCTTAAGAAGAAGAGCGACATCGTCAAGTCTTCCAACCATATACGAAGACCGAGTGTGGAGCATGAACGACAGCAGCAGCAGCTTCTCTGAACCTGCTAGAGACCCGGCGGAGAGCCCGGGCATAACGGAGGAGGCTGTCTCGGAATTCTTGGGAACTTACAGGGTCGGGAGTGATAACCAAAATAGCTGGAGAAGAAGGTATAATAAGTGGGCATCTAATCTGCTACCTACCAGAAATGATCTATCCCAACTCAAAGAGTTGCGGTTTTGGAAGCATCGATATCACGACGCTCCTAGCGCTGACTCGCTGCATCGCTTGAGGCAATCGAGGAGCATCAATAATCTTGAGTATTACTATCGCGGAGATTGGAATAAGTACCCCAATCTCAGTGTGACCAGTCTTCCAGAGGGAAGTAAGAAGAAAAACTGGTTTAGAAGAGGGACTGTATCACTTGCCACCAGGCTTGGCGTTGGAAGCAGCCGTGATTGGGAGGATATTTTCGGGAGTGATCGTTTTTGAGGAAGGGGGATGTTTGGTTCTGACTGAAGGTACGAGTTGATAGAGCAATATTTAGAAGCAAATGAATTGACCAAAGAAAGGAAACGGCAGATTTTGAAACTTGACTTTAGTAATTGCTTCTCTCCGCACCTCCGCCATGAGCTGAACCCGAATCTTTAGTGTGACAATTACTTATATATTCCATCCGGGCTGATTTCTCGTTAAGATTTCCCGCAAGCATGGCTGATATCTAGATTCCCGAACATCACGGTTGCCAAGTGCCGAAATACGTGGTTACATGTAACACCACAGTATGTAGCTACAATTTCCACAGAAACAAAGGTAGCACCATCAATTGCAGAAAAGCAGTCTTCCGCTCCATGACCCGGTTATAGCGCGGATTGTGTGGGTATTGAAAAATATGTCGGGGATCCGGGATGGCGTGTTTGTGATGGGTTGTACAACACGTTTTACTCTTCGCGGGGGGGTAACTATTCTATTTAGTGTGACCTGAGGGAGTAATTGTGGGGTGGTTCTGCGTAGTACGTGGTAAGGCTTTCTGCAGACGGGAGGCTCTGATATATATAAGCTTCTAGATCGAGATAGAAGCGACGATATATATTCCGGTAGTAACGAAGGGACGGATGAAACATTTGGGGTGGGCTGATGGTACTACGTACGCTCTGGACGGCTCGACTCGGGTGGGAAGACCAAATATCACCCAATAGGTAGTCATGCTTATATATAACCTAGTCTATAAACTCCGTCCCGTCCTTGGTATTTGGGACCTGAGATGACATACTCTAGATATGGCAACCAGAATCATCTCTCGGAACGGGTGTGTTTATAATGCTGTTTTGAGCGCTGTTAGTTGTTTCCCAGAATATTCACTAACATACTCCAACACGTACAACACTAAGTGTTTCTTCGCGCGATTGCTCGGTGGAGCGGAGTTACTGCACATGTAGGGAGAGGGAGCATTAAGTGATTGAGAGGTCGATACAGGGGCACAGACGGATCGCAACCGATGGAAAATACAAAGAATGGGAAGATCCTACCAAGGTGGGGAAATTTCCCGGAGAGTTGTAGTTTAATGGCTTCATTTATTGAGCATGTGTTTGTAGCAACAGGATCTAACTATCTGTTCCATGCGAAACTTATACTCGACCCAATGTTATATTATCGATTCCAGGAAAACGGAAGATCAAATGTATCAAGATGTCAATTTTAGCATAGATGTAGTTTAAAATGGCTTGACGATTCGTGCTGCCACACAAGGTAACTTATCTCATACTTCCTTCTTAATTGCTATTGATTTTTAGTCGGTATTCTGAAGCCAAATTAATAGGCGGGGTAAAACTTACTAGATATGTAAAAATATTTCTTGATCGCGGCAAGGAAAAACTATAGGTTTTGGTATTAGTTGCCTTATAATGTCAGCCACAGGCTATTAATGGCTTTCCTTACGTGGAAATATCTCATCAGGCAGCAGTCTCGCTATCAAAACTGATCTCATGGAAGTTTCGAAAAGTATCATTGGCCGGTCTTGATTACTAATAGGTCTCACTAACCGGAGTGGTTATAGTGTGTTCAATCACAGCTGATCACTCGACTTCACAAGATGACCTCAGACTGCAAATTTGCGAAAGTCAGTTCTGGGACGTGAGTATTGGCTCAGAACTACCCAGGACTCAAGATTTACCTATAATTCTTTGAAGAACATTTGTCTACGGAGTACTTCGTAAAATAAACAAAGAATCTTTGAATAGTTTTTTTCAAGAGTCATCAGAGCAGGAATTGAGACCGGTGGCCGGCCGACGAGTACAAATAAGGTACAATACGGCTTCTTACATTTTAAATTATATGCACTGATCTATAGACATTACAAACATCCGAACTTCAAACTCAAACCCGATTCAATAACAAATTACCAATGTCGAAATATCTCTCGAAGGAAGAGATGGAGGAAGCCATGAAGAAATTGGCATACCAGGGAGACACCGCCGCGAAGCTGAGAGAAATACGCCACCTCCAAGCACCACGCAAGGCAGAGAAGGATGAAGACCTAATTGAGTTGGATGGCTCGGGGGAGTATTATACTACTCTGGAAACGAATAAGAAAGAGACTGGCGACAGAATAGAGATGGATGGTTCAGGGGGTACGTATGATGTTACTCCAGCGAAACAAACTACTCAGGGGCTCCACTGGTATTTTGACCGTGATATGGCGCCGGAGATAGCGGCTGAGACTGCGCGGCAGAAAAGGAGCAATAGCCGGAGAGATAGACATAGCAATACGGAAGGCGCTGGTGTAGGTTGTAGAGATGTTAAGACGGTTGTCGTGGATACGCTCGGTAAGTTGGGCCATGCGGGGAGTAAAGGGGAGAAGGATAGGGCGTTTGGAGATCTTGGGATGAGGAGATCTAAGTCTGGGTAGAGAAAGAATTATATCGTGTGACCGTAGATCTAGGAGGAAGGATTGAGGATATAGATTCGTATTGGCGATGGTATTGGGCGGGTAAGCCGTGGCCGTTGGTTATAGCTAGTATTAAACGCGCCCGTATTGAGAAATGAAGCTATAGACAAGAGAGAATTCATTCTCTCTCGAATAAAAGCGCTTGAAAAGATTGATTAATGAGGAGAGATATTATTGATTCTGTGCGCAGACATAATTGACAAACACGATTCCCATTTGTATGGTCGATGCTATGAATCATATATATGCTCTTTACATCTGGAAAACCCACCGAGATCTATCCTAGATCTACACTAGGAGGCCTGGTAGAAGCACATGTAGTTTGCTTCGGGATCGAGAAATGGTACGCTGGGGAAGGAAAAGTGGTAACACAGGCCTAGGCGCAAATGTAGCTAACTTACACACCCATGCGCCACCCTAAGTTACAACAGGGATATGAACGTACCTACATAACTTATATGTATGTACAGCCACACAATCTTCGTACCACGGTGCATTACGCTAGCACTATTACAGCATAGAGGGAAGCTTAAGGTTTAATTAATTATAACGTATGGCTCGAGAAGCTATGGTGGGTAGGTGTGTAAACTTCGGCGTTTGCAGCCAATCAATTTATAGAAATTGGGAGATCTACTCCCATAATGGTACTAGTGCCTAGCCCAACGGTGGGATTTTCTCTAATTCCCATACAAAAAAAAGTTCCTTTGAAGTTGACACACCCACCCCCTATGCCTTCTCGCGCCATATATCTCCTAACTCTAATCTTGTATTTTGTGCTCGAAGAATCTGGGATATCAATTTTACCATATCTCATTTTATCAAGAGATCCCGGGTTTTCATTAGCTGTTGGTGGGCTTCTCAGATTTGGCATCTGCATTTGCAAAATTTAAATTAAAAGACTTTATAGTCCAGGCATGAATAAATCCTAACAAGCTATTCACTAGTAGTGTCAGCTGGGTAACAGTTAGGTGAATGCCGAAAATGCCCTAACTCGCAGTTCCTGATGAGGAAATTCGGCCAACATTGCGTTACCCAGCTGAGCCGGCCGTCTTTGGGCGTGTGAACAATAATATGCGTTTCTCGGTCCCATTTTCCTACATACATAGCAGCAACTGAATTGTTTCCTTCTCTACTCCTCCTCCGACTACATACAACCCTCGTCATTTCTCACTACTACACAAACATCGTCACTACATGTACTTTCTTCCCTTCACACTCCCACCAAGTAATCTTCTGCAGTTTTTCGCGACTAGCTACCCCACCACCACCGCCACCACCGCCACCCCACCACCCCACCACCACACGACCACAAATCACCTAATTCAGGTACTAAATTTGAGCTCTACAACAACAAATTACCTGGATGGTACAAAAAGCTTGCATGAAGCGTAAAATTACGATGGATATCTTACTCCTAAGGACGCTGCGTCCCGACCATTTGAAAGTTCACGATATGTACAGGTATGGTTCCGGGCGACTTATTGCTACCACCACCCTTTACGAAATCCGCCAGGGTTGAGGTTCTGTTTAGGGAATTACCCGCAATTAATGAATTAAAAAAAAAAATACCAAAAAAAAACCAAAACCAAAACAACGACCAAAAACAAACAAAAAACAAACAAAAACAGACCAAACACAAACCAAACACAAACCAAAAACAAAAACAAAAGAGGGAACTGCCCTAATCCTGGAGGATTTCTTAACGGAGCGGGTAGTCGTGGTCAGGAACCATACCAGTATCTTTGGTATTTCTGTATGCATAATTGTACAAGGAGGGACCAGTTATTGACTTTGGGGAAAACCACTAGAGTTGGTGATGCGGTGGTCTGGGAAGTCGCTCGCTATTTTGAAGGTGGGGTTAGAGGTATGATTGGGCCTGTTGACAGGTAAGTAAAAACCACTCTGGGTGCTGGGCTGGGCGTGGGGGTGGGAGCGTTCCACTCAGCTCAAATTATTAGAATTTAAAACTGATTGTGGGCTAGAATTTGACTCGTGGGATATAAGGTAAGTTCATGAGTCAGGTAGGTCAGTCCCAATCTTTACCTATAGTTCAAAGCTTCATTTATGCGCTGGTAAGCTCGGGAATACTTTGCCTGTTGGGTTTGCTGTTTGAATAGACTCGACAGTTCGATTAAACTACCGAGAGAACTCGGAAATTATATTTTATCTAGTAGATTCAGAGGTGAGCTTTGGGCTTTACGTTTTATCCGTTATAAATTCCGTCCAACACCGCTAATCATCTTTCACTGTTGGCCAACGGGGCACACGATCTTGATCTTGAGCAAACCGAACATCCCATTCAAATTGGAGGAGTGCAATCAATCCTTTCATTAGTTCTCTTACTTCGACGCACTCAATCACTGAGCTCTTAAAATACCGAGTATATCAGACCGGAGGCTATTATTAAACACTAGCTCCTAATATCAGAAGGCTATTTATATAGTATTCATCCCACTCTTAGTAACCGCAAGGTTGGTACTCGCGATAAAAATAGGATTCGGAACAAGATCTATATGTCTCTGGGTGTTATGGTTGGTTAATATTACTTTACTATGAGATCCCGTTGATGGCTGGAATAAGTTATGAAGTGGGGGAAAAAAAAACATCACGATGTTACTTGGTCGTTTGATGAGAAAAAGGACATCTATTACTTAACTGGGTATCCGTCCTGAAGATAATTTTGAGTTGGTCATGGGATACATTAATATCTCGAAACCCGGAAATTGTTGACATCTAGTGGTCTACGATCGGCCGTTTATCGGCCAGGCACGCCAGAACTATTACATAATAAACCGTGTGAATAGAAAGTGGCATATACCGCATCCACTGGTAGAATCGGACAAATCGCTAGCAACAAGAGTACCTAGAGAAGTGGAACTTGGACAAAATCCGGCCCCTAAACTCTCGTTTAAAATCGGGTTTTAAAGATTTTGTAGAGTTAGGTTTATTTTCTCCAGGACTAGGACCTTAATAATCACTAGCGATTTGTCCGATTTCGCCAATTATTGCGGTATAAATTAGACCCCGCCATAGCTTTTCCGGAATCTATTTTCACTAAAGAATCACGTTGATTTTTTAGTGCTTTTCCGTACCTTTGCCGGGTGGCTAAAGATTCGCAATATTTATTAGATGGAGATTAAGTAGGGGCCATGGCCAGTAATCGCGGCGGCCCAGTCACTAATTTTCTCGACAATGGCGGATTGGGCTAGTTTTGTGCCAATTCGAGGGTAATTCTGCGATCGATCGCCCATATGATAGTTGCCGAGACAATCAGCGACTGGTAACTGGCCCCTCTTTCGCGGTACTTGACCGGCAGTCTTGACCGTTGGTTTAAAGGTCCCCTTTACTGTAGGTCCAAAAGTCCCAGCTCTCTGGATGGGTTTTAAAGTATCGGCCAGTCAAGATCAAATTCCAGATGTTTTGTCCGGACGACCGAGTGATATCTGGTGACACACGATTTCTGAGTTCTGGATAAAGAGGCACAATTCGGAGAAAATAGCAAGAAAAAGATATTTTTGGGTGGTGACCTCGCCTTGGGATGGTCTTCAAACGGTATATGCCTCTGCCTTTATTCTTTTTCTAGATCTATCGAGGGTTTATCGAGGGTTTGTCGAAGGCATCCTAGTGTGCTAGGCATACTGGAAAGGCTTTAGAATCAAATAGATGCTTGATATTAGTAGGTGAACATGACGGCAGTAAAACCCTTCCGGACCTTGTATGACATCGTTGGTTCCTATCAATTTTGTGTATCAGACGACTTTGCTGGCCACTCGGACATCCCATCACTCGGACAGTCAATGATGAAGTACAGAAGGCGATCATAATGCTGATCTTCTTCATACGTCAAGATTCTGAGTGAAGGGAGTGTTCTAGTGGTTAGGGAAACCGTCTCTAGTAACTAAGACCGAAGAGTGGCCTCACATAAAGTATCCAGACCTTTTTGGCATGCATTTCTTCCCTCCTCTCGGTACGAGATAGCTTGATTCCAGGACTTGTCATCGGTGGAAAGGGTGATTGAGGAGAGTGTGTCTTAACGTAGAGGGTAAAGGAGCTAAGAGTGGAGTTGAACTACACCGCAACTTTGACTTTCAACTACGCATACACTGCCCGGAATCCCAACTCATGGTTTGAATTCAACCTAGCTTTAGCGCTAATTGGCTGTTTCCCAGGGAGATTGGTATCTCCCTTGAGCCGAATTTCCTGAGACGTCCGTTGAGAGGATTATACTATTTGAGGGGTTTTGAGTCAAATATTCCTAGGCCTCCAATCGATATCGACGCTGGAAAACCTGGTGATAAACGAGGCCACCTTAACCAAGCTCATCTCTTATTACCTTACATTAATTGGTTACCTCGCAGGTAGCCTTATTTAATGCTTGTTATACCAGGGACTATATCCAAATATCAAAAGTTTTGGGTCAAGGGGAGCGTGCGCCTAGCTCCTCTTTTTGAGTTGAGAATACCAACTTTGCACGTATTGTTGAAATCAGCCACCGTTAATTGACAGACTCCGATTACCCTTATATATTCTTTCATTTTGGAGCGCCCGAAGCCGCCTATAGCAGCTCCTACTCCATTTCCCCGCTCAGCGAGATCGACTGAGACTTGGGGCCGCCAAGCATACGGCCAAGAAATATTTGTGTGTGAAGTCTTTCTCAGTAGGGTTTTTGCTGAGTAGGGAAACTGAGTACAGTCACCAGGAAATTTCCATGCGGGAATGTTTCTAATAAAATAAACCGTGCTTAATCATGGAATATCACTCGGGTCCGGCCGCCAAGGCTCCCGCATTTTTCAACTGCACTACGCATCATCGATTGGTACAGCTATAAGAAGCTTTGAATTGCAGGTATAGCCGCAAGAACGGATTTCTTAGAACCTGATGATCAAATAGCCTTTCTAGAAGTTGACAAGCCGGACAACTCGATCCAGAAAGGTCAGATCGGGTAGGTAGACTCGAGACTA